ACCTATACAAGAGAATACTTATACGTTTCTGGCGGAGTCTGGACTCTCTTTTGCGCAGCCCTTCAACCGACTCACGCCAGTGTGGAGATTAGACATTGCTATTAAGCGATGGCATGAATGCTGCTATTGGTCTTTCTATCTACCTGACTTGGACCGTAACTATGCTACATCCCAGAGTGGGTTACAATGAGGTCTAGCCGATTCCATTATCGTGGGGAAAGTATAATAGCATCTTGTATTATGGTAAGACTAAGACTATATATACCTTTACAGTTCTTCGTGAACAATTTCTCGGGCATCCTATGCAAGTCCCATCCCCACAGCTTTAGACTCATACAGCCGAAATTTGTGGATAGGTTCTTGGGCTTCTTAGGAAGTTTTCCATCATGCGGGCTATTCAGACCCTCTCGTCACTTTTCGTTACTATATCCCTAACATCAACATCTTTTTCTATAGCACAGCAAACAGTCCTAGGAGTTAATCAACTCAACGGGAAATGGCACTACAAGGGTTGCTATGTGTAAGTAACTTGTCCCCCAGACTATGAGCGTTTATGCTAAGTGAGTGACTATAAGTGACGCTGGTCGGATGATCAATGTGGCCGCAACTACTTTGGATACTACGACCCTGGAGAGCTGTGTCGCATTCTGCGATAGTAGGGGGTTTGCTTACGCTGGAGCTAAATACTATAACGAGTGCCGTGAGTTTACTCCCTACCTGGCCGTGATCCTATTCGTATTAACTATTGCTAGATTGCGGGAATGAATTAGCCAATGGGGCGGTGAAAGTGAGAAAATGTTCAACAGGTTGCTCGAGCAATAACACAGAGGCATGTGAAGGGTTAGATTGGTTGGCCTTATTCTTTAACCCGTATAGCGCAGGCCCTAGGCCAAATCTCGACATTCCAGACTGGATGCATATTGGCTGCTACTCGTGAGTATCTGTCTGTCGCTACTGGTATAGGCATAACCCTGCCACGCCTCAGCCTCAATTTGCTTCAAGTTGTAGTTAACACGTTCCACAAGCGAAGGAATCGACGGCCGGTGCTTGACATATAAGGCACCCATCCCTACCACACCGGTTAACGCAGAGAGCTGTACGTCTGTATGTCGTGCAGCTGGATACACCTTTGCTGGTACCAAGAATGGCGATGAATGTTGTAAGCCACTCTTTGACTTTACCTAAGGTGGTGTCAACTTACCAGTAACAGATTGCGGCAATACTATTGCAAATGGAGCCGTATTATCCAATGGCTGTGATACGGCTTGTAAGGTATGGTCCTTCAGACACATTTCTATATCCCTTCTCTTTTACTATGCAAGCAGGCTATATATTTTCAATTATCCATAAATCATAAGCTTCCAAGGGGTGGCACTGTAGAGTACAAATCATATTTACTGGGTGTTATTACTAACGTCGAGTACCATAGGCAAATGATTCCGAGGTATGCGGTGGACCCGACCGCTTGAATGTATATAACTTCACAAGGACGCATGATAGACCCACCAGGGTCAGTTCCAGGCCTGTCCCTAAAACGCTCTCCAGCACTCTCGTAAAAGCGACGAGCTTGTCCATTATTGCTCATTCAATAATCCCGAGAGATGCTGCTACTGAGCCGGTTGTTACTAGCACAAGCAGCGCTCCATCCGCAAGCGCAAGTCCTACGGCGCCTTCACAGCCCTCCGTAATAGGTGATTACATTTGGTATGGTTGCCAGACGGAAGCTACTAACATCCGTGCACTGAGCCTGTATACCTACGCCGATGATGCTATGACACTAGGTAGCTGCCAGGCTTTCTGCAACGACAAGGGGACAACGTACTTTGGTGTTGAGTATGCCCGCGAATGCTACTGTGGCAATAAATTCGAAACGGGTTCCGCCAAAGCTCCCGAAAGCGACTGCAATATGCTTTGTGCTGGAGACCAATGGGCATATTGCGGCAGTGGCAATCGCCTCTCTGTATATATCAAAAACGGAACTTCGGTCGCGACAACTACCAGTAGTTCGGGCCCGACTAGTAGTGATCCTGGGACACCAGGGCCTACGGGGTTTCCTGATGGCTGGACTGACCAGGGCTGCTGGCAAGATGGGCCCAATGGTCGTATTATGCCAACTTTCCAAGCCCCCGACGACCCTCAGTTGACGCCACAGAAATGTGCGCAACTCTGTGCTAATGACAACTATACGGTTTCGGGAACCGAGTACTATACGCAATGCTTCTGTAGCAATGCTATCTACAATGGTGGTGTGCGAAGCGAAGACGCTTCGAAATGCTCAACACCTTGTGGAGGTAATAGTCAAGTTATGTGCGGAGGTGCGGGATACTTGTCTATCTACTCGAAGGGTACACCGCAGACGTACAAAGAGCCTGCTCCGCTAAAAGAAGTGAACGGTACTTGGACGTATCAAGGCTGTTACGAGGACAATGTTAATAATCAGAGGACCCTTTTTTGGTCCTTAAGATTCCCTACCCCTATGACCCCTGAGCAATGTCTAGGGAAATGCGCTTCTTTTGGCTATGCCGCCGGCGGTATGGAGTATGGCGAAGAGTGCTATTGTGGTGACCCTATGGATGTTGATGCTTCCGGAGCCACCATAAGGCCTGAGAGCGAATGCAATATCGTATGTGCCGGAGAGGCTTCTGCGATATGCGGAGGTGGTGCTCGGCTTTCGATGTACTATTGGACTGGCCAAACGCCCCTTTACGTGTTTAATTACCCCCAAGGAAATGATGCAGGTTCCTACTCCAACCTAGTCGGCGGTGTTGTTACCCCTCTAATGACTATGCAGTCGATCACCGGCAAGGTTACCTTCCTGGAGAAATGGGGAACTGGTGCAGCAAATAGCACGGGGGCTTATGAGCTAGACCTTAGTCGACTCGACGATTTCGATGCTGCTTGGAGAACCATGCACGTTAAGACTGATATCTTCTGTTCTGCGGGAGTCATTCTGCCCGATAAGGCAGGACGACAGCTTACCGTCGGTGGCTGGTCTCTCGATTCGACATACGGCATCCGTTTATACGCGCCTGATGGATCAGACGGCGTAAAGGGTACAAACGACTGGGAAGAAAATGTCAATACTCTAAAGCTTCAGAGAGGACGATGGTACCCAAGCGCTATGCTTATGGCGAACGGGTCCATTTTAGTCGTGGGTGGTGAGATCGGTTCAAACGACAAGCCCGAACCTTCTCTTGAGATTCTTCCTAAAGTCGGCCCCTATCTTTACATGGACTGGCTTGAACGCACAGATCCGAACAATCTGTATCCATTTTTAGCAGTCCTTCCCGGTGGTGGCATCTTTGTTGCGTACTGGAACGAAGCCAGAATCCTGGACGAAGTTACCTTTGACACGATACAGACTCTACCAAACATGCCTGGCGCTGTCAACGATGACCTTGGGGGTCGTACCTATCCTCTTGAGGGAGCTGCTGTTCTCCTGCCTCAGTTTTCTCCTTATACCGATCCTCTTGGTATCCTCTTATGCGGCGGTTCGACTGATGGCCACTCTGCTCTCGACAACTGCGTATCCATGTATCCCGAAGCACCTAACCCCGAATGGACTCTTGAGCGGATGCCTTCCAAGCGTGTCATGAGTTGCATGGCACCCTTGCCAGATGGAACCTATCTTATTGCCAACGGCGCCCACGAAGGTGTTGCCGGTTTCGGTCTTGCAGATGATCCCAACTACAACGCTATCCTTTACGATCCGTTTAAGCCTATTGGCTCCCGCATGTCCGTTATGGCCAACACAACCGTTGCACGTCTCTACCACAGCGAAGCTATTACTCTCCTCGACGGCCGCGTCCTGATTACAGGCTCTGACCCCCAGGATGGAAAACATCCGCAAGAGATCCGCGTTGAAGTCTTCACACCTCCATACCTCTACAGCAATAAACCACGCCCGTCATTCACCATCGCGAACAAAGATTGGGATTACAACGATGAAGTCAGCTTCGAGCTGGGCGAGGAACCTGAGGGAGAGATCAAAGTCTCGCTGCTCGGTGCGGTATCTAGCACTCATGGCAATTCGATGGGGGCGCGAACCCTGTTCCCGGAGGTCTCGTGCTACGGCACTAACTGTACCGTCGTCGCACCCCCGAGGGTTCACATTGCCCCCGCTGGGTGGTATCAGATGTATGTTTTGCAAGATAATATACCGGCTGTCGGCACCTATGTCCGTATCGGAGGCGACCCGGGTAAGCTTGGAAATTGGCCGCCAGGAGATGACTTTACTCGACCGGGCGTCTGAAAAAGCTGCGCGCTTTTGTATTATAAGTATGCCTACTGCTATGCTTACTTGTGCTCAAACCCTAGTACTTAGTGTTTATTTTCATCGGGAATAGCTAGGAATGGTCTTGTGGCTTTCGACAGAAGAACATGTATGGGCTTGGTTTGATCCGGAGTAAAGGGGCTGGACTAGGAACTGGAAGGGGAAGAGAAGGAAAAGCGTGGAATTAGGAGTGCAGAGAAACCGCCGTTATATCCTATTAGTATCAGTAATAGATAATATCTATACCGCGCCTAGCATCTTGCTTCTTTCGTCTTGTCCTTGCCAGTATCTAGATAGGGTAGGGTTTCTTGTCGTTTCTGTTTATCCTACCCTGCCGTTTACCTCTCCGCAGAAGCTTTAGGGACGCCCGCATTATGGAATTTATTCAGCAATAAGTAACACGTCCCATATGAAGCCCTAACTGAAATATTTTCAAAGTGTACTGGCTGCATCTCAAAGTCAACTGCAAGCAGGTCGTTAGACAGCCCCGCTACCTGGTTGCCAGGCGGCACGGATAGACATAAGTAACGCGTTAGCAACACACTCTTTCACCCCTGATCAATGGCTGTGTAGTCAAATTGGTCGTGACGAAGCAGTTGCTTGAAGTAGGGTCAGAAATAATTCCTCGAGGAGTTTTTCGTAGGACTCGGGTTCGAGCCACTGTCGAGGCGGCAGGCAGACCAACTGTTCAGGTCAATCGACAGCGGTTCGAATTCTGGGTTCCGAGCTTTTTTGCTCTTTTTCTCTTTTTGCTGTTGTTTTCTATTTATCAAGTAATTTTCTTTTGCGTCCATTATTACGCTTGAAGTTTCGGTTCTATTTCATCTTATACCTGCTATAGTTACCGAATTCGGTGAAAGCTTCATTCATCCTTGATGTATGTACGTATGTAAATGAGGACACGAGCAAGAAGTGTAAATAAATTCTGTTGATGTATCAGGATATATGAACTTGATAGACTGCCAGCATAATCATCTAGTCTGGATTTCTTAGTATCCTGGACATGTATATATATGATACTTCAAACCTCAAGGCATAAATTTCATTCTTTGACAATTGCTTCTACCATACCGTTACCCCCCACTTCCGGGGATGGCCAGACTTTGACGACTTCGAAGCCAGCTGTCTCCAACAATGCGCGCCATTGTCGCTCGGTGCGTTCCATGCCTGCGTTAAAACACATCACCGTCATGTCAAGCATAGCGTGGAATGGGGAAGCACCGGTTTCTGGTACGATCATTTCGTGTAGAAGTAGTTTGGAATACCCCGGCTTCATGGCGTCTCTTACATGCTTCAGTATTTCCAAGCATTTATAATCAGACCAGTCATGCAATATGTGATGGTAGTAGTACGCCCTTGCACCTAGTAAAACATAAGCGGGCATCAACAAGATAGGGGTATAGGGGAAGAGTAAGAAGTGGAAGTAAGCACACCTTTAATGGGTTGTTCAGTGAAGAAGTCGTAGTACATTGGGTCAATCGCAGGATCAAGGTCTCCAATCGTATCGATCACAAAGTCCTGAAGCACCAGTCGACCCTTATGAGGATACCTCTCGTGGAAGGCGATAAGATCGTGGCCCTTGCCACCGCCAACATCTACAAGCAAGGCCGAATCTGGTACTGCACCATCGATCAACTCTTGAATTGGGTACCAGTCGAGCCATATCTTTCTCGCTCCCAATGTATTCCCCATGAAATTATTGAAGTCCTTCTGAACTCGAAGGATCGAGTTGAAAAGTTGGAAGCTAGTCAATTTTGTTTGAAAAGCATATTGCATGAATCCGTCATTCGGGTCCGTCGGACAGCTATAACCAGCTTCTTTGAGGTACTTCGGCGCCTTGCTGGCGGCCCCCATTACCATCTCCCCGCTTGAAAATCTCAGCAAGGAATGCTCCGAAGTAGAGTGGGTAACAAATAGACAAACAGACAAACAGACAAACGAAAAAACTCACATCATTCGGATTCCAGCAGAGATCCCCTCACTGGCCATGGCCTCAGTGACTGGAGTAGCTTGCCATGTTTCTTGGCCAGCTTCGTTCAAAAGATTCACCGAGGCCAAAGCCCGGAGCAGTCGAGCTAGAATCGTCAGCAATGGCAGCCCATGGTGTTGGATAGATCGTACTGATAAGTAGCGCTTCTCCACCGGAGAGCGAGGAGAGTTCTTCAGACGTGATTGGTTTATCATGCCTCACAATATACTCCAAAAGTTTCATATCGACAACGATTCTCACAGCAATTGGGATAAAAGGCTTGTTTTAGCTTATTAGCATGAGTATTACGGCGTTGGGGAACAAAACTGGAGTTGGCTGAATTACGGAAAAGACCATTTCGGCGGCAACGTCTTCAGGCCGCTCTAGACTCATGGTGAGTTTTTTGCTTAACCGTATAGCTTCAGCTCTGGTGGATTGAGCATTATCCAGCTCGAGTTTCGAGCCGAGGCTGCCGAGCTGTTCGATAAGAGAGGCAATACTGCCCGGATCGACGGGGTTTACGGCCATCTCAACGCTGAGAAAGTAGATAGGTAATTCTGTGCTTAGTATATTTTTTTAAAAAAAATGTTCAGTCAATATATTAACATAAAAATCAATGAGTTTGAAAGACAAGAAGCTCAGAATACGAAAAGGCGTCGAAGTAGTGAGCGAGAAGATACTGGTTGGTTGGTATATTTACATGCATACAATATTGTTGGCTCTATTGCCCCTTTATGCCGCGGAAACGTCATTCAGTCGAAAGCCTTCGGTCAACCCATTTCCAACTTGGCTATCTTGATACTCCGAATCCCTATTTTGTCTCAGCCCCTTTTACCTACTGCTGTGAACATGCAAGGGGGATTTGACCCGCTTTCTGGCATCCCAATTAGGAACCGCCCGAGAACCTATCCTTGCCACCACCGCGACCTCGGGCCGGCCGTCTGTACGGAGTGAGCCGCAGCTTCGCCATGTATGTTAGGTTACGTATATGGCAAAATGCTGTACAACACACCTTCAGGCTCTTGCTTGTCTTCCCTTAACCAGGGCGGAAAGCCTACTCCTTGTTGCTCAGCATATCGTTCCCTCATCTCATTGCATCATCATACTAGTATCGTGACGATCATGGCGTCCTCAGAAGCACCACACATCATATTCGGCTGCGGCGGCCTTGGCAACGAATTCGTCGGTGCAACGAATTCGTCAAATTCGTCGGTCAGAGAGCTCTTGGAATTGCTCAAGGAGGCGGGCATAAATCGGCTTGATACGGCCGCCCTGTATCCGCCCTCGGACATTGGTGCTTCACAGCGTCTCCTCGGACAAGTCGGAGCAGCGCGACTAGGATTCATCATTGACACCAAGGTATTGATTAGCATGTCTGGCTTCAAAGGGACTCTAGAGCCCGAGAAGATCGCCAAGTCTATTGCGGAGAGCCACGAGGCCCTGCGATTCGGAGACGGCCAACGTATCAATGTCTTCTACCCTCATGCCCCGGACGTAGCCACGCCCTTGAAAGATCAAGCGGCTGGTTTCCACGAACAATATAAAAAGGGATTGTTTGACAAGGTAAGTGTTTCCATACCTCGTAGAACAAGGAAGAAGAACAGTTAGGTCGTTACTGATTCTAGCTATAGCTGGGTGTTTGTAACTTTCCAGCTGATATGCTTGCCGAGTTCATCGACATCTGCGAACGTGAGGGATATGTTAAGCCGACCGTGCACCAGGGTCTCTAGTGCACCAGGGTCTCTACAACCTCATCGACCGCCGACACGAAGGGCCGGTGCTTGATCTGGTACGTAAGCATGGCATGCAGTTTGTAGCGCATAGTCCGAACGGCAGTGGCTTCCTCCACGGTGCCCTAACGTCCGGTCAAGTTGACACCGCCATATGCCGATAGAAGAATGTACATAGTGCCGGGGAGTGTGTTTAGCTATAGCGAGTCGTAGTATACGTAGACCACTGCCACGCCTAGCAATTGATGTTAGAACTTCTTGAATAAACACATTGCAATGGTAACAGTTGTCGATGTTGTTTTATTATACCGAGCCCAATCATTTGGTTCACAGTGTACGGGCTTTAATTGGATTCAAGCGGTGTAAGACGATCCGGTCTGGGGTTAAGGGGGTCTCAAAGCTACTATTCTCGTAAATCGAGGAGTATATTAGCAATACGGTCAAACAATTATACCGGTGAAAACACCATAACGGTAGCAGTAGATAGGCTATGGTGTGTCGGGATAGCGGAAGGAAGATGCTATATCACTTCGGGTCTAAATCCAGACTCTGTTCGCTTATAAGACATTAGTGAACCCATCATTTGTGATTCATTGCTCGGGCTCAACTGGGTATATAAACTACAAGCCTAAAGATATCCCGTAACGATAGCAGCAATAATGGCCGCCTCCTACGACATCCAGACATACCTCCTCGACCGGACCAATATCCACGACACGGTGACACGGTTCGTAAGTAAACCTGGCATCCGGGGGCTTTAAAGGACGTTAAAGTGGCCAAAGTCGTTAATATATTATTTCTTAATAAGACGTTCAACTGCGACCGAAAATCGAGAAACGGCCTCGTTCAAGACGTGTACGCTCCCCAAATCGCCCTCGACTACACTTCCATGTTTGGCAGTCAACCATTTGAGACTACCAAGGAAGAGTGGGCTAAAACTATTACATCGGCGGCGGCCACCTACGACAAGTGCCAGCATATAGTTACGTACCTAAGTTAGGTACCCTTAGAAACATATGTTTCCTTTCTTTACAATATATCGGGTAGAAGCACATTCGATTATCCTAGGGGTCTCATCATAGAACTCCCCCAGCCCTTCAATAATACTCCTAGGCCTGACAAGTGCCGGGTTTTCGCTAACGTAACCGCCCATATGGTTCGCCAGGTAGTGAAAGGCGGGCCTATAATGCATGTCGGCGTGAGTCTACTCCCCCTTGTGCAATACCCTCAGTATTTCAAATTGGGATCAACTGACGGTAGTACCTATAATCAATCCCGACTTAACTTCGACGTCATTCGAATTCCACAGCTAGAGCAAAAGGGTGAGAACCCCTGGCGAATCAGCAAGCAGGTTGTTGATATTTCTTGGGAGCAGGGCAACATGGATGTCATCGTAAACCAAGTTGCGAATATTGGGAATTAGGTCATCAAGGTATAACGGTTTTATTGAAGAGTTTTGTATGTATCTATGGACATGTTTCCTTCTTTTATCTTTTATTTTTATATGAAAAAGAAGAAGAAGAAAAAAGGGGAGGGAAAGAGGGGGACTCTCTATCATGAAACTTTTTCAGTGGTCCGGTCGTTAATATTTTATATATGACCTATTTTACGAAGAGGAATTGAGAGTGTTAAAGAGATCGACATAGGTATATTTAGGATGAATATATATATATCTGGAGATAGAAGCTCAGAAGGTAGTGGCGATACTAATATAGAAGTATTGAAACGTTGAGTTGCGTTTGATTATTGATATACAACAAAACATGTCTAACTTAGGTAGCATGGTTTTAATAGACGAGAGAGAATATATGAGTCAAATATATAATTCTTTATATTCTCCAGAAGTCAGTGACAGGACTCTTGAACGTGAAGTATCCCGAATCTTATGCTGCACTAGAATTTTATGGTTACATGTAGTTGCCGAATATTAAGTTAAATACCTTAGGTACTTTATATATACTAGCTATAGGAGTGCTTTCACTTCTATACAAGTTTAACCATGCATTTAATGTAGCCGTGTAACTATACCTCGATGTCACTCTAGTCATCATCAGCTAAGCCTCTCATATATTTAAATAGACTTCCTGCCGAGGACTTCTCGGCTTGAGTAAGCAGCCCAGCTTATCTCTCATCCATCTCTAATACCTATTCGGCATCTTTCTGCGAAGTGAGAGTAGCGAGCGGTCCAGATCCCTCATCATACCACCGCAGCACTTCGAAGCGCGCCCTTCAATATACCTGTTAATATTGCTTTCCGCCCCGAGCTCATATTATATGTCATCCACCATTAGCGACATGATCTGCTCATCAAGCCATATCGTGCATATATAGCATGTCCCTAAACGGCGTCAAGCAATTCTTCGGTCCTCCATCTCGCACCCCGCATGTCTCCGGAGTAGTAGATCGCGATGCATCCATCCTCACGTCAGAATCCTACCAGGTACCAAGAGGGCCAGATTCCAAATGACGGTGTTATACATAGAGAACGACTGCAGCATTAGCCCCCAAGCGACATTGCAGTAGGCTCGGGGCATATTGACCGAATCGGAACGAGAGCAGTATTAACAGTCATAGAGGTGGGTGGTTGTGTCTTTAATAAGTGTCGCTGAGGCGAAGAAAATCGACTTACTAAGTAATCGAGACCTCGTCTTGGCTATGTGCGTTTCAGGGGTCGGACGCCTCATGGCAGGGGGATTGCCGCGGTCGCATTTATATAAGCCTGCCGTCCTCGCCGTTAGACGCGTAAGCGACCACGGGAGTTTCGACGCGGGTTAAATTAAGTCGACCTTCTGTATGTTAGATGACTTTTGGGGTAATTGTATTTCGTTCTTGTGACTACCTATGCTTGGATATGTGTAGTTAATATGTACTGCATTCTATAGTTATAATAAACTCGGCCCCTTTCGGCCCCAACGCGTTGACGCATTGACGCGATAGACGACGAGAAATGAAAAGGTATTGTCAGACGCGAGTAGATGATATTATCGAGGTGCATATCTGCAGCGTTACGGATCTCGATGCTGGTTGCAGAGAGTTGGGTAAGACCGTTTTATTCATTGGCCTTGCCAAGGTGATCTCTACGGCGCAGTAGCTTAATTAATAATTATTCCCATTTTGTCATGGGTCGTTCCTTAATTTGTTCGAGCATGAAGTCTGTAGAAAAGGAATCAGCATACGACCGTGTTAGGCAGTTGGTCTTGTATAGAAACTGTATGCGATAGATTTGATGGGTCAATTGACAACATATATAGAATTGGGAGGCTACTATGTATGCATGAACCCAGATCAACAATTATCAAAATCTCGTATATCACGCAGGTATACCTGTGAAGAATAGGAAATCACCGAATAGTCGTCAACAGTCCTTTTGCTCGATCAGGAGACTGTAAGCTCGGGAATTGGGGAATTGGGGAATTGGGTAGGCAACGTTGGGGCCGATGCACGTCGTTGAAGATGGCCAATATTAAGCCAGAGTTACCAATAAATGTAACCCTAAACCCGGCTAGGCAGCTATCATTGGTGTTATTCGGTAGCAGCCCCGAGTGGCTTGTCAGCCTTGGATCTGTTACGCTCCAGTAACTCCACACACCTAACTTTAGACTTATATATGTGTAATTAGCACTGCCACCCCTTGACCCCTGACACCTCACCCCCGTTAGCCCCGTTAGAGTGATCCTCGGCCGACTCGACCACGCTGCTGGTCAAGATGATGGATGCCGCCGGGTGGTATCGGACTTAGTGGGAAGGTATCAGGTTTGAATATCGAAACACAGTAGGATCTAGCTCTAGCTTTGACGGGCATGTTTCGGGTAGAAAAGTCGCCTTAAAACCCAGCTCCTCGCAGCTAGACAAATAGGTGATTATATGCCTAGAGGTAGTTAAGTAGGTAGTCTTTCGAGGAGCTACGCGATATTGAAACCGCTCCGACTGCGCCGACTTCATCCTGTACCCAAGTAGATTGTAAGGAGTTCTCTCGACGCAGTTGTATATTTCTAGCAGCAGCTGGGTAATCTTTTTACTTCATTATTAATTATCCTTCCGCTCCATCAACCTACCCTCCGCCTTTCTCGTCGAATGTCGTTTCTATGAGTTGAGATGCCGATAGATATTCGAGATTACCTTTCCTCCTCACCATGAAATCTATAGCTTCATGCACCTTTGACACATGTCCAGTCGCCGCGTCCCCCTATGGCTACCCGCCAAGTGCAGCAGCGGGAGTCATCTTCTTCGCCATTCACCTCGGATCCTTCGTCGCCTGCCTGGTCTACTCATTCTACCTAGCCGAGAGGAATAGATGGTTAGAATTTAGTATTCCAATCTCTATAGGCTGTCTTCTCGAGAGTATCGGATATGCTATGCGAATCGGAAGTTCGACCGATCCATGGAACGTGTCTTTATACGCGGCGTCGACAACGTTTATGATAATACCGCCGGCCTTCATATCGGCAGCGTTAGTAGAATCCCTCCCCTCTCACCGGATATTCTCGGCTGTTGAATAATATGCTGACTTATTTAAAGCATCTACTTTACCGTACCCGAAGCAATTAAAATCTTAGGTACGGAGCACTCGCCGATCAACGTCTCGCGCTATGCCCTCCTAACCTGGATCGACGCGTTTGGGTTTCTTTTCCAATTTATTGGACTCATCGTCTCCTTCTCGGACCTTTCCTCCGACACGGGCCTTGGTCATAACGCTCGCGTCGGTAGTCCCATTATCGCCACTGGCATGGTGATACAATCCATTTCCTTAATCATTTATATAATACTTTTCGGCATCGTCTTATTTCGAGCCGCCGTAGCAAACATCCAATTTGGATACACGACGTTCCATCCGGTTCATGGTTTCGTCCCTATGGCACACAGATTCAAATTCTTCCTTGCGATGCTGCTGATCTCAGCTATGTGTCTATTTGCGAGAGCACTCTACCAGGCAATAGTACTAGCTAACGGACTGGGGAGTTACACTGCGAAGAATCAGGCCCTATTTGCGGGCTTAGACAGCTTTCTTGTTGCGGAGGCTGTTGTTGGGTTGTGTGTTGCACATCCCGTAACATTCTTACGGGACGGGATAGAAAAGAGACTAGGCAGCAGAAGTACAAGTGCGATGACGGAGGAGCAGAGGATAAGCCAGTTCATGGGAAGCCAATATGCAGAGAGCCAGTATAGACAGAGCCAGCTCACGGAGAGCCAACCCACAGAGAGTCAACTCGCCGATAACCAACATTTGGATGTTCAAAACAGGGAGAGTCTATATAGGCAGAGCCAATTTAGGGCGAGCCAGTATAGTATGAGCCAGTATAGCATGGCTAGTCGCCGCAGCACAATGGAGCCAATAGGGCCAATGGGAGGAGGCCAGACTCCGTGGAGTAGTACAACTCGTATCGTATGAAGCATCAATTAAAAGAAATATTTTGCGGAACCGACCTCATTACGTACGGGCCTGGTTGCTGGTTGAACTGAACAATTCGGCTTAGTTATAAAATCGGTGAGAGGGGTCGTTAGCCAAGTTGGAAGGCTATGTTTCCATGTGAGTATCTTCGTCTTCGGCAGCGGGTATGTAGGTCACCATTGCCTTACTTGCACCCTCAACACAATACTGCACAACTTCGATCTTAGTCCCATCGGGGACCAGCTTGGCGATTTGCCTTAGATCGCTTGTGCGTGGTAGGTAAAGGGCATGGTCCATAGTTCTGTAGGCACCATGTAATTGGGCCAAGTTATAGGGCTCCATGGTATTCAGATCGAATATTTCATCGGTTCTGTATCCTGGCCCACCCCAGGGCGGTGATGCGAACACGACCGTGGATGTCACATCTACTCGTAGGTCATCTTCTAGCTTTTCTGGAGAGTTCACCAAAGCATCAAAATACTTAAAGCTGTCACCCAGGACCCAGACGATATGGTCAGCCACACCATACAAGGAGGCGTTATGTTGCGCACAAGCAAGAGTAGCTGCATCTAGCTCAATGGCGATCACTTTGTCCCAGCGGGGCGTTGAGCCGTCTTCAGCTGTAGCCAGGGCAAGGGCAATAGAATTTGCCCCTACGCCAGCAAATGCATCTATGATTGTGGTCTTTGACTCGCTAATAATAGAACCCATCTCTCGCGCGATTTGGCTAGAATAAGATTAGTGTCAGATCGTATCGAGACTGGTATAATACGAAATGGGATCCGGATGGGAATCGAGGTATGAAACTTACTTCGCAACTGGTTCGGGGGTCACGCCAAACCAGGCATCTTGAGTCATGTAGATACCATCATCGTAGTAAGGGAAAATTGTGTATCTTTGCTGCCAGTACCTATAGTTTTCGACCGCGTAAGTAAATCATCTATATAAGTAGCAAGTACTCTACTTCAATAGCTTACTTTTGTAAGTCCCAAGGCACTTCGCCCAGACGAGTCCAGTGGTGACAGTCGTCAGTCAGGGGGAGCTTGTTGACTCGTTTCATCTTGAAAGTGCTGGATTGGCATGCATGAGCTGCCTGATTCCTATTGATCTTGGAAAACTTAAAGATGAGGAATTAATTATGAGTTCTTAGTGTATATATCTGTGGGAAATATTAGACTCGAATTGTATATACTGAATAAGCAAAATTGATATATTTGTAGACTCGTTGAAGTTGGAGTGAAGGAGGCTAACAGTAATTGTAGATACAGTAGGTACTTCGTACGGATCCCTAGGCCCACTTCAGCTATACCAGAAGCTTTGACCACCACTAGCATTTAGCGCCTAGACGGCGTAAGGCTAATAGCGAGCTAGGAAATGACAGCTTTCTTGATAGGCTGTGACTTTCATGTGAACCAAGCAGGCGCATATCAGCATCTTAACCTAATAGCTGACTAGACAACCAAACAATAAACTTCTTTAACTTTAGGTAAATTACACTGCCACCTTATACATGAGCCCATAGCGACGCATATACATATTATGTTCAACGCCTTAAACCGTTACCTCTCACGCCTCGACGGCGACGCGCGGCCGCAGAGGAAAGACGGCCACGGATACGGCTTCCAAGTGCTGCGCAACACGAACCTCGAGCTAGGCATCGAGCCATGGTTTGACTTTATCGTTGGAATTAACGGCCGTGTAGTTGTATGACCCTCCATCTCCCCTCAAGTTCACAAGTAGCGAGGAGACAGGCAAGAAAGTAAACCAGACAACTAACAACGCGTCGCAAACAGGATAACCCCGACCCCCGCCTCTTCGCCCAAGAAATCCGCAACTGCGCCGGCAGCAGCGTCGCCCTCGGGCTCTGGAGCGCCAAGGGCCAGCGCACGCGAGTCCTGCACGTCCCCGTCCCGGCCGACACGCGATCGCTCGGCCTGTCGCTGCAATGGACGCCGCTCGACGTCGCTTCGAACGTCTGGCACGTGCTAGACGTGGCTTCGAACTCGCCCGCCGACCACGCCGGCCTGCTGCCGTACAGCGATTACATATTGGGTACCCCGGACGGCGTGCTGCACGGAGAGGGCGGGCTGGGCGAGCTGGTCGACGACTACGTGGGCCGCCCGCTGAGGCTGTGGGTGTATAATAACGAGTATAACGTCACGCGCGAGGTCGAGATCGTGCCGAGTCGCGAGTGGGGTGGTGAGGGCGCCCTGGGTTGCGTTCTAGGATACGGCGCACTGCATCGTCTTCCTGCGCCTTTGAGCGAGCCTGTCAATGCGCCGGGTGAGACTATGTTCGACGGCGATAACAGCGGTGGTGCAAGCGCCAATATCGGTGCCGGCGCAGACCAATTCACGGCATTAGCTCCGCCAAGCGATACGGCAGCTAATACGTTCGTACCGGCAGCATCGCCGGATTTCCTCGTCCCCGCGCAACTAGTTGGCAGTACTCCTCCACCAGTAGGCAGTGCGCCGCCGCGTAGTAAGAAGAAAGAGAGGCACAACCATGCTCCGAAGAGGTTGATGGACGACTACTTTGCGGAAGAAGAAAAGAGGAGCAGAGAGCTGGATCGAAACGTTTCTACAAGCAAGACACCACCGCCGCCGCCTCCTAAAGCCGGTGGTCCTCCCCCGAGAGCGCCGCCAAAGGCCGAGGAGCCGAAAGCTGACGGCGGGGATGATGATGATGATGATGTCGACTAGACGTAGTGTCACGACTTGAATGGAGATATAATACAGCAAGAAACTCAAAGAAGCACGATTTATTCATTTGCTTGCTATACATGGCCGTGACCGTAATGTTTCTCTTAATACAGAGATTTTCCGCCTTATAACTTGAATCCAGCAGCCATTGAAGCTCCGTACTAGTCTCGATATACCTCCTACGAGCTGTCCTGTTTAGTTTATGAAGTTGACGCAGAAAAAATGTAGGATTAGGCTGCCGACGACGTAATCTGCAAATGCCCTATACGGAGATATTAGCTTCATCGATCTGACACTAGAGCTAGGTAGGATGCGTACCTTTCTGGAGATACCGAAGGGAACTCGGACTTGTTCGCTTCTGTAGTCTGTATGCGTAGTGATGCTATTCCCATCGTTAGCACCCCAATTAGCCTCCCCTGTCCAATTCGTTCCAGAAAACGTACCGGTAAGGACGAATTGGCCAACTGTTGCCGAGAAACCCGAGAGGAAAGCGTTGAATGGCTGTACGCATCAAGCACCAGTTAGCAAGCTCCCCCGAGAGCATAGTGAAGCAAGGTACATACGTAATTGCCCACCAAGACACAGTACGCAAATTGCAGACCACCGACAACAACCAAGAATGCCATGAAGACGTCAAGTAGCTTGGTGCGCTGAGGCGTCGTCTTCTGGTAGTGGTCGACTATATTCCATGCTACATGGTCGATCGCCTGAGGACCGCTAGCGCTAGTCTTGGCTACGGCAACGCTGGGAGCTGTCGTAGGTGCTGCTGGTGTGGTTGGCGCGGGCGCGGGCGTGGGTACGGGCGCAGGAGTGGTAGCAGCAGCAGATTTTTTGGGTGCCATGGTGGTTATATCGAGTCTGGTACTGGTAAAGGTGTGAATTAGATTTGAAGAGTGCTTGTTGAGTTACGGTTTAGTCGTCGAAATAATGGGTCCGGGATTGCGTGTAAGGGACACGAAAGCTTCAAAAAGTTCATGGTTCACATCAACGATAAAGCAGCCAATGAAACGGGTTTGCTGTGGGTACGTTAAGTCAGGTACCATGGGGTAAATGTGGCTGGTACGATAGAGCTTCCGCCACAGGACCTAGGTACAATTACCTTGTATCCAATTGAATCTCGAATCTTCGCCAGGTCCATCGCATCCCCTCGGTGCTGCGGCCCCGGGGGTCCGGCCTTCCGAGCTCGTCATCTATGATACCTACAGCCTTAACATTTGTCTAACTTTACAAACTTGACTTCCAGCAACACCATTGGCATCGAGCAAAGCTAGAGAACCTCCCATATTGCCGTTAAAATACTCTGCAACTTCTAAATCATCAAGTTTCGAGACAGAATGGTGAGTTGAACAAATCCGATGATCCGTCAGAGCTGACGTGGGGTTCCGTGGCAGGCTCTAGAGACTATCGCATTTATCTTGGGCGCCTTGACCGCAAGCGGCGGTACGATAGGCTACGTCAAGACGGGATCTGTCCCATCTGTCATAGCTGGCTTGACAGTGGGTATATTGTGTACGTCCAGAGTTCCCAGGCCAAGAACAGGCTGATTTATAATATGGATTAAACTAACTTGATGTCGCAAAGATGCCTTGGGAGGATATCGTTTGCAATCGCGTCAGTCTTTCGGTATCGAACTCGCTCTCCTCGCCTCCGTTGTCCTCGGTGGAGCCTCTATTCCCCGAGCCCTCCGTAGCGGAAAGCCAGTCCCGACTGTTCTAAGCTTCATTTCCGCCTTCGGTTTACTGACCTTCGGCAATGCCTTCAGAAAGACTTTGTGAGGGAGTGGTTGATTGCAGTGTGGGTCGACGTTTCTGCGATAATTTGTGGCGCAACGAATTCAGGTCAACCAGTATGTAGCTGTCAAATTGAAAGGATATTCGGTAAAAACAAGCTTTGGAACCGTTATCAGAGTAGAGTGTAAACACCATCCAAGTATCCTCTTGCGAACAGACCAACCTGCTAGTGTAAACCAAGCCAAAATGCTACAACACTCTTTAGAACACCATGCCATGCCATGCCATGCAAAACTCAAGAATACCCTCGACATATTCTCGCTGGTTATAATACAGGAGACTAGTAGGTTTCGTCATATATTCGTCACGAGTTCTCGTCGATATCAGCCCATGCCGACTTAATCTTGTCGCGCTTGGCTTTAGCAACTTCTCGGTTCTTTGCGGTACGTTTTAATCGCTCGGCTCGGAGGCATAGGGTAACTTGATGTTTAACGTCGTTGCACATGCCCATCGACTTCCAGAGGAATCCCCTGGCATGACATTCTTCAAGGGCGGTCATAACCTCTTCGCAAGCTACGAGATATGCCCATTAGTTATTTTATTCGTAGGTGTTGATAGGCTAAAAGACGTAAAGACATACCAATGTTATCCTTTGTGTGTAAGTGCGGATGCATATTTAAATGTCTTGGAAAAATAGACTTCGAGACGAGGTTGTAGGAAGATGATCTGACTGGTCTCAATGGTGCCACTCTCGGTCGCAAACCAACCAAAAACTGGTCGCGACAAGGAACAAATTTAGGCAAAGCATGGTCCACTTTTATAGGCCCCACAATCACCCCTCCAGCCCTTCTAACCCCTCCAATGAATTAATTTCTAGTTGCTCACTACAACAAACGTCAATTAATTCAAAAGCTTCTAGATAAAAGTTAATCTTATCTTAAGATACCTAGTAGTGTATTACTCCCATACACTACTCCCCGTATCAACTCCATCCCGTCTCCTTATAGTGCCAACCACATAAAATCATAATCATGGCATCTAAGGGGATATCGGCCAAGAAGCAGCAAGGTGTGTCGCTAAGAACAACTTACATGAAGACCGAGAGCTTTCACTGATTTTATCTTGCAGAGCTGCAAACAACATATTCAAACTATAAGAATACCCTGCAGCAACTGGCTCAGAAGATTGGTGATGTTGAACAAGAAGCCGAAGAACACAAGTTCGTGAGACTCTTCTTCTACCCTCTCATTCTTGACATCACGGAACCACATTCGTGAGCTCCCTGGTATGGCACGGCATGGCAATCCGCTCGCGTGGCCTCAGCCCTACCAGGGTTATTTTTTTTTTCTCTAGCGTCTTGACTAGATCGTCTCACGAACCTCACCGCTTCACTTGCTGAACTCACCGCTAATCTGGCAACTGTTCTGTCTGACTATGTAGGCTTGTTCTTGATACCTTGGAACCACTTCCGCGGGATCGCAAGTGCTTCCGCATGATCAACGGCGTGCTGGTGGAGCGGACAGTCCAAGACGTAATCCCTGCTTTGAGGACAAATGCTGAGGGGTTGAAGAAGGTGCTCGACGACTTGGTCAAGCAGTACAAGATCAAACAGGACGATTTAGAAAAGTGGAAGGTACGTCACCTTCTCAAACTTGGAATATCCGGCCTATCCAGCTTGATGACTCTGCCCCATTTCAACTGTCATAGACTTACACAACCGTTTGAACAGAAGAAGAACAACATCCAGGTTGTACAGTCGTGACGCAGCCTCGGCGCTGCAATGCAGAGGAGTAGCTATAGAAACCATGCTAGGATTACGATACGGATAGACGTGTTTTCGAGGCCCTCGATAGCCGTTTTGAAATGAATAGGCTAATGGATGATTACCAAGTCAGACAGTATCTAAGTACGACCGATTCATAGAGTGCGTTGGTCTTTAGGCACTATAACTATATTAGAGACTCGATCGAGATCGAGCCGGACTGACTTGTTGTACGACGCTGAGATAGGTGAGATGGTGCCATATAGCCCTCGCCTTGAAGTCGTCGGCAAAGGCACAGCGATATCAAAAAGATGGTGTTGATGCGTTGTACAATTGGAGGTGCAGGCGGCGGAGCCTAGCGTTAAGAGCGTCTCAGTGCCTAACGACAGGCTTCTGTCAAGGCTGTCATGATCAACGTTTGCAAGCGGTAGTGATTGGAAGGCAGGCCGCGGAAAGAGTTGGCTGTCTTGACTGGTCGTAAATGATCTGATCAAATAGGGCGGCTTACGCTGACTCTGCATCTACGAGGCACACTGATATAGCGTGCCATCAATACAACACCCCTGTACCGTATTAAAAGTCGAAGAATATGGCCTGAAGAGATGATGGACTACATATGGATTTATCTGCCTCGTTTATCGGCAGATGTTCCGAGGGCGGGGTCCCTGGCATTGCACTTGGGAACTCCACATGCCACATGACGATTTCCTTAGAGTGCCGGCGATGCTCAGGTGGTCGAGTGACAACGTGTCGCTGATGACAATGATCTGCCTGCCTGAGACAGGAGTGACGGTCCTCCTACATAGTAGATACATGGTAGACTGCGCAAACCGCGACTCGCCCACCTAAGGCGTGCATAACATGAGATAACATAAGTTCGTGGAGGGGAGTGACGATAAAGACTGCTACGATCCTAATTGAAAAGCTCGGCCCAACACATGGTAGTCTGCAAGTGCTGGGTTGCCTTGGACGTGATACGGAATTCCCGGGCAGCTTTAGCAGGACGAAAGGTACGGCGCAATGCTGCTCTATGTAGGTCGCTCGATCGAAGAGGTAAATCTTCAGCTGGCTTGAATAGGGAACTACACACGAGTACTTCTGAGCTTCGCACGGCTGCACGGCTGCACCTCTGCCCAAGTGTCAGCAGGGTGTTAATCCGGAGGGGAAGATGGGGGGAATATCCCACGTCCCTTTCCGAACCGGACGGGAGAGCCTCGGGGCTGTTTGATTTTTTTTTTTTTTTTTAATATAGCAGCGCGTTAGATGTACACTATATTGTCGCCAATGAGTTGCTTTCCCAGTACAACGGTAACTGTCATTTTAGTGCATCCTAGAGCGAATCTTAGTTTAGATGGGATATTTAAACATTACATCTGCTAAGTACCGCATGAGACGGCTACAAGGCTACTTTCGCATCCCTTTCGCATCCCTTTCGCATCCGACGATTGGGCATCCATGGGATCGTACGTATATATGTGGGTTCGTAGGACACAGTTAGGCCGCATACAACGTGCATGTCGGTAGGTACCAGGTGCTCAAGCGTACAGATTTGAGGTCGACCAAGTACGCAAGTACGGTGGTATGTAGCACCTAAGCTTTGCAGGGCTGGCCGGCCAAGAAAGAAGGACTCGATTTGATGGGCTACCAGGATTAAGCGATGACGGCGATATCGCCATGGAAGCTTTCAAAGCCTATCATTCTCTTCTCCACATTCCGGGACAGGAAGAAGCTCCTGAATTAGAATTGCGATTTTACTTCCAATCAGAACCGAAACTCGGTGCTAGGTATTGCAATTGGCCGGTAAAGGGTATTAATGCGAACCCCTAACCTACCTAGGCTCGTCTTTACAGCCAGTCGTCATCCTCTTCATCTCGAGATGCTGAAATAGTTGTCCAAACAGATGTCGCGGCCCCCAAGATCGAGGAGCCATAAGCCAGGCCGCGCTTCCTGTTCCTGTCGGGTAAGCACATACATGGGACAGCTGTTTATTTCGGGGATTGTCGAATCAGCGATGAAATCACCCCTCCACTCCGTCCCGCGTCGAAGGTGAGTGCGTTACCTAGATGGGTATCACAACGACCGCAACGACCGCATGGGGCAAGCGACAACGGACGTTTGGCAAAGGTTTAAGATGCCGATAATATGAAAATAGGGCTGCCTATATCTCAGGACATCATGCGCTCAGCCAACTTGGGGTAAGTTGACTTCACCGCTTGATGTATGAGATGCATCGGCCGGCTTGGTCCGTAGGGGGGATGGGCCGGTGTGGCGGATATGATGGCATATTACAGACCAACAGTATTGCTGCGTCTCAGCACCCGAAAGCTACTTGCGACTTGAGCTGAAAAGAAAATCAAGATAGCCAAGGGAGGGATTTATGCGCAGATTTCAGATTTGAGGTAACCTCGAGGACGAAAGTTGTTGTTGAGTACCTAGGTAGGTATAATGTTAAGTCCACGGATACCTAATGTGTTAATATGTACCTAACGTTAGTAACTAAGCCTTAAGGTATTGATGTTTGATCGAGGTAATCGGTATAGTTACATGGATGTATAGAAGTATGTAAGTTACCTAAGGTAACTTAGGTATTTATCTGTTGATTTGGAATTGAAGTAAGCGCGATACATATTATACATGTCTATACATATAGTTACCTTCGGTACTTTCTAAAAACGTATGGGAATATAGAGAGTAATTATTGCCATCTAGCATTTACTCTTTCCTATTTCCTATAGATGCGCCAACTTGCTGGCCTGTTTTCTTCCAATATTATCTCTTCATTCGTGTACAAGTCAAACAGCTGTCTCCTTGACTCATCGATTCTTAATTAATTTCTATTATTAACGTCCAATCTTTTCCCACGCTCTATTAGTTACGTTGCGGTTCTTCCTTAAGTGGTTTCCTGCACGTTCCCCACGTAAATGCAAGCTTCAACGTTCCTATGGGACGTGCATGACCTACTTGCCAGGTAGTTACCTAGTGTAGTATACTAGGTTAGGTAATTCATTATCCACATCTGTGCTCATTATGTTTGCTTTTAACTTATACATGCAAAAGAAATACGAGGTATTATAGTAGTTTGTTATATTTTGGATTTGCAGCTTGTATCCTGAGGATAGGTATATTATAGGGGCTATGAAATATACCTAAATCAATACTCAGATATCAGTCTGCTGAGCCAGACGCTGATTTTCTATTTGAATCTATCTGAACCAGATACTTAACGAATAGCCTACGTAATTATAACAAGGAATAATGGGAACATATCTTGTTTGTATATACCATGTTGATGATAACGCGCTATGCGGCCAGCCCGTAGAAAAATCCACTTCTGTGCATCCAACCTCGAGCTGGAGTTTTCCAGAAAACCGCCCCCAGTTTTCGTCAAACCTGAAGTCTTGCTTCTTTGTCGTATGTTCCTTACATTTTACATTTCAACTATGTAATAAGTCTTTCTGAACGTTTGTCCATAGAAAGAGATTCTAACAAGTTTAATTTTTGGTGTAACCCATACTGTACATATTCACCACACCCTTACGAATAAGTCAACCTTAGCCGAACTACCTACTATAGTAAAACGTTGCTGAGCTAGCCAGCTATTGTAGCTACTGTAGCTATGACAAACCACGTACTGTTTGTAAGGGTTATAAGGCAGCCGCATTTGTCCACTGCCAACTCCGAACGTTAATTCCTCATACTTGGGAGAGAACCCGTCAACCCCACGTACCGGGCACCTTATATACATACATACATCAATTTTATGTACCATTCTACATACATCCCAATCTACATGATGCAGCAAGGTGATTTTGCTTTGAAAAACTAGGTCGCCCTCCCTGCCACCCCAGCGCTAGGAAGTTAGTATGTTAGGACATTGCGAAGTAGCAATTAAGACTGGCTTCGATAGCTGAAATATAGGGTACTATACGGAGGGTACCTGTAGCAGGTATAGATTTCTAGTAGGAAGGAGGTAGGTACGTTTGCATAGGTAGGTAGTTAGCATGTAGTATGTAGTTACATAGTCTGTTAGTTAAAAGGAAACAGCGGGTCTCCTAAGTAACGCAACCCTCGGCGCCTTCTCAGGGAGAGAGATGGAAGGACCCGCAGCAAATCCCCGCTTCCCTTTTCCAAACCCGGACCGGTTAGGTTAGGTACTTTTGTACCTCAGATCGCATCCTGTCCCATTCTCCCACATCCACATCCACATCTCCGTCGAGTCTGTCCACACAAAAGTCACGTCGGTCTTTTGTGACTTTGTACCGTACACCAAACACCACCCAACCGCACTACTCACACTACTTACTCACTACACACTACACTACACTACACTACACTACACCACGCTACAGTATACTACCTACACTATACCAAGCCCAGGCTTGCTGCATACACATCCATACACGTCCCGTACATACCCTTACATATCGCCTGTTGCTGCAGATTCCGTCATAGCCTGAAGTTCGCGACAGGGCGTGCCAGCGGGACAAGTAAATAGCTCTAGGTCATAATTCTGGGACCCGCGCGACAGGGCAGGATTGACGCACTCGTCTGCAGCTAAGCCGCGCTCAGTTGCAAGCCCTACCACTTGCAACGTGTCAGAGGCAGGGACACATCATCTCTACCTTGTAACCAGCTGTGCGAGCTGGCAGTCCAAGAAAATTTTACAAGAAGCTACCACCCGCTGCAGGTAGCCAAATATGTCGGATTCCCCCCAATCTCCTCCAAAGGACGTTGAGCCAGGTGTACAGTCACCCGACGATGAAGCACAAATGAACGACCCTCAGGACCCACACGGCTCTGGCCTTGCCTATGAGTTCGAGGTAAAAGAGCAGGACAGGTGGTTGCCCATAGCCAATGGTGAGTTGAGACCCTCCTCCGACTCTTGTCTCTGATTTGGTGCATCCGAGTCTGCTTTTGGGATCTGGCCTGCAAGCTTCGAAAGAGTATCGCTCCTGCGGAGCTCTGACCGCGGCGCGTCCGTCAATTGGTGCTTTATGGGCCCCCTTAGCTCGAGACAGCCGCGCATCAGCAGAAGGCGTCCATGTCTCACGATTCGTCGTCTAAGTCGCCAGAAGCGCCTCGCGCTTCTAAAGCCGACAGGTATGATGTTTACGATGCTAACATACGAAACTTCGCTCCAGTTGCCCGGATCATGAAAACCGCACTACCCGAGAATGCTAAGATCGCAAAAGAGGCAAAGGAGTGTATGCAGGAGTGCGTGAGCGAGTTCATCTCCTTCATTACCAGCGAAGGTGAGTGCGCAACCTTATCTTTCATCTTGCTAGTGTTTATTCCTCCTGATGCAAGCGAAGGCTAACACCGTACACAGCATCGGAGAAATGCCACCAGGAGAAAAGGAAAACCGTTAACGGCGAAGACATCCTATTCGCCATGACATCTCTGGGCTTCGAGAATTATGCAGAAGCATTAAAGATCTACCTATCCAAATACCGAGAGGTACTGTTTCCGCCGGCGTCCCTTGCTTGGAGGCGCGCGCGCCGTCTGTGCCTGACCTTGCTTATGAGTAGTGCTAACCAATGACCAGCAGTCCCAGTCCAACCGGGGTGAAAACCAACAGAACAGGCCGAACAGCCAGGGTTACGGAGCCAGCGCGCCGAGCGGATCCGGTGCTGCTGGAACCTCGGGATTCCAAGGAAGTGACGGGGCGGGAGGTATTGGTGAATCAGGCGAAGGCTACATTTACGCCCAGCCTAGTCACAACGGCGCGGCCGGCGAGACCTATTAAGTTTTGCGCTCAGCGTCCGCAGACGAGATAACCGGGTTATAGAACCTCGACCTGATTTCTAATATCTAGTTTGAGACGGTCTATACTACTTTCAAGTGTGTATAACTACTGGGATTCTGAGGGTTTCGGCGCATTCATCCCCAGATTGGTTCTTCGGATCAGGGATGAGTGTCCATCTTTTACCCCTGTATATGGACTCGCAATGGATGGCGATGGAAGGGGGACTGCGCGTTAAAAAAGGGTCTGGTTTCGCACTTTTCACTTCGATAGATTCCCCAAGGCGTTCTTCCCCCCCTATTCGGTTCTCAACGCTTCTCATGATCAGTCTTGAGATTCCGCGACAGTTTACATTTGGCAGTTATTCTGGCTTCACGAGCGTTGGAGAACAGACCAATTCTCGAAGCATTACAAGCTACCTATATAGCATTATTTCATTATGTTGAGAAACGAATTTATTTTATTATTTTCTTCGGTATATTCAAAAGGTTGCTACCATGTTGGCTTATAGCTAGCTATAAACCCTCACAAAACAGATTTTTAACAAGTATTATTACAGAATTCTCATATGTCATTTATGATTATGATATTAAAGGCCAAATGCTTTGGACACTAGTAAAAAGAACTCAAATTTTATATACGTAGGTCCTTGATTGATATGTTAGGGTAGCTCATTAGTATACTTTATGAGGTTTGTGGTGGAGGTTTGTGTAAGTCGATTGGTCTAACAAAAATCTGCTTGAACACCTTAGGTATCTAGGTACCTACTACGTAAGCAGCATGGCTGGAATTATAGCATTTAAAACGGGCCGTCGTTGCCCCTCCTACTTGTTATCCGAAGACCCCTGTATTTTTTTTTTCTGTGGATGAGGACGTGCATATTGCATATCGCTGAAATTTTGTGATTTTGCTTCTTCTAAAATTTCTCTTCACAGCCTTGCCGACCCGCGTCAACCTCGCGATTTCACCATAAAACAGCACTAGGACCAGTATGCCGGAGTACCGCATAATAGAATCTACGGCGGTTTGGACTTGGCATTCGATAGCAGACTTGAAAACAACCTAAAATCCCGTAAACAAACCTCTATGTCACTCGTTATGACCAGTGCCACCCCGCAGCAGCTTGCTCGGCCGCCGGCGAAGGCAACTCCGCTTAAACCCATACTGAAGTCGTCTTCATCATTACTCAACACCAAGAGAACTAGCGATGACGCTGGCCTCGACAGTGATAGCATGGAAGCCCCTGAGAGTCCCCGAAAACGCCAAAAAGTAGAGTTTGATCTAAATAATATCGAGATTCACGAGATTGGAATACGATCAGTAGACGAAGTAAAACAGGAGGTTAGAAAGGCCTTGGATCGTCATGATCAGGGAGACGACGAGGATTACGATATATTGAAAGAGACGCTATCTGGGAAGCAGTCGTCATATGTAGATGACGAAGACGAGGATGCGGATCCTAATTTACCAGCAAAGCAACGTCAGGAACTTAAGGTCTACTTGATCTCACTTGCGAGCTTCTCTCCTCGTCTAGGGAGATCATGCGATGGTCTTGTTAAGAGCATATTACAATGCCAATGGCTTGGGCGGGACGAGCAATTTGCGAAAATCTATGTCCAATTCCTCGCGGCCCTCGTCAGTGCGCAAGGCGCCCGTTTAACACAAGTCTTATCATCCATAGTCGGCAGATTTACCGACTCTCGACCCTCTGACTGGGCGGTCCCTACCTACCCGAACGTCAACCGCGAGACTGCGCAAGAAAGACTTCACATTGCACTACGATACCTAATACAATTATTTCCCGCCGCCAAGCCCGTCCTAGAGCATCTCACGGCTACCAAGTACCCCTTCCATGACGAGTCAAAGCGGATGCATTTGGTATATGTCGACAATCTGTTGAGACTACGGTCATACTGCCCCGACCTGAAGACTGAGATTATGGACTTAATCGTCAGTCGCCTAGTCAAAATCGATGTGGAAATGCAAATGGACCTGGACGATATGGACGATAGGCTTACCACAATGGTGGCGATGGCTCTCCGTTCTTCTCGAGAGAACAGAAATCAGGACGAAGAAGAAGATGATGAGAGCGATGCCGAGTCGGTAGACAGTGACGAATCTGAAGATGACGAGTATACGCGCGTGAAAACAGCAAAGGAGAACATTGAGAAGATGGATTCTGTCCTTGACACCCTCTTCGAGCTTTATACGCCTAGCTTCGCCGATCCGGACTCGGATGAGGCTCTAGAGGCGTTTGAGGACCTACTATCTGAATTCTCGAGCATCATCTTACCTACAATCAAGTCAAGACATACTCAGTTCCTGATCTTCCATTTTGGCCAGAAATCCGAGAGGCTCATGGATGCATTCTGCGGCACGTGCATCAACATCGCTTTCGAATCTCAACGCCCAATGATCCTACAGCAGGCGGCGTCCGCCTATTTAGCGAGCTTCGTCGCTCGTGGAGCTCACGTGCCAGGCCATATTGTCGTAAAGATTTTTGAAGTTCTGGGTTTCCACTTGGATCAGATGCGAGCCCTCTACGAGATATCATGCCGTGGGCCTGACGTTCGCCGATATGCGCCATTCTACGCGCTAGTACAGGCGTTGATGTATGTTTTCTGCTTTCGATGGCCGGACCTCATCAAGTCGGTACCCGACGAAGTGGATACAGATGACCTTTCATCGTACCTAGGCCAGGAAATCGAATGGGAACCAGAGATCAAAGATATCATGCGTCGTAATATCCATTCGAAGCTAAATCCACTCAAGGTCTGCTCGCCAGCGATCGTGGAGCAGTTCGCAAAGCTAGCCCATCGGTTTGGATTCATGTATGTGTATCCAACTATCGAGTCGAATAAGCGACTTCGTCTATCACAGTTCTCAGCCGGGGCATACTCTAGCGGAGGCGCCCTGCGCGACCTGTCTTTCGATGTGAATGACGAGAGCTGGCAGCAGCTAGGATCCTTCTTCCCGTTCGACCCATACCAACTCCCAGTAAGTAAGCGATGGGTGGAGCAGGATTATCTCCAATGGCGGCCTATACCCGGCCTCGACCGAGACGAGCAGGATGAGGATAGTGACGAGGAGGAACGTGATGATGAGAAGGAAGAAGTTGACGAAGATACCGCCACAGAAGAAGAGGTCGGCGAGGACGAGTAGTTGCCTAGGTTAGGTTACTTGATATAGATTCTACGACATGCATCTAATCGGCGTTGGTACATGGTAAGGAGGGGCTGGACAAAAAGGGAATGATACCTGTATTTAGGGATGGCGCTCTCGGTCAGAACTGACCGTAATAATGATTTGATACATGTTTCTAGGATGCTGGGCGTTTTACCTTTCTAGTCGATGACGCTTTTTACATCTGAAGTTAGATATCTTGGTCTCTAACCTGCATATCCGCTTTATAGTAGAGGATGAGACTTGTGTAGGTATTGCATGTACTCGCCGCAAATGTTGCATTTCGGCACGAGTTCCATAATAGCTGACTCGAGATTCAACAAGCACAAAATAAAAAGGAATCAATAAGTTTGAGGTTATAAATCACTATTTCCTTTTATGTATTGTACCCTTTAGTATTTATAACCCCTGCACGTGCGCCCCAGGTTTTCGCTCGATTCTCAGAAGAGGAGACGGAGATTCCAAATCACTGGCCTCTCTGCCTCTACAACCCCTGGAATAGCCCCACGTCTGCTTATGCTTACTTGTTCGGTTTGTAGCCGCACCACCGCCGTAACGATAACGGTGAAATCTCTTCTGTCTACTCGTCGCCGTATGTACCGCTGTCCCGGGTAACGTAACTTCAGCGTCGTGGGGTCCCGGACGTCTTTGCTAAGGTATTGCTGTTGTGTGCGTGTGTGTGTGCGTGCGTGTGTGTGTGTGTGCTAGGAAATATGGCCGGGTCGCCGTTGGAAGGGGAGGGGACGGGTAACATTGCGGCGGAAGACAGTCATAGTACCAAAAGTGGCAGAGCGAGACCCTCGTTTACCGACTATTGGAAACGCACCAAGCAGGCGGCGAGACGTATTACCTTCGTCTCGAGTAACCCGGAACAAAGTACAGGTACGTGATGATATGTCATTATCGTACACATGCTCTCAAACGGGCTGGGAGTATTTGTCATAGACTCATAGGGCTGAGGCGCCGCGTGACGAGCGTGGTGTTGGTTGGTAGTAGAAATCAAATCACAGCGCGGCGTTGGCTGGTTGCTGTATTGCACCAACGCAAAGTACTGCCGGCCTTAAGGGGCGTTATAGGGGTGGCACGAAGCAGCCAAGGAGATGTCCCGTTTGTTCCTCTATTATATCCCCTATACGACTAATAAGTAGCACTCGCATCTTGATTTCATGCTACCTTTGCCTAGACCTAGCAGATGGTCTGCATCTCTCGCTACTGGTCATCCAGCGCGGGTAGAAGCTTACTAGACTGCGCATGACTATTTTCATACATATACATACACATACACATACACACACACATATATATATATATATGTATCAGACGTATGGCCATGTCGCATGTCGTGCTAGTCAAGACTAACACTTGGCTATTATACACAGGGCCCAGGAAACCCAATTCGAATCAGGACGACGACGACGACGACGATCAGCAGGAGGGCCACCAGAGCGCGCAGGCTAAGGCCCTAGCTCGACGGCAGCAGGTCCGCAAGGCGCAGAAACAGCATCGCCAGAGAAAGGTCAACTACACTAATCAGCTCGAGATGGACGTCGCCAAGCTGCGCGACTTGATAGAGCAGACGGAGCGGGAGAGTCTCGCCATCAGGAACGAGAACGAGACTATCCGCCGTCGTCTCCTTAGAACGACGGCTCCAGCTCCGCAGGCTAGTCTGATGCCGCCGGCGTTGACGTATGGGTCTTCGACGTCGCTGCCGGAGTACACGGTCAGTCTTATTAACTCGTCCGAGGCCCCGAACAAGCCCATGTTCCAAGTCCAGCGGGTGTCGGGGCAGTCATCGGGGTCTTCGCTCGGCGGGTTCGCAAACGAGCAGACGGCTTTCGGTGCGGGTGGTGGGTTTGAAGATGCCGGAGTAAGGGGGAAGGGGTTGTTGACAGAGACGGAGACTGATCAGGCAATCAACTTTATCCTAGAGTACGGATTATTCTTTTCTCTCTTTGCTTTCCCCGTTGCTCTTATTATATATAAGGGATCTTTCCCCTTGGCTCTTGGAACAGTCATAAAGAGGAACAAGAGGCAAAGCTAACACCATCGAATATAGGCTCGAGCGCATCTGCTGGGACCACTTCCACCCCTCGATGTACGACCACAACGACTACGACCCAGAAGCGCCCGAGCACGGCCACTCGCTCATGGTCAGCACGATGGCACTGCGCAGCGCACCGCCGGAAGCCTGGGCGCAAATCAGCGCGGAAAAGGCTCGACAGGCCTCGCTCCCCTCGCAGTCGCACTTTGCACCTCCTCTTCCTCCTCCTCCTCCTCCTCCCCCCGTCTCTACCTTTCCCTCGGACACCCACACCCATCCCCATCCCCATCCCCATCCCCATCCCCATCCCCATCCCCATCCCCATCCCCACACCAACATAATAACATCCTGGCCCACCCTTACCCCCACCCCCAGCACCTCCACCTCCACCTCCACCTCCACCTCCACCTCCACCGCCGACCTAACCCTCTCCAACCTGCGCAGCCTAGCCGCCGCCCTCAACCCCAACCCAGAAGACTCCGCCGAGCTCGCCCCCGTGCAGGCCTGGTTCGAGATCGCGCGTCTGTACGGCGACAGCGCCGCCGCCGCCCTCCTCCGTGACGCCGCGCGCCTGGGGCGTCTGCGCGCCGAGATGGCCGCCGCCGTCGACTGCGTATTCTACGGCGCTGTGATACGGCGCGCCGACTTCGAGGGCACGCTTGAGAGGGTTATGGGGCCTCCCGTTGGCGGGGGCGGGAGTGCCGTGCCGGCTGGGTATTCGGAAGGGGGGACGGTTGTTTGATAGTATCTCGATGCGTTAGGTTAGGTTAGGCTAGGTTAGGTTAGATGCCTATTCCCCTGGGAGGAGGGAGAAAAGAAGAAGAAGAAGAAGAAGAAGAAGAAGAAGAAGAAGAAGAAGAAGAAGAAGAAGAAGAAGAAGAAGTAACGGGGATAGGGTAAATTTTGTTTACGGCATAGGGAGAGAGAACGAACGGGTATATACATAACTACGACTAGAAGCAAAGCAGAGCATACGATGCGAATAACATAGGACTAGATTGGTCTTCTAGAAACAATACAGATGTTCATAGAATTCGTAAAGCATAGAAAAGGGGAAATGGGTCTTGTAAAATTATTCTATAATATGAGAATTAATCAACATGCCGAGGGTGAGTTCTGTAAAGGGGTTGAGTTAACCATCCCCCAAGCGCTCTGCACGGCACCAACACTAGTTAGTATAATCAATAAGAGGCACATAGCAGTGTAAATATACAGCATTAATATGATGCTTAATAAGTCGTCATCTACTTTATTCACCTATCTCACTAGGTAGCGTTCTAATCCGAGAGGTAAAACGCTACACGGCTAGATCTAATACACGGGATAACCTTCGACCTGCCCCTTATAGTCCCTTCCCCTCTAGTTAGCTACAACTACAACGCCTTAACAATCGTCCGCTCATCAAACAAGTCTCTCAACAGACTATCCACACACGTCCCGACGTCCAACGTACCCATAGCATACGTAGACTCAAACGCGTAGATGCTCAACTGTGCGAAGAACGGCCGCAATATCTTGGCTACCAGCTCGTCCTTCCTATCCACCGTTAATTCGTCGCTGATACCTCCCGGATGGCCTAGAAGCGGCCTCCGCTGAGGCGGTCCACTTATAGTTGTTGCGGCTGCCGATTCTGTCTGCAAGGCCGCAGTAGTAACATTAGATGCTACATTGCCTAGTTCTTCTGACAGTTCGTCCACGAGTGCTACTGGCTGGTAGCTAGGAGATCGGTAGATGGAGTCGATGGTATCCGTGACAAAAAGCCACTCGTGTAACTGGAAGTCGTCCGGCGCTGCAGCGATGAGCAGATCTAATAGCTTGCAAGCCTGTAGAATGGACGTGTTGTTAAAAGTGTCCGATGAGGCGCTGTTGTCTGGTGCTGCCACAGAGGATATGGCTGCGTGTAACTCAGCATTGATGGTTGGCCAGATAGGCGCAAGGTGGATGACGGACGTCCGAAGTATAAGGGCACGGACCACCATGTAAATCTCGGAGCGTGTAGTTGAGGAAGGCGAAGATGTGGATGTCGCCGCAAGGAGTTCGATGAGGCGTTCGAGGATAAGCGGAAGGTCTGTGACGAATGTGTCCATACCACACGCAAGAATCAGGGTTGCAACGCGGCGCAGATTGAGCTGTGTCTTTCGGTCTGCTTCTAATCTTGCAGAAGTAGCACCCACTCCGAAGACTATACCAGCTGTTGTGGGCGGCGTTATTCGTCCCAAAATTTCGGGCATCCGTTCCTTATCTGCAACAGTCCAAAGCTTCAATAGGGGTAACCAGTCGCTTCGTACTAGAATAACGGACGAATTGAAGAATCTAGAATCGTTAAAAGCGTCACCGATGTCTTTCTTCCAAGTTTTCTGGTTGTTTGGGAGCCTGGTCAATTCTTGGAGTAGAGTTAATGTGCTCTTGGAAATAGTGTCGGGAAAGGCCTTCGAACGAATAGAGGGGCCAATCACGTTTGTAGAAATAGCGCCTGCTGCTGTCAAAACGCGATCGGATTCTACGAGGATTTTGGGTAGGTTAGGCACGATGTGAGATAAGATGCCGACCACATCATCTGCCCTCTCGGCTGGCAATACAAGACGACCCTCGCCGACTTTTGACTTCTCCGACTGTAGGGGTGATTGGCCATCTGTAAAAGAAGCTGGTCTCGTGGTGAAAATAGCCGTGAGCAGTCGCAGAAAAAGATCCTAATTTAATGTTAACAGCATGTTCAACGTATTTGAAACACATATAGAATACGCACTCCGAGCTCCCTTCGCATCTTTCTCTGCTCTCCGAAGTTTGTGTTATCGACCTTCTCGCCTAGAATTGCTGCGAATTCCAAGAGACTCGGTAATGTCTGCCTGTGCGGGAAAGGATTGCCTAAAAGATCCCTTAAAAAGATCATACAATCTTGCCAGATTTCGTCCATTGCGTCATCTTCAAGAGACCGCGCATAATCAACTAAGAAGATCACTAGATCTGTATCTTGTAGTTCGATGGTTAATGTTGACTTTCTGGATGTCTCTAAAGCGCTGGGGTTCGATCGGCTATAGATCGCATTGAAGATGGCGGGGATAGTATGCCTTGGCCGAGATCCATCTAGAGCAGGGAGTAAATTGAACACTTCCGAGTGTTTTGTTGTGTCAGGATCACTCAAGGAATTCCGCCAAATGTCAACTACCGTCTCTAAGCATTCTAATGCCTCGGCGGCGAATACGTGTTCTAGTAGGCGTCTAGCCCGATTTCGCATGCGCAGCGATGTGTATTTGAACGAGGAAGCCGAGTCAATATCCAGGCTAGTAGCTTCGCTTCCTTGTCCCCAAGACCAGATCTTGAAGCACATCCGGACAGCATCCTGGAAGGCAAGCAGAACAGTCAGCCTGTCATTGGCTGTCGCGCTTCGAGACTGCGGAGCATCTGAGTTAAACACACCAGATACCATGTTCCCGAAGAATCCTTGAGGCTGGTCAGGACTCTTTATGGCTTGAACCCTAGCTTCTGCGGCCAGCAATTGGTCATGCGCCTTAGCGAGAACTTGTTCGAGTGCGTTGAGTAATGATATAAGAGTCGATTCCGGAGCGTTAATCCGCTCTGGTGGCTTCCCATTTTGCTTGAAAGTCTCCTGTAGGTTGCCAAATGTACCGGCAACCTGACCGCAAAGCGTTTCCACTAAAGGAATCAGAACTTGGAAGATAGAATCCGAATAGAAGGGCAAGCACTCTGCGAGGAAGCCTACCCAGCTGTCTAGGACAGGTCGACTATTGGGCGACTCAAGACCAGCTTGTATACATTTGAGTAATGAAGGCGGTGGTGGGGTTACCTCAGGAAAATGCTCGAGAGATGCTGCAGACAACCGCACGCTACCGGACGCGTAGCTCATAGCTCGCTTCTCTCCTATTGGTGAAGACGGTGGTTCCATGGGTGATGCATCTCGAAGTTTTAACACGTCGAAGGTGACGTCGAGTAGAAGTACCTGAATATATGGGTCAGGTCCCCCAAGGGACTGAGTGAGTCGATCAATTAAGGTGTCTTCTAATTTTAGACGAGACAATCCGTCTGCGTAAGGATTTAATAGAATCTGGTGAAGAAAATTCAATGCGCAACGATGAAGCTGAGTTATTCGAAGTTGTAGGTGATTGTCACTCGGAAGTATATTACCGGCAATACATCGCATGCAAACACGCAGGAAAAACTCCAGGAGGGACAGGCTATTTTCCGTACCAGCTAGTTGCTATTAGTAAAGATTCAAAGACTCTCATGTGAAATTGTCTCACCTATTTCTATTAGACTCTGATTAGGTTCTTCAATTATCCTCGTCGCAAGAACCCCCCAGAACGCGTCAGGGGCCCACCGGAATATGTTGGACAGGGTACGGAGATAATAGAATGCTAGGTCAAGGTCATCCTCCGCTGAGAATTCAACAGATTGGCTCGACGCAACGGGATTAGCTGACGGTGGGAAAGTTCGAAGGAACTTAAGCTGCGATATTTTTGTGACGAAAATCGAGAACAACCTGGGTATTTGTATTAGCTACGTAGCTCTTAATACTCGTTTTGTAAGAGTTCAACATACTTATCAATACCACCCATGGTGTTCAGCCAATTCTTTACCATCATGAATAATTGGCTTCGCTCATCCAGTAAAGAATCAAGCATTAAAAATAGGGGTCTAGTGAGCATGACATCGTAGTGATCAATTCCAGACAATCGAGTCGGCGGCCTAAATTCACTAATAGGGGTCTTTGGAGCTCTTCGGTCGGAATGAGAGGCGTTATCATGTAATGTATGAGACCATAGAATGGTATAACTCCGGCCTGGGTCAGCCGGTCTTATGGCGAATGTGCCTGTCGTATCATCCTTGAGCATTAAATCAGCGATCACCGCTTCAATATCGCGGTTCGCAGTTGTGAGGGCTGTTTGCAATTGCCAGAGACATCTCACAGTTTCGACATGATACTTGGGTTCTGTTAAAGATAAGAAACCCCACGCGTGGCGAACTAACGGCTCAACTAGATCTGATAGGTGAGTTATTGGTATACGCTCACTGGTATAAAGTTGTGTAGAGAGAAAAAGAATTGATTTGAACGAGATGAAGGGTATGTTGGGTGCTGATAACCGTGCTTGCATAGCAGAGAGTAATCTTGCGGTATCTATAGTGTACTCTTCAGGAATTTTAGATAAAAGAAGCCCCATGAGTCGGCTTCTAATAGATATTGCGGCCTCCTGATTAGCAGTCGTTAGGCTATCGCAGGTCAGGTTGGATGCCTTTTGGATAAGGAGAGCCCCTACTGTCCGCGGCGCAAAAGGCGCTGGTGTAGCCTCGAGATTCCCTTGATCAGCGTCATAGAAGTTCCTAACCCTTTCAAGAACCTCGCTGTTTGACATAGACGCCACCACCGGCTCCTCTATGGATCCAACCGAGCCTCGCTCTCCTGACCTGTTTGGGAACGCTCGCTGGGGAATAAGCTCGATTAAATTGCGAGCAATATCGAGCGCCTGGGACTGAACAGCCGAGGCGTCGTTCCCACTTGGTGTTTTAGATGTGCTTCTATGATCCTTTACGTCCTCAAGCATTGCTAAGATGGAGAGGACAGTTAGAGGCGCGTGGACGGTTATCATTTCCTCATCCCGGATGTTAAAATGTGCCATGATAAATTGGACAAGTGCCAATTTCTCATTACGCTCCGCGTCCGTTGCATTACCCTGACCAACGGCTTGAGCCATAAGCCCTATCATCTCGCCGAATATGAGACCGCTCTCAACACCGTCAAAGAACACACTCGCACTGCGTAACACTTCATTGAACTCGGCCTTGCTAGAAGCTCTACTTTCGAAATTCTTAACACTGACCATTACGGGCAGGAAGATTTCTGGTACTACCAGACCGCCTATCTCCCACCTATCCATGAGTGATAGACATATTCGGTATGGTTGGGCTCTTTCTGTAGGATTGCTATTATAAGCGGTATTGATCATTGATAATAATGCTCGAGTTAGAGGATGCAATCCGTATTCCTCGAAATAACTCGTTTTGGAACCGAGAAACCTATGCTGGTCGGACGGGGAAGTGGGCGACTTCGCGCCATTCTCTTGTTCTTGACCTGAAGGTTCGGGTCCTAAAAACCAAGCCCAAAGTCGCCGGTTGAGACTCATATCCCTTCGGATGACAACACAAGCAGCGGCCCGAAGCAGAAGCTCTAAGTCGTCACTCTTGACTCTCTTCTGTAGCACCTTCGAGTGTAGGGGAAGATGTGTAACCAGAAGGTCCAGAAAACCTCGTTGTATGAGGAGCTGTTCGTCTCCCAATCCAGATGCAAAGCATCTAAGGAGTAAACCCGGTTCAGGGGAAGTTACAAGATTCGAAAGCTCAGATGATAGCGCATCGGCCTCGATCTCCTGGGCTTTATTTGGGTTTACGTCTTGGGTAACTGGGTGCCCTAACTTTGGTAGTCTGCGAATGAGATACGCAAGAGCACCAGGTCGCCGGCTCTGGCCTGTGATTGTAGCTAGAAAGAAACACTGCCAGAAGAAATCATCCCCAGTCGAATCTGTTGACGTAAGGTCCCTGCAATTTGGAGGTCGGATAACCACCTTGAATTTCTCTAATATCTTGAGCGTTCGTTCAAAATCTTCACTCGTTTCATCTTCTAATCCGGGTAGAAGAGCTAGGATAACACTCTTCATTGCTGGCCGTAGCGACCTGGGATCCACATGAAGAACATGGGCTTCGAGAAGATCGAGGAACGGGGCCCTTACCGTTAAGGACGCAAACGATAAGGTGGGCGCAAGACCTGGAAGGTAAAGAGGAAGATCCCTAGACAGGCCATCTTTCCCTATAATTGAGAATACGTAGGTATAGACCTCGAGCGCTTTCTGGTGTACGCCGGAAGGGAGCGAAGGGTTTAGACATTGCGAGAGGCGCTTTGCGACTAGAGTTTTCGAAGGGATGGACGTTATGCTAGCTTGGCGTGCTTGTAAGGCCTATAAGAAACATATTAGCTTAGCATTGGTTCGCAATAGTTAGGGGTATACATGTGAGAGGCGAGCCTCTTACTTTAAGCAGCCTGCTTAAGAAGGAGATATAATCCGCCCATTCTTCTAAAGCTGTATCAAACAGCGACAGGGCTCGCTCAACACCTGACGCGTACTTTCGGTAGTGCTTATCTTTTATAGGTGTATCCTCTACAGTTTAACTATGTTAGCAAGGCATAAGTAGTTGAAGTGGAATATCGGCATTGGTGTGAAATACCTGCGCCCAGTTGATTCCTCCATTGTCTTACGATGGGTGTGTTCTGCCCAGAGCTATCCGGAGAGATGGAACGACGAGGACCGGGTTCGAGGGCCATAGTAGTTACCTAACGTAGCTGATACTAAGGAGGCACTAGTCGTAAGACCATGGGGTCGCGTTCAAGACCAGAAGAATCGGGGCGCATATCTTTACCGCGGCGCATCTATATATGAGGTTCGTTTGTGGTTCAAGAAAGGCCACAGACGATAAGGTACAAGGTAACAAGGCACAAGTTAAAATAATTGAAGCGCATTGGATCTTTTTTTTGCGAATTACCTAACGTTGCAGGCACCCGCTAAACCGGTACAAGTTACGTCCCGCTCAGCCTGTCAGGGTACCTTCCGATTGCATGATTGCATAAAAGCGGTACCTCGAAACAGGGCAGGTTTTAGAGCTATCTTATTGGCTAGCCTAACATCTCCCCCGGCTTTATGCTAAAGATATCTCTCTTTCCGAAACCACCACTAGAATGAGGATAACCAGGGATGACGTTTAACAGATAACGATAAGGTGATCCACTGCCTTAACTCCTGTATTATACGTGACTAAGTTACTAGGTTACATGCCTCTTAGACTTTGTACTTATTAATTCCTCAACTTCTTCTCCTAATAAGAACCTATCACAAAATGGCGAATGATAGTTGAGGCTGAAGTCGAAAACGACTTACTATTCGATAAACTAATAATAAAAAAGGATGGTACAGCGAGTCATTACGGAAACGGAGGTACGATGAGCGCGGAGAATGCTGGCTCATCAGGGGACGCTGCCGCCTTAGGCGGAGAACGGCCTCCCCCTTTACCTCCTAGGCCATCTCAGACACAAGGCAATGGATCAACTACGGCAGTGCCAGAGAGGCCAAACTTATCGTCAAAACCGACTACTGCAATTTCATCCATGAATATCCAGACACTTTCATTTCCAGATGGGTCACGTGGAACCTTCTCGACAGCCGGGGAGAATAATTCCCAAGGCGCGGAGCAAACGTCTAGTTCGACAAATGCTGGGGTAGCAAGCATAGGTTTTAGTTCTATGGGCAACGACATAGACGATTCTATGAGTATCATGAGTCTTGCACCTACTTTACGACCACCGGGAGACTTGGAGAGTCTGCTTGTCGGAGACATGAGCAAGAAGAGTCCCGCGTGGATGCTCTTACACTCACAGTCCGCAGCTGTGCAGCCCTTTGAAACTATCAGGGCTGATGAGGGTACGATTTTCGCCGATTTCGCCCGCGAATTCGATGACATACCCGAGCCCGGCGAGACCTGGAGCGACGAGACCCGACTAAAACTTTGGAAGTCTAAGCTCAAACACTTCATGATTTTATCATCGGCTGGCAAACCGATTTATAGTAGATATGGGGACTTGGAAATGATCAACTCTTCGATGGGCGTTGTACAAACCATCATCTCGTTTTATCAGGGGGCTAAGAACCCTCTTTTAGGCTTTGCTGCTGGAAATACCCGGTTCGTTATCGTGACAGAAGGTCCCCTTTACCTCGTCGCTATAAGCAAGCTTGGAGAGAGTGATTCTCAGTTGAGGGCTCAGCTTGATGCCCTCTACATGCAAATCTTATCAACTTTGACGCTCCCAGCTCTCACTAATATTTTCGCTAATCGGCCGTCAACCGATCTACGGAAACCTCTACAAGGAACCGAATCGCTACTCTCTTCTTTAGCAGATAGCTTCACCAGAGGATCCCCATCTGCTCTACTAGGAGCATTGGAATGTTTAAGACTAAGGAAATCGCACCGACATGCCATCAATAATGCTTTTCTAAAGACGAAGACCGAAAAACTCCTCTACGGTCTAATAGTCGCAGGCGGAAGACTAGTCAGCGTCATTCGGCCACGTCGCCACTCTCTTCACCCAAGCGACCTGCAGCTTATTTTCAATATGTTATTCGAGTCTGGCGGTGTCAAAGCCGGGGGTGGTGAAAACTGGATTCCACTCTGCTTGCCAGCCTTCAACAACCGCGGTTATCTTTACATGTATGTTAGTTTTCTGGATGTCGATCCGGAGTCTGAGAGAAACCTAAATGCGGCTGGCGAGGAGATTGCAATTATATTAATAAGCCCGGATAAAGAGAGCTTCTTCGACCTACAAAACATGCGAGACGACGTCGTGGTTGAACTAAAGAAAAAAGGACATCTGGATATGATCAAAACTGCAGCACAACAGGGACGCCCAAAAATGAACGACATCGCACCAGGAACCCACATCAGCCACTTCCTATTCAAGTCGCGGGCCAATGTCCAGTTCTGCATGCCATCTCTGCATCCGAAATTTTCCAACCTCGTCCCCCACCGGCGCCTCATGTCCCTCTACCACAACCTGCACTCCACCATCCACGCCAAGCACACGCACGTAAAAGTACTGCACTGCGTCGGGGAGGACACCACCTCGCTGGCGTGGATCACGCCGATATTCGAGTTCTACTGCGTAGCCGGGCCCAACGCCTCGCGGACCGTCATGACGCAGGGCGCTAATAAGATCATGCAGTGGGCGAAGCGCGAGGAGGAGCGGTTGTTTATCATAGGCGGAGGCGTGTTTTGAAAACATTAAAATTACCATTCTTAATTACCATCGCGAATTACGTATTGCAATATCTCCCCTATCCTCCCCTGTAAGTACCTAACCTGAGGTATTAATGGAATCCCCGGCTTTCAATCGGATGACTGTTGCTATCGTATATAGTGCCTTGAGCAGGACACCCATCTGTATCCTGCGGGTTTATAAGAGCCTAGAAAACCACCTGCTCGCGCTGCTGGGAGTCTTCTTGCTGGATCCCTCGCCATTCGCCTTGGCGTTGGATGAAGTTCCTCGGTTCGAGGCAGGGCACGGGGTGCTTCTAGGTGCAGACAGGAAGCCATTATCATACGGATCCTTGGGCGCAGGCCTCTTCGGGCGGGATCCAGAGTGGGCCCGTGTTCGCTGCAAGGGGTTATAATTCCCATCCCCATTCCTGTCATGCCTGGCAGCTGTTCGGGGCCGCGATGTCGGATTCGCAGAGCTAGGTGCTCGTTGCCGGGAACGAGGGGTTTCGCTCGATAACACGCTCAGCTCGACTTCCCCTGGTCCGGCATTCCCATTAGCCATGCCGGATCGAGGCGTTGTGTCGAGCCCAAAGAAGACTTTTATCTTATGCCAAGTACCAGCAGCGATCTTGTGGCACGTTCCCTCCTGTGCGTTTAGGTGTTTTGTTAGAATTTGAACAATCTTGTCTTGCGGCTTGAAGAATGAGAACATACCTTCCAAGGCCAAATCCTATCTCTCTTTCCCTGAGCTCTCTGGCTTTTCCTCTGGCTAGGCGCAGACGTGTGCGTGTTCCCGTTCCTTTGTCCGTTGGTAGCTCCGTGTGCAGTACCATTTGTAGGTCTGCTTGCCGACCCGTTGGATCTCCCATTTGCCGTGCTACCCACTGTCCCCTTCCAATGCCCGTTTAGCTGGTTGCTTACCAGTCTCAGTTCACTGCTTCCGTTCGGTCGTGGATTGGAGTTTCCTTGGTTATCCTGCTGCTGACTGCTGCTGCTGCTTTGACCACGATAGTTGGACGAAAGCGGTGTCCTGTGCAGATAACTTTGAACCGACACGGCAGGTGCAGAGCGCTTTTCTTGGTTAACATAAGATGACTCCAGCTTCACATCTTCTATTCCATCGTATTGAGGTGGCGGGGCTGGTTGTTCAGCAAACGTCTTTCCTTGGGGCAGCCGCTTTATCGTCATGGGATAAGGTATCGCGTCGTTTGCCAATGTACTCAACGTAGAAGAACTGATCTGGTTGCTAAGTCCCTTCTCACGGTACTTGAACTCAGGGCTAGGAGGGTGAGATGAGTCCAGCGCAGAAAGGTTGGTATACCGGGCGGCGCTGCGGGCAAGTGATGATTCAGCTGGGTATTCAGATGCGGGAGTGGAGGAATAGGATCGGCTATGCGCATCGATATCGATGTCAAATATAGATAGACTTTTATTGCTTGGTATAGCGTTGGCACCACTAGCGCCAGGCAGATTATCTTTGTAAGGGTTTGTCATGGTTGTTTCCTTGCTGTTGGTATGCAAGAACGTAGGCCGTTGCTGGCTAGAAGAGCCCGTAGGAGATGATGCCATTCCGACCGTACGTATCTGCACTTTTAAAATACCCAAATGCGTCAAGATGAGTTGGGTTTGTTCTCATTTCTATCGGAGCTGGATGTTATTTGACTGAAGAGTATTAGGGGAAGTTGACGACGGATTTCGTTGCTAAGCAATCGTTTGTTCCAAATGGCACTGTCTACTACTGCTTTGGTATGAACGAATGTAAAGAAGTATGCTCAGTATAGATTCCCGATTGCGATGCTGTTATCAGCAAGTTAATCTAAGAACCTACCTTAGACATGTACCTAGGCAGGTACCTAACTAAGCATATGTTATTAGATATTTATTAATTGCTGCGAAAGTAGAGAAAGAGGGAAATAGGAGGAACAGATCAAAGGTGGGAGAAATGCACAAGCCCTTCATATTAGAGTATGAGCGCACTTTATCCTGGACCCTCTTCAGCTCTGGCTAAGACAAGACGAAAGTTATAATACTGTTGGGTGCATTTAGTCACAGTTTGAATAGTCACAATGCACACAAAAGTATGCACATGCTTCCCCAAACTCCATCATTGACGGCTGATAGTTAAATAGGAGTAGCATAGGATCTGCTTAGATGCTGTTAAATCCAACTAGTCTAATCCCTATCTCCATTTCTCTGAGACCTATTTATCCCCAGCAGGTAATCATGCTGAAAAGTCTATCTCTCCGCCTAGCCCTCGTGTTAATTATTCACCAGAGCTAAATTGGGCATGGAACTTCAGCCTCAAAAAGTTTAGAGAAGCTCAGGGTAGGTTAGGAAATATGGACCATCAAGTACGTCATGTTGTTCGAGACTATCATAAAGTGAACAGAAAGGTAGGTAGTTAGCTACTTCAAGTACATGGCATGCTCAAGTCTCACCAAACCCGATCTACCCTGCTTAAGGGGACCCTCAACGACGGTGTATACCAAGTTTCCTGCCCCATTATTACCGATCCGACTACAGCAAGCAAACATGGAAAAGCACCCGTCCGAACCTGGCCGGCGAGGGGTCCAAAATTTGCTCCAAAAACTAGCTGATTAAGACCTATTTGTAGTGTAATCCAACGAAGGTCGAACCTGTGGTTTTGGAACTTTATGTTACGGGCAGCTGAGTACCTAAGGTAATATTCCAACCCCGTTTCGTTTCTCAGGCATCGCGATTCTTCTTTGCACATGCTCGCACCGCCGTTTTAGCGTTTTTGACCCATTTGAGGATTTTGGACCGTACCCTTCGACTAAATCCAGCTCGACCGTGGTTTCCTCGAATTGACTGCTCATCTCTCGAAGCCGATTGACGACTAACAATATTAATATTTGATGGCGTAACACCTCGGTCCGTCTTATTTTCCTTCCCTTCCTGCTCGATAGTCGTGTCTGTTATTGTTGAAGCTGGCCCTGGATGTCGTGCTAGCAAGCAATGAAGGTCTGATAAGCGTCTTCTTAAACCCCGAGGCTGCCTGACATTAGAGCTTGCACGGGTTTCCAAAGATCGTGAGTCATATAGTGGTTTATTCCGAGCTTCTCTATTCTCCAACGATGTCCGCTGTTCAAATTGGGGTGCTATTCCGCTTGGCGGGTCAATGCCAGATGTGCCCCTGGCAGAAGAATCCTCAATGCATCGTGGTTGTGGCGACTTTCCGTTTGTTGAAGAAGGGGTAGGACTTAAGTTGGTTGAGAATGTAAACAAGTCCCTCGGCTTTTGTCGTGTAATGCCATCTGCATGATCTAGTGCCTCTCCATCCACATTCCGGCGAACTCTAGCGGATGGAGCAGTACTATCAACAGTGCTTCTGGATGACCTGAGTCTCAGCTTATTCCTGCTTCTCGTTCGAATACCGCTATCAACATTTTGACCCCCAAGGTATGTATTAGGAGTTCCAGAAGGCCAATATCGCCCCATACCATCATTATGGAGCCCAGTCCCGGGGGCGACTGCAGCTTCCGAGCTATTAGACGTTTTAATTCTGAGCCTCAACTTCGGAGCACTTTTATGTAATCGTATGGCTCGATTATCTTTGAGGTTACGCTCCGGTACTACCACTACAGCGTCTTTAAACTGATGAAGTGTAGGAGACCTAGAAAATTTAAACGGGGCGAGAACCTCAACAAATTCAGTGTCTCTACTTGACGTGCTCTGTATACTTGGTGTTGGGGGCGGCATATAATCGGGATCGCCAGGTAAAGGCGGCAGGGCTTTCATTAGTTGAGGTATGCTGTTCTTCAGCTTTAGTTGACGTGCAGGTGAAATCGGTTTCGGTGAGACGATAGGTGTAGTAGAACAAGACGGCGAGATATAAGGAAAGCCTTCGTTGTCATCTCTGGGCAAGCTGCTGGTGCTAATTCTAGGGACTGCCTGGTTCCTCTTATGACGTTGAAACCGCTGTCTCTGTACGACTGTTGTTTGGGTTGCTGAGGATGAGATAGTATTGCCGTCTCTAACGCCACCGTGCTTATTTTCCCAGTCTTCTCTATTAGCGGAAAATGTGACACTATCACGAGTGTTATATTCGCGGATATCGGAACCACCTATAACCGTCATTCCAGGGTCACTACTCCGAATCGCAGTTCTACCACAATCTGAATAAGCACGGGCTATCGTGCCAAATCCATTTTGAGTCTCGTATTCGGTTTCGTGCCTATAAGACCTCGAGAGCTCTTGAGTTGGTTCAGAACATGGACGTTTTATGATAGAATGGTCTTGCAGACTTCGATTGGCTTGTCCTTCAACTATATCCCCTACACCACTTTCACCCACATCATCTTCGTTTAGAGTCTCACCCTGGGTGTCATCCCTCAATATAACTCCTTGCTCGCTTCGAATTGTAGGAGCTCTACCGCCTAGGACCTGAACCTGCCTCTCTGGAGAATTTGCCTTCGTCCTCGGCGTCGCTGTCAAGCGGTAGTCCGTGTATCTGTATGTTGGGGCGTCTTTTGACTCCAGATCAAGACTCGGGTTGAACGTATCCATAGAATCTCTACCTACTTGCGATGGTAACAGGTCAATGTCGCTTCCCTTTTCTAACCTCATATCCACCTCTAATCCATCGAATGCGATAAACCTACTATCAGAACGGATAGAACCAGTGCGGCAACGGGACGATACTCGATCCACCGTGGCTTGATAGTTTTCAACGTGGCACCCATTCGTATCGCTTAAAGCTTCCAGCCCGTCTATCATGCCAGGGCTGCTACTACCAGCCTCGAAAAATGCCGAATCCCGCTCTCCAAATACAACCGCTAGATTTTCATCGGAATCCTGCAGTACTAGTGGGCGGTGACAATTTGATATGCGAGTAGGGACCGGCGCGAAAGGCTGAACTGGAGTTATAGCGCGCGGTTGCCTACTCTCGAACCCTTCGGTATAGTCGTAGTAACGTGGTACAGTAGTGGAAAGTCCACTCGGACCAATTCTAGGTGTGTGTGGCGTCCTGTGGTACATATTCACGATTGAGGTGAGACTCGACGTCCTGGACGAGGAACTGTCGAACCTTTCACGATACGGGGCATTATAAGATGCCATCGAGGCCGTGGAATGGGTCCGAATTGAAGAGGGTCTAGGTGGTCTATGACGGCTAAGAGGCGGCAGACCTTGCGAGGGTAGCGAGACAGTGGATAAGTTAGCGTCTGCTCGGAGACCTAGAGGAGGAGGCCTCCGTGGTGTCGGGGGATAAGAGGGTTTATAAGGGCCATGGACAGTTCTCTGAAGCATCTCAGTAAGAATTTAATAATTCCATACAGGGATTTTGATACTTACATATGAGGCTCGATCAATTTCCACCATACGACTATAGTCAACTCGCCCGTTTTCTGTAAGGGCCGGAGAAGCTGGGCGAACTCCCGGTCTCTTCAAGCGAGTTGGATACGGGAAGGGCGATCGAGGACGTTGAAGCAGACCCCCACTGGCTTGACTCTGCAAAGTCGTTGTCGACTTATGATGAGAAAGGTGGCGGGATCCACAGGTAGTCATTGAATACGAACGCAGCCCAATGTCCTCTGAACATGTCGGAGTCAACGTGCTTGTAGTAGATTTATGACTCTCCGAGTCGTGCATTGAGATTATTTCGGAGGCAGTGTCTCTGCATAGGGGAATTTTGCCATTATTCCGACGTTGTAGCTCTTCAACAGAAGGACGGGGCGATGGGCGTTGTTGACTGATTTTAGAAAATGTACCTCTTCGTTGAGGTAACGGAGGCACGGGTTTAATGCTGAAGATTCCGATATCTCCTGTCTCTGTCGTGGTTTTTAGCATGCTCTCCAATGCACCCGGCGAAGGTAGCAAAACAGAATTCTCGTTGACACTTCGGAGAGGTTTGTGCAATGGACGGACAGGGGAGGGCCCGTGAGTAGATCGCCCGTGAGAATAACTGCTATAAAGAGTGCCATGACTCGAGCTATGCCGCGGCAAGCGATGATGATCCATCAGGAGAAGCTGTTCAGATGGAGAGACCGGCACAGCAGAAGGGAAGAGCACTAGATGATGAAATTAATAAAGTAATTTGAGTTCGACATGGGGTTAAGAAGAGATCCTAGCTGGCTGGACCTAGAGCGACATCGAGCCTAATTTTTGGGTCCAGAGGCTTCATCGGTTCACAAAGTCGCCAGACGAGATAGGATGTTGAAGTCGGACAAAGTGGGAAAATGTCTGTGGTATTGCGAGAGTACCTATACACTTCGTGTAGTACTAAAAGATAAACAACCTGAAGCGAGCAAAATATTTAAGGCAAGGTCAAATCACTAAACGCCTTAGATGTGATAGGGGAACTTGAGAAGGTAAGAGCACTTCTCATCTGACCACTCACCTGACCAAATACCAATCGTACCTTCTGAATCTACTAACTCGTAGATACCTTCCATATATCTAAAGCTGCTACATTAGGTACATAACCATTTAAGCTTTATGTAAGAGACGAGCTGACATGATTGGCCAGCTACCTTATGTATAAGAGGCAGCCATAACTCTCACGGTATACTCGGATATCAAAATATATAATATATATGAGTCTATAAATCAACACGACATTCTTTTTCGTTCTCTTTAGAACTATCTCTTTTCTATACCTAGGTATGCTCTGATGATAGTCAAAAAAAGCACTTCTTATTAATTCTGTACGAGTCATGAATAATAGCATAGATGCCACTGGGTGGTTAGTAGTTATTATTGCTAGATATCCTGTGCATAATTCACATAGAAGCGTACCTAGGTAGGTAGCCATTCACCTCCAAATGCTTCAAAATATCTAATCTGGGTTTGGATTTTCTACGCGGTAGATTGCATGAGGTATCTAATATTTAGAAAAATCTCTGAGGGGGTTAAATACCTATCTACCAAACCTCAGGTAGGTATTTGCATTTTGAGATACTATGCATTTTGCTAATTCTCCTTCGTCCTCTTATATACCTGCTTGACCAGCTGCTGAATGTATTCTTTCAAATGTTCCTAAACCAATAAACATGAGCTACTCAGGTTGCTATATCAACATATTAGCTTTAATATTAAGAAAATAAATAATGCTAGATCCTTAGACAAACTCGATGGTTGGCATAACTACTTGTAATTTCTCATCGACGATGCTATGGGAAGTGGTAGCGTTGCAAATACTAAATTTATTACAACGTTCAGGGTCTTGGGATGGGGTGATGGGGCTCATATTCAGCCTTGCTGCGGAATGGACTGTAATCTACCTATGCAATAAATCTGGCAGCGTGCATTAATCAACATTCCGTATGCAGGGATGGTAGATTTGATCAATTGAGTAAGCTGCCGATGTCGATATGCATATCACAAGGTCTCATAGTTGATAATCCCCTTGATTCGTAAGAATCAATATCTAGTGCGACAATTTAGTAACCACCTGATAACGACAGCCATTGTTCTACATGACGTTAGAAAGTTAACAACTGGCCAGTTGGAATAGTGTTTGGTATATTAAGCATTCATAAGTTACATCAACGGATTTATGAACCTAGCCTGCCGGGTATTGTGATTTCCGTCATTATATTTGTTTAAATTCTCGAGCCCTTCCTTCCGGAATTACTGATCTGGGTGTTGATCTGACTTAATTTATTTGCAATTGAGGCACCTGTGGAGTTAGTAGCAAGGTACGCCGTAAAATCGGGTGGATCCATTGCACACCAACGCAGGGGTTCCCCAAAAATCCCATCGGATAGGTGGCGGTGCGCTCTCCGTACATGGTTAGGTTAGGTTAGGTACCTACTTTCCTAGATTTTTAGTGGTAAGAGGGGTAGAAAAGAGAACACTTGTCATTAAGTTTGCCCATCAATTGAACCCCACACCGCTTTGATAAGGTTGTTTAGTTCTATCGAGAGGTGGGGCCTTTCCACGTCCCTGCATTTCTAATAATTGTCTAGGTCATCTGCTAGAGCTGCGTAAGCCACAGACACTTAGTGGGCACGGTTCTGAACTAGTGTATCTGATGATTAAGCTTGGGGTTGGACAGACTGTGGCCAGATATTCGGAACCATTCAGCCATTTATCCAACTTGTCAATCTTCTCCAAATTCACATTCCCTGTTCTCAAGGGGACACATATGCCATTGTAAGGAGAATACAAAACGTCTTCATCTACATTCTACGTTCACTTCACTTTTTTTCTCCGATAGTTCATTGCTCTTCTACAGGTAGCCAGTGGTAATATTACAGGTGTGTTAAACTATTTTTTTTTCTCCATGGTATCCCCCACTGCATTTCTACAGGTTCCCCCAGCTCTACTTCTGCAACCTCCTCCACCTGGAAATTGCGATCTGAGATAACTAACCTAGTCAATTACTATTTAGGCGCTTCATCATGTACACGGCTCGGAACTTTCTTTTTGGCCTGCTTGCAGCCAGCACAGGCGTGAATGCTGCAGACGCCGCATCAGATGTCACACAACTGAGCAAGGACACCTTTGAGGAATTCGTAAAAGGCAATGACCTTGTTCTAGCAGAGTGTAAGTTATGCTTCTAACTACAAGGTGTTAGAGCTATAGCTAATACTTCACGTAGTCTTCGCCCCCTGGTGTGGTCACTGCAAGGCGCTTGCGCCTGAGTACGAAGAGGCCGCTACTACGTTGAAGGAGAAATCGATCAAATTGGCAAAGGTCGATTGCACAGAGGAGAGTGAACTCTGCCAAACATATGGTGTTGAGGGTTACCCAACGCTCAAGATCTTCCGTGGTCTAGAAAGCATCACTCCTTACACCGGCCAAAGGAAAGCTGCTGCGTAAGTGATCCACTATATCCAATTACGTCCACTTGTAATTGCTGACTTGAATTATAGAATCACTTCATACATGATCAAGCAATCCCTCCCTGCCGTTTCGCTTCTGACCTCGGAAACCCTCGAGGACTTCAAGACCGCCGACAAGGTTGTCTTGGTCGCCTACATCGACGCCTCTGACAAGGCCTCTAACGAGACTTACACCAAGGTCGCTGAGAAGTATAGGGACTCTTATCTCTTCGGTGCCACTAACGATGCTGCATTGGCTGAGGCCGAGGGTGTTAAGGCACCGGCTGTTGTTCTCTACAAGCAGTTCGATGAGGGCAAGGCTACCTTCTTGGAGAAGTTCGACGAGGAGGCTATTGAGAAGTTCGCCAAAGTTGCCTCCACACCTCTGATTGGTGAGGTTGGCCCTGACACCTACTCCGGCTACATGTCCGCCGGTATCCCTCTTGCCTACATCTTTTCCGAGACTGCCGAGGAGCGAAAGGAGCTTAGCGATGCTCTTAAGCCCGTCGCCGAGAAATACCGTGGCAAGATCAACTTTGCTACCATCGATGCCCAGGCTTTCGGTGCTCATGCCAACAACCTTAACCTCAAGGCCGACAAATTCCCGTCCTTCGCCATCCAGGAGACCGTTAAGAACCAGAAGTTCCCCTTTGACCAGGAGAAGGAGATTACCTACGACACTATCAGCGCTTTTGTTGACGAATTCGCGGCTGGAAAGATTGAGCCTAGTCTTAAGTCTGAGCCCATTCCTGAGAAGCAGGAGGGCGCGGTCACCGTCGTTGTTGGCAAGACGTACGAGGAGATTGTCTTGGACGACTCCAAGGATGTCTTGATCGAGTTCTATGCTCCCTGGTGCGGTCACTGCAAGGCTCTCGCCCCTAAGTACGAAGACCTTGCTTCTCTGTACAGCAAGAGCGAGTTCAAGGACAAGGTCGTCATCGCAAAAGTTGACGCCACTGCCAACGATGTGCCGGATGAGATCCAGGGTTTCCCCACCATCAAGCTGTACCCCGCTGGCGCCAAGGACCAGCCGATCAGCTACTCTGGCAGCCGAACTATTGAGGACCTGATCAAGTTTGTCAAGGAGAACGGCAAATACAAGGCCGAGGTGTCGGAAGGACAGGAGGAAGAGACGCCCGTTTCCCCTGCTGCAACTGAATCTAAGTCTACTAGCAGCGAGGCTGCGGAGTCGACGCACGACGAGTTGTAAACTAGGGAATCGAGAATGAGTCAAGAAAAAGCAAATGTACACTTTCTAGTTATATGAACCGGACATCTTAATCGGCCGGGACGCCGGGTCACTGGGACTGGGATACGAATGTTGACTTCAGGTAGTTCAGCATAAAGGGTCATGAATTTTCCGTTTACATGTTTCATGATTGTTTTGGTCTTAATGAATTGATAGTTTTGATGCTGTTTATTTATAATGTGCCGCACGTAGTGAGGTAATATTTAATATTTCTAGCCTTGCGTAGCAATGTAGTACATACCTAACCTAGGTAAATGTAGTAACCAACCAAGGGGACTCGTTTAACCTAGTGAGCTGTCCCCGAGATTGACCAACTGTCAAGGTCCTGCCGAGAAATATCCGCCGCCTTAACAACTTTAGGACCCACCTTGGGAACTCGTAACTTAATTAATTGACGTCCTCTTTGAAGCTCTTTGGCCACCCAACTTTAAACAACACAGACCTTGGTGGAATCCATTTAAACATCGCGCACGGAAATATCTAAATTTCGTTGTTCCAAAACCATGGCGTCGAGGGTTTTACTCGGCCGACTTCAAAGCGCCTCCATGGCCGCTACAATGCGCGCTACACGCAGCTTCCACGCGACAGCACGAACGATGGCCGACGCAACGACTCCCTTACCTGTTCGCAAGCCCGTGGGCGCCTTTCGCGGGGGGTAAGTTAGATATACGACAATATATGGGTTTATTTAGAGACTAATGGCACACGACTTGCTGCAGGCTCTTTGGTTTCCTCCTCGGTTCCACTCTCGCGGGTGCTGGCATTTACAGCTATGTCTTGTCAGTATAGCCTCGCAACTACGCTCCATATGCCTCTAGAATCTATGAATACGCTCTATGCGAATACATGACGACGTCTCTATCACAGGGACTTTAACCAAGAGCATCGTCTATAAAGATAGGCGAGAACAAAATACTAACCTCAAGTTCAATAGACGAGAATATAAGGCCTCTAACGAGTTATTAACGGAGGACATCTATGTGCGTTACTGCATTTGATTATTCCGAATCTTGCGTTTTGCTTTCCAGCGTTGGAGTTGGGGACCACCTTCAGCGATTTCTTTTTCTAGCCATGAATTTCTCCTCATCTTCCTCCCTCTCGACCTCGACTCCTTCGGAAGCAACACCCCGACTGACTTGTGGTGTCCGGGAAACAGGCTCTACAGGCTGCGTGCCAACGACTGAACACGTACGTCCAGCAACTCGAAGAGAAGATGGACGCCGCGGAAAGGAAAAGGAAGTAAACGGACGGGCAGGCGGGGTCGGATATAGGGCACGGACGACCAGATACGTGATGGGGGTAATGTTGTAGGAATATGGGCATCGTACATACATTTCTCGACACTGAAAGCAACATGCAAAGGGTTCGCACCTCAAAAGTACATTACTTTTTTGTCAGCTAGCGGGGAGTTAAAAGCATTGATGGCTAAACTATACAGTAACAAGAGCACATTTGGAATGGTTCTGCAAGACTGTGCATTTCATACATATGCTTACTTGGTTTTCCATCCCCGGAAACCGTACATTACGCAACATATCTGCTTCAATACGCTTGCGCCATAGTTGTCCAGGTGCTTTCTTCGAACTTGGTTCAATATTCAGATTTTTATCGACTAGTTACACCACATTTCAACATATCCGACAGCTCCCGGACCTCAGCTTAGGTAGATTCCGGAGGCTCCACTTTTAACCGGTCCGGGCCGCATGCACTCATCAACTTGTTGTGGCCAGATGTTTCCAAGGTATGTACGACTCGGTAGTCTGGCTAATGAAGCTCTGCCCAGATAGCGATTTTCGCATGTAGGTGCTATTGATATTAGCTACCTAAGGTACCTACTCATCCTGTTGGACATCTCGTTGTTGAATGTAACTAGCCAAAGCACGAAAGAGTTTGGGCAACCAGTTTTCTTTACTGTTTGTCAATCACACAAATTCTACCCGCGCATCAAGTTGAATAAGTTCTTTAACAATAATTTTATACAACTAAGCTACGAGCAATAGGAATGATACTTGAAGCTATATATGTAAGTTATCATAGAAGAATATGAATAATATATATCCCCCCTTTTAAGAACGCTCAAAGCTCAAGCCATTCAAGACGAGAAGAATTTGATTTAACAAATAAATATGTGCGTACGTATGTGTGTGTATGCTCGAGCTATGAGTTCTCAATGTCTTAGAACTTTCCAGCCTTCATAAGACACATCACTACCTAAATAGAAACATTGTGGTAAACTTCAAACTTCCAATGCGCAGCAGCTTCGGTTAAAGCTTCGAGAAAGACATGCATCAAGGACAAGTTTACAGGAATGCTGACAGTACAGAAGCTGAAAAAAAGAAAGTTCCATCTTCAGCCCTATGTAATACTATGTACTACATAGCGGTGCGTTCATGCTCTTATGAGGATCGGCATGCACGTGTAAGATAGGATACATCTCAAAGTACCGAGCATAAGATGCTTGGATACCATGTTATTTAGGAACGAAGAAGGATGGCGGAGTTAACTTATACATGGGTTATGAATGGCTTGAATGGCAAATAATAGTATTAATACGATCGATGCCTGGCCTAGTACTGTACTGTATTGACTACGTGCTAATAAGTCTTATAGGCTGATATATACCGAGCTCCATAAGTTGTGGATCACTTATTGCAACACTCGTTACACGTGAAGGCTGACTATTATCCATATTTTTATTGTTTTCGGCCCTTCGAATGGTTCCTTGTGCCAATTGAGAGTAGGCTTCGTTGCCAAGCTGAATCCAAAATCTGACTTTACGTCAGAGTGTTTAGGATACGAAATGAAGCCAGGGATGGAGCAGAGAAGCACGCTACTGAACGTCGATCGTTTAAATATCTACGCCCCCTTGGGAGTGCGAGGGAAACTCGCCTACGGCGATGCCGCTGGAAGTCTTGTCTTCATTTAACATTTAGCTACTGTCTGAAGTAGCTATGAATAAAGTGGTGCCTCATCCAGAAAGTGAATATCCGCAACCCGTCTCCACACTCAACGCGTAGGATGCCCCAAAGCCAGAAGCGAACGGCATCGATACGGAAGCAGCAGTCGCCCAGGGACAGAATGGCGGCAATGCAAAACGAAGGATATGTGGGCTATCACCACGCACTTTCTACATTGTCCTAGCAGTCGTCATACTAATTATAATCGGAGCCATCGCCGGAGGTGTTGCTGGAGGCTCGTCTAGCAGCCACAGCGATTCGAGTTCAACGCCAGACCCGAGACAAGAACCAGGGACGACAGAAAATGTTAATATCCTAAGTACATCAAAGCTTGCTGCTTCCAACTGGACAGACCCCCAAGGCAATTTTCATAGGCACGTATTTTTCCAAGATCCTTACAGTGCTATCATTACTCGGCAATGGGACTCGGAGAATAAGACGTGGACGACGAAGAACGTCAGCCAGCTACTGTCATCATCGACGACGGGGCCTATTCACCCAATCCCAGGGACGTCCCTGGCGTGCTCGTCGGCTGATAATAAATGGGGTTCCCTGTACGAGGTGCACGTCTGGTTCTCATAAAGACTTCGACCGACCCAGACCCTACCATCAATTGGGTGAATTTGAACAATCCGATCGGAAACCCTAACTTCTGGACGTATAGCTCGTCGATACTTCGGACGTGGAACAACACTCAGCTAGCGGTAGCTTGGCAGCGCTGTCCGAGGGATAACTGCGTGGGAAACTGGGTTCTCGCGTACCAGGGGCGAGAAGGCTTCATCAGGATCGCAAACGCCAGCAACTGGGACAACAACACAGAGCCGGTGGTTAGGGCTAATGCCGTTTCTGCCGGGGCCAGCTTGGCTTTGGTGCCGTCGCTCAACGGAACTTATGTCCATGGACTGACGCTTGCTTCCCAAAGGAGGCCGAGTTCAATGGGCAAGACGACGTTCGTAGGAAATTGGAACTGGAAGCAAGATGGTAAGGTCGGGTCTGCACGACACGCGAAGCCTATGCTAACCGATACCAGACGGAATGATATTGGATGACGTCGACCCTCTAACGACACGGCAATTCGCCGCCACTACGATGAACAACTGGAACGAAGCGCTCTTCGTCGCTTTATCTACAGACGGGGGCGTAAAAGGGGCTCGGTGGGATGGGTTAGCTTATAATGTGATTCCGCAGATTAACTTTGTCAACGGGGAGTCGACGAACTTCTCTGCTGTTGCGATGACGACGGACGCGACGTTCTACGGGATATCCGATGACCAGATATGGGAATACACTGTCGATACGTCGGATCCGTCCACCTTCACGCTTGCTGGAAAGGTATACCCATAGCTAGTGAGCAGTAGTTGATATAGATCAAAATATAAAGGCATGGAATGAATGAATTGTATCTAGCCATGATGTTTGAGTTAGTTCACGGTAGACACTTCTGTTCTTAACCTAGTAATTTATATAATGTCGATCTTGTCGACATAGGGATACGTCAGTTGATACAAGGCGAAATCATAGATTCGAGAGATTGTATCCAAAGTAAACTTGCATGGCAAGGGATTTACTTAAATTAATGACAGCACTAGACCTACCAGTGAGGGTGCTGATCTAGCCAGCCTCACGGCCATCAAGGTCTGCATCCTCACTCGTAGGTATAGTACGGAATTTGGCCAGAGTTTGGACTGAACCACGTCCTTGATCGATGTAATGATGTATTATAATGCTATATAATACATCATTATATCGATCAAGGCTCCGCGGTTACCTCAAAGCACGGTGTCCTAATGTCTATAACGATAACAAAAATGTCCTTGCCATCGTATTTATCTTCCGGCGTGCCTATGCGACTGGCCAACTCATCCCCCTAAACCCTATCTCTATTCTTGAACTTGCAATACTGCGTCATGTGCCGTCGCAAGTTATCGCCCCGTCGTTTGAACTTCTTCTCACACTGGGGGCATTGATCCCACTCCTGCTGGTGTATCGACTGTTCGTGGCGGCGTAGGTCTCGTGCTTCTGAGAAACGCCGGTCGCATTGCTTGCAACGGTGGTTTCTCTCGTGACGTCTATTATGCGTACTGTAGAATGGTGAGCACGAAGTCCTATCTCTTATCATGGAATACATACTTTAACTTGCCCTGGGAAGGGAAGGAGACGTCACATATCTCGCACACGAAATCTGGTCCCGTAAGATGTTCTGCTGAGCCCTTTTCTGAACGCGTGCCCGTGGATAGTCCGCTTTGCTCTTCTTCTAATAAGGAAGGCTGTCCAGCACTGGGATCGATGAAGTTCAGTGACGACAGGTCTAAGTCCGAGCCCATATTTGGACCGAAGCCCAGTCCGTTTTGGCTGATATCGGTGAACTGGGCTTCCAAAGGCTGCCCGGGTGAAAGGCTGTACTCATCGTCACCATGAGTGACGTTGAATCTCCCTACCAACCAGTTCGACATCGGGAACTGGCCAGGCATCGGCACGCCAGACCACACATCCCCCAACTCTCCACAACTCTCACCCCCACTCCCTCCCAGACATACATCCGGATACACATCCGGACATATCTCTGGATATACATCTGGATATACATCTGGATATACCTCCGGACATACATCCGGACGTAAATCTGGAAGACTCTCCCCAAATATCCCCCCTGGATCGTCCCCCGTATAGTAATCGAGAACATCAAAGGCTCCGGGACATCCGAAGAGGTCAGGAGATGCTTCCAGTCCAACAAAAGCGTCCTCGAGACCGGCCTCTGGCGGATTACCGTCGGAGCCTTTACTTGCCTGACTACTGCTGCATCGTTCCGAAATTGAGTACGAGGGAGGACAGACTATGCCCTCCCTCGGGACTCTCTATGAAAATTGTAACAATTGGTGAAGCTTGGCTTAGCTGTAGAAAACGTGGTCAGTCATACCGAAGCTATGAAAGAAATATTATAGCCCAGACTTACTTTTGCGAAGGTCGAGAAGCGATCTCCCGACTCCCCCCTCCGAAATGCTTAGCAAGAAGAGGAGAAAAAAATCTGACGGCTGGAGTTTGCGCGGGGTGTTTATATGCGCTGGGCCTCTCTTTGGGCCAATGCGATCGGATAAGGCTCCGAGGCCGCACGAAATTAAGCCGGCTCGATGCAGGTTGTGTTACTTCTTAGGACGCCATTGCCTGCATATGACGTGAATCCGGGGACGTAGCCCAATCATCGCGTTAATTCAACTTGGTTGTGTGCGGGAGGCGCATGAAGCCGAGCCAATAAGCGAGACATTGACGGATGTCGACGGCCAATTCTTACACCGAATACACCTGATTGCCGGTCGAATAGCTTAGGTTACCATCGATCGATCGTCTTGCATCTTTCGTCTTGCATCTTTCGTCTTGCATCTTTTATCTTCCATCGTGAGTTCTCGCTCAAATAGGCAATATGAGGCTATCCCGACCTATTTTTGTCCCCCCCTTTTACTACCAATTAGCTTCGGGCTGGCCGGTTGAGATTGCTATATATTCTCGTCTATACCTATCTACATTAGGAACTCTATTCGTTTGTTTTAGTGGAGATTCTAAATGCGGTTAACGGTTGTTTTCGAAGATAGCCGAGTTGTGCACGGTAGTTCAGTAGGCTACATATGTATGTCCATATGTAGTCGACCCCTGTTATATGTATAGCCGATCATTCAATAATTCATGCTGTTAATTCCAAAAGTTTGGTAAGAACGGACGAGGCTATACTCGTTTCTTTTTAAAATTTCGATATAATGCCCCTCTCCGCCTCTTTAGCATACTCTTGACCCAGGCGGTCTAGCGTGACGAACGCGATATTCCTTGGCGGTCAAGATCCGGGAGTCGTCTATTACTAATTCGGGCAACATCCCGAGAATGCTACTCTGCTACGATACTAAACCAGAACTGATACTAAAACCAGAACTACGCCCTTTGTTTTTTCATGTGCTTCTTACAAGGGAAACCCTTGGAGCGCCCGTCAATATATTACTACTAGTTTCAAGTGGCGCAACAGCATGAATTGCGCTACATTCGGTCCGGACTTTTTACAACTTCAATCTTAGGTGAGGCAGGTGCCTAGAGCCTAGAGACTCAAGTTCTCTTACGAGTCTGACAGTCGGTCGACTTGTCTTATTTGCCAATTCACCAAGGGAGAAGTTCGCCAAGAGAGAAGGCCACCAATATCGTATATATGACGTCTAAAACTAAATCTTGTACCACCTCAAACAGCCTCGTGTGTAAGCGGAGGTGATTAGGACCCGCTGGATTGGATCTGACATACCTACATCACAAGTGGACTAGTCTCCATAATTGGCCGGTTTTACGGTATCTGGCTATCAAAGTGTAGCATTGGAATTCGTATCACGATATGTGTGTAGCATTGACGTGTAATTTGGGGGGGTTTATGCTCTCGGAAATCGAGTAGGGCTACCCTGTGCGACATGTAGCGTGTAGCGTCATATCAATCCTATAATAAAGGGCCTGGTTGATATATATAGAGAAGTCCGTACGCGTATGAGACTCGAATTCCCACAATTCGCGTGGCTAAGGCAAGGATAATCTACCTAGTTTATATATAGGTATATATATATACCTACCTTATACACATAGTATAAATAAACGATCTTCGGAACGGGAACACAGACATCAAACCCCTCGACAATGGAGCTCCTACAAGTTCGAACGACGTTCGCCGAGTTTTTTCGGGCTGGAATAACACCACTTGTTCTAATTGCAATAGTTAATAGACCTTCCCTTGAGCTTTATAGTCAAAACTAACATCCACAGGTTGCCGGTTATTGGGCATTTCAGATAATATACAACCTTTACTTTCATCCGCTCTCTAAGATCCCGGGTCCCTGGATCGCCGCTATTAGTGATGTAGGTTCAACACTGTGTATTATAGGACCAACGCTTATGTATATTACAGATTCCGTACTGTTACTGGATGCTAGGAGGTCGTCAACCTTACAAGTTACTTGAACTACATAATAAATATGGTATGTTGGCCACATATATATATATATGTGTACCTATGAGCGTAACAGAGCTGATGACATAGGCCACGTTGTCCGCGTCGCGCCAAACGAGGTGTCCTTCAACACCGCGCAGTCATGGAAAGACATCTATGGCCAGAAACCTGGTCGCCAAATATTCATAAAAGGAACTTTCTACGACGGCGGCAACTTCGCTGGAAACGGAATCAGTTCGATTATAAGCGAGAGGAGACCGGAATTTCACAAGGAGATGCGAAGTAGTCTAGCTGGCGCATTTTCAGATCGTGCCATTGTCGAGCAAGAGTCGCTCATTGCTACCTCTGTTGATAAACTTATTCGGCTAGTTGGCATCAAAGGCTCCGCGGAAAAGGGGGTTGATATATCGACACTTTTCGAATCGATGACTTTTGATATTACCGGCGATCTTGCCTTCGGGGAGACATTCGGTGCGTTGGATAATGGTGAGTCTTTTCAACTTTTGCTCGAAACTCTTCATTTGGCCTCTAGCTAAACGATAACGCAGATGAACGGCACCCTTGGATATCTACAACCCTCGATGGTTTGATGCAAGGAGTGTTTGTAGACATTTTCAGCCGCTATCCAACTCTCAGGGCAATACTTTGCGTGCTCATGCGTTCCAAGTTCAAGAAAGCTGTGGAGGGTGTAAAAACCAACGAACGATTATGTTACGAGCTTGTTAAAAGGTGTGTAATAAAATAAACCTAACGCTTAACTTATTGCTACGTTTACTAACCCCAACAAGACGGATAACAAGAAAAACAGACCGCAAAGACTTCTTAACCCGAATTCTCGAGGACAGAGATCCTAGGATCGTATCAGATAGACAAATTGCTGCTCACGCCTCTGACTTTGTCGTTGCTGGGAGCGATACAACTGCGTCTAGTCTGGCTGCCATAGTCTACTACCTCCTGCAAAACACATACACCCTGGCTAAGCTGACTGACGAAATCCGAGGAACGTTCAAGAAATACTCAGACATTGGTTATCTTTCCACCGCATCAATGCCTTACCTTCGTGCTGCCATTCTAGAAGGAATGCGTTTATACCCCCCAACACCAATGGGCCTCCCTCGTCTTGTACCGGATGGTGGAGACATAGTCGATGGCTGCCCTCTTCCCGGAGGGGTACGTTATACCTACCATACCAACTTCTATCGAGTACCATAAAGGACTTTGCTGACTTCTTAATAGATTACCGTGTATACGAGTCCTCTTTCAGCCTGTCTAGCCTCGGCAAACTTCCAGGACCCATGGTCATTTAAGCCAGAAAGATGGCTCGAATCTAACGGAAGCGACAACCTGGGTTGCAGTCAGCCATGGTCATTAGGCCCAAGAGGATGTATTGGTAGAAATTTGGCATGGCTAGAACTGAGGACTACGCTTGCGAAGTTGCTCTGGGTCTATGACTTGCAACTTGTCGATCCAACTCTTGATTGGCATGGCGAGTCTCGGATGCAGACATCCTTATGGGAAAAGCCAGCTTTAATGGTCCGTGCCCATAATAGGGGGGTTAATACTGAATAAGCAAGCACATTAGGGGGACTAATTAATAGGGATAAATAAAGAAAAACGTAACAAAAAAAATATTACCAGGTGCCGGATTCGAACCGACCTCTCCTTCGTAACAGTCCGTCCTCTAGCTGTGCTCTTATATGTGACTCAGCCTTCCGCTTGCCTCCTCGTGTACTGTTACACGTTGTCATTGACTTCGTTTTGACCGCATTAGCCCACTGAGCTAACTGGAACATCAGGACTACTATTCCTCAGGCGACTTCACCAACAGTCTGACCCGGCTTGAAAGGTGATCTTTATTATGGTATATAACCTTTATCTGACTCAGGTATATGACATGGCAGCCGACTAGACGCCGACACAACACCTGGCGACTAGCACCCTGTCACTCGACAACTGCCACAACTATACTTACCTTTATATCACGCATTGTTGCGGGTGTGCACGTAAAATTGTTGTCATATCGTTGTCAGGCCTCTTCACTTATGCTCTCCCCATTAGTAGAAGCTTTTGTCCGGGTCCTCAGCATAATAATGTTTACCTAATACTATGCTTTGCGCTGGAAGTGATACGATATGTGTAATTAAATTACATAGCGTTTAAGACGAGTAGAGTATATTTTCATTGTAAGTCGTCTTCATTAATATTTCCCCCCTATCTTACAAATGTAGAATTCAGCTTATCTCCCACTCAACTTTTCGCCAAAGGCACACCTCTCTTCTAGTAACTCGTTAAACCATTTCGTCATTTGTTGAATGGGTGCGTGTCCTAGCCCTTCGACGATCAAAGCCTTCCCAGGGTTCAGATACTCGATCAACTTCCTGCCGTGATCCACCGGAATCATCCTGTCTACAGTTCCATGCAAGACCATGATCCTTTCCCTAGATACCCGGTCTGCCAGGTCTCTCAGCTGTTCAGGGCTCTTTCGGTGGAACCCGGCAGCGACCGCTTGCAATAGAAACCCGTTCTTATTCCGCCGCATATGTATCTCTTGCGCTGCAAATCGCTCGTAGTTGCTGTTAAACTTCCCATACCCGCCAGTAGGTACTTCGCACTTTGGTGTTTTCTCGCTAGGCAGCTCTGTCTCATCTGGGGCTATGAGCCATTCCTCTGGGAAACAGCCATTTGCCGTTGAGCGGATCTCACTCTCGAGACTTCTGGGCAGCAAAGCACCAAGGCGGCCCATACTCTCTGCGAATGTGCCTTTGTTCTCTAACTTGGCCGCGGTACAATGCAAATTCAGACTAGCAATGCGCTCCGGTGCTAGGACTGCAACCTCCTGCGCGATCATGCCACCCACTGCAGTTCCTTAAATTAATGACCATTATAGGATATGATATTCATATGTGACCCGAGTAAAGGGGCTAGCTTCGAAGGTATCTATAAAAAGAAAGAGGGGCTAAAGAAAGGGGGGTTGGAAGATACCTACTACTGCCACCCGAGATATGAAGTTGTCGATCTGCTGTCCAACCGAGATGATCCAGGACCTCAAGCAAATCACGCGCCATCTCCGACGTACTATACCGCATCACCGGTTTATCCGACTCGCCTGCGCCTCGATTATCGAAGACGAGCACGGAGTACCTATCTCCACGTTCGTGACCAAAGTACAAGGTTTGCTGCTGCCAATCCGCCTTCGCTAGGCCAATGCCACCGATGAGCTGAATTTGTTAGGGCAACTATCGTCAGACGATGGGAAGAAGATCATAGATAAGGGAAGAGGAATATACAGGCTAAGGAAGATACTTACAATAAGCTTGATAGGACCCTCACCGTGGACTTCCCAGCTGATACTCAGGGGCCCCCCTCTCTCAGCAGCGACAGGCAAGAGGCCGCACTGATGCGGCTGGAGCCTCCATATCGCCGTCGGAAATGCCGGGCTCTTTGATACTTCTTCTACCGATGGAAAGCCCATACTTATCTATCTACTTGATTTATTAACAGTGGATATGCGTTAAGCATGTGCGAAGTATACTTGAGTACTATGAGTTGCATACACTAAGGTGAGATCAACTAGGTTAAGGAGATCTCTATGCATAAACGGTCAAAGAGCTATTTGAGAGACAGGGAAGGGGTTATAACATTGAATTTGAGAGTCAAATTCGGGGTTAGTTGAATCTATAGCTTCTTCAGCTGAATCGTATAATCGGATCAGCTGCGACTTAGCCTCGAAATTTTACCTGTGCTAATGCAAGTACCTGTTTAATACGCTACCTGGGCAATTTCTTTAGGATCCGGGGGTTTGCGGAGAAGACCCAAGATCAATCGGGGTCCGACCAAATTTAGACCTTGGTATATTGCTGGACAAGAGGATTAAATTAGGATGTGAAACTGTTTCGAGATAAGATTCCTTATTAATCAGCTATCGTCGATATATGGACTTGCTAATAAGTAGTAGTTATACTCGCGCTTACAAGTCAGCTAAAATGAATAACAATTTTAATTCGTTTCGTTCAAATGTCTTCTATTGAAAACTACCTAATATAAACAGGTTAACAACTACCCCTTGAGTCCTGTATTGTCTAATCGTTCTATATCTTCAACTACATTGCTTGTAGTAAGACTTGTATATCAAAGTCATACTATTATAAGTTCAAATTGCAGAGCCTCATGATGGGTCAAATTTGCAATATATCCATACAAATCCCTTCATTCACCTGCACAACCTTTGAAACCCTAACCTTCCCATCTCCTCTATTGCAGGGAAACATGTTAGAACGACCCCCTTAGCCGACTTTCAGTCCGAGTAACACTGACTCAGAGTTATTCTTCTGGGGAGTCTAACTGGACAGACAACATATCACATGGCCTCGGTTGAGCCTAACAATGTCTAAGATAAAAAAGATTATGTTGGATGAAAAAGGTTGGGCGGGATTGATTATTGGAATCGAAGATATTGATTTGCTAAGCTGACCCGTACTGGCCTCCTGGTTGACCTTCAATCGAGCTAATGAATGAGTCACTGGGTTGGGCTATTTCTCTGATTATAAAAGCGACTGGGCCTGAGTTGTGATACCATAAGCACAATATGATAAGAATTATCGAATCGGGTCTTCACCCTTATCCAGGACTGTAGAACCTAGTTATTCCATCGCTCAACTTCATCGACTCAATTCAGGGTCGGGTGGCGATGAGGATAACAAGTGGCTTTTAATGTGCTTAGCCAAGCCAGGCCGCTTAGATGTCGAATGAGCCTTGAAGGTTTCGTAATCTCTACTCTATATGGTTACCTATACAAAGCTTTTAAGGGCGAGACGTACAAAGATGAAGTATGGGACAATCGGCGATGGCTAATGAATGCAACTTCTTCAACCTAGAGAAGCCCTGCTGATAGGTGACACGTATGTGGCGCAAGAGATTTGCATAAATCGACTTCAGTTGGATCCGATAAGCGCGCAAAGGGGACTGTTAGCATTTAGCCGCAGGATTTGTTGCTGACAGAATCCTACGAATTTGGGCCCCTTTTTCCCGGAACGCGAACCGTAAAGGCCTTATGAGATATTGTGTCATTAGAGCGTATTGCTACATTTTATTTAGCAATGCGAATATTTGAAAATACCAATCGTCTGTTATGCATAAGAATATCAATATACTATATTCTATAGGTAAGACCCATCACGCAATCTGACGTGAAGGTAGGGGTATCTTTCAAGGTAAACGATTAAAAAAGACGATTGGCCTTGACAAATCCTATGCCCAATCTTGCCCGGTCGTCAGAAATATTGAAGCATCTGTCGTAATTAATATTATGATTTCTCATCCCCAGCATTATTGGATACGAAATCTGATATGGCCTCGAAGTATCCCTCCTCCAATACGCTAGAATTATGGTCGCCACCCGGCAACGGCTTCCATATCTTAGTGGGTGTAGTAGCTAATTCGTATAGTTTTCTCATGTGGGAGGGTCTAAGACATGTGATGTTAGCCGACAAATCAGCTGAGCTCTTCAATTGAGACATGCCAAGCCAGCCGCGTGGAGGGGCTCTATATCAGGAACAATGCTTTAATCTTCGCTCGAAAGGGAGCTCAGGTTTTGTGGATGGTTGTTTTAAATCATCACATGGGTTTTTGTCTTGTAAGAAAGTTGGTAGAATGAATGTGGTTAACTTACGGGACGATCTCATCTTGAAGGCCACTCAAGAATAATATGGGAACTTCTGTAATAGACGGCAAAATAGACTCGCTTGGCCAGACTTGGTGACACAACATGGTCAAATACTTGGCCGGAGGGATAACGGATGGAATTAATGATCGCATGGAGAGAAACGTATTCTCCAATACCAAACCAACAATATCTCCCGCATGCTGATTCTTCGACACCAACTTAATGCTGACGGCTCCTCCTAGACTCTGTCCATAAACAACAAGCTTATGACTGCTTGTTTCGGCTCGACTTCGTAGATAATCTAGGGCGGTCTGGGCATCGATTGCGATTCCTTTCTCATCCGGCTCCCCAGTCGATAAACCATAACCTCGATACTCGAGCATAAAAACATTACAACCGATATAGTTGATGAGCATGCGAGCTATGGGTAGCCGATGCCCGATATTGCCAGCATTACCGTGAAACATTAAAATAGTACACTTGGAATTACGACCACCTTTCGGGCCGCGTATATAGAACGCCGATAGCTTCTCGCCATCGTTGGTAGGTATAACTAATTCTTCGAAATTTTTGATGCCAAATTGCGAAGGTCGAGGTACATTAGTTCGAGCATTCGGGGGCATGTGGGATGGGTAGATTAGCGCTCTGTAAAGGGGGGTGAGTAAGGTGGTTAGCTTTCTATAACAGATGATACGCTCAGACTGGAGGGGTGGGTGGTATACGACAGAGCGCCGGGCTGCTCACTTTTGCTTGAAGTACAGTAGGGTGGTTAGAACGGCGGCAACACCCTGAGTGACATTTGTTAGCTCGGTTGCGGCTCGGCATTGTCTGGCAATGGCGATTTGCGTGTTTCGACATGCTCTACGAAAGAACTTGGAAGTAGACGAGGTGGATGCCGAAGACTGGAAAGAGGATGAGCGTGAAGGCATACCGTGGAGGCCAAAGCTGGCAAACGCATGTAAGCGGCCACGGTACAAAGGAGCGAGGCGGCCTGCTCCAGATTGCTCAGATGTGACGATGATGCTCCTGAAGGAGACATGGCCTAACCAAAGTAGCCCGGACTTTTTGTTCTAGGAGAAAGAAAGAAGGAAGGGAGATATGAAAGAAGTGGCTTATACTATTATGTAAAGTACTACATAGCCAAAATACATGAAACGCACAAAAGGAGTACCTAGGGGAAAGCTTGCATTCGTTCATGTGGAGCGGAGGGTCTTGACTCGCGGATTTGGGAATTTGGGAATTGATGACGGAAATATCGGGCAGGGGGTTGTTGGTCGGTTGGTCGGTTGGTCGGCTGGGTCTTTGAAAGTCTTGGAAGTGAAAGAACATCCAGTTAGAAAAATCTCAAACACCCGCAAACAACAGGCGAGCCACGGTCGAGCTTGCCCGGGGATCGATTTTACCAGGTAGTGTACATACCTATGTACCTCATAGGCAAACTTTACATATGTAGTGCTGAAGTATGTATATAGCTAAATCTGGCAAACTTCCATCGCTAGCTTTAAAGTACATTGCTACATACTAACTACTTCTTACCTAGACCTCAATTCCCATTGAGTTTTAGACTTTTGAGACGGTCCATTATGGGTGGCGGTCTCATCTTCACCTGACACCTGATCTACATAACCCTTCGATGTTCTTATCACTTTTTTTCTTCTTCTGGTCTTACGACCGCTCTCGTGTAAGTATCTCACGTAATTACCGATCTTTCTAAGTGATGCCGATCGTTTCCATGCTTGGCTACCAATATATAGTATAGGCAGGGCAGCTGAGTTTTATTGGAAAATATGCATAGATCCTATGTGAATTCATTTTGGAGTCTGGATTAAATACATATTGGTGCATAACGGTATTTATTACCCATGGTCACGAGATTGGATAATTATAGATCACAACTTACAAGCGCCAGGTCCCGCAACGGTTTTGCATTAATATAAACGACGTCAATCCGGATTGTTATTGGTCAAAAGTTTCGATGCCGTTCCGTTCCTGGTCTGTCTCTACTTTTCTGTCTCTACTTTATATTAGTACATACCTTGAATTAGGTAGTATCAATAAGAGTCGGCTCTTATCGAATCTCACCAGTTACCAACTTAGGAATATCTTATCAATCAGGATAATGCGAAAGTATGGATCGATTTACCGACCTACTTTGTTCGTATTGTTGCATGCATTAACCTTCGTAAATGACGAACGTTATGCGCGTCGGCTCTACTTTGTTAATGTCAAGTAATAGGATGAATACCTAGGTAGGCTAAGTACCTAAGGTAGATAGATATATTACAGGTGTAGAATAGGTAAGCACCTGAGACTACATACAATTATGATATGCCCTGCCCTTGGGTATATGATATTGGGTACAGATATATGTATGTACGTAAGGCATCTCCATACCCGACATGTAGGTACCTTACCTTAGCTACATGTATGCTATATGCTTGGCTGTTGAATAAGCGAATCAGCACACTCGTTACTTCCAATGCTGAAGATCATCCTGGGCATTGTCGCAGCTCTAGCGTCTGTTGACAGCTGCCCCTCTCGGTAATCAACTGGCCCCCAATTGAGAAGACCCGCAGCGCATAACGCAACGGCGCCCAACGGGAAAAACTTCAATGCAAGTTTGCACATTTGCACACCCGAATTTAAAAAAAAAAAAAAAATTTCATCATCGCAAGAATCTCGGATTCCCCATTGTCGGGTCGCAAGATAACTATTCTTGTTGAGATTCCTAGACGAAGTTATTTACTCTTTTAAACTCGGTATAATACTCCAGTTCTCTTTCTGGCCAATCCCGCCTCCAATTCCTTTAATTCCTTTTCCGCGATCCTGTAATAGATCAGCTTGCAATCGTTACCCCGGACGGACGAGATCTCTCGCTGTTCTAATAATAAAGAGAGCTTTGACTTGGGGCGATAATTTACCGCCCAGCTAACTCCGTCCCCGATTAGAGATCTGGTCTGAATACGTCCGGATCCGTCTTCGCTGGCATTTATCACCACTGCCTGAGAAATTGCCTGAGAAGAGTCATACTTGATTGTCCAATTATACGACTTTATACGACTTGGTGTCTGCAACGACGTACTTGTGAGCAGCACTAAGACGAAATACTTAAAAGTGTATCGTTCCAACAAACCGTGGCACCCTGAGCAGAGAAAAACACCACAATCCATAGTAATCCTGTCATACGGGCTGGGAACGCGCCGTCTATCATCATTACTATAATCATCATTACTATAATATCGTTCCCCAGTTGGAATTCCCAGATCCTGATCAGCCTGGTTCCCTTCTCGTCCTATCAGCGCAGGTTTCTTATCCGACTTCGCCCATCTGCATTTATCTGACGCTGCACTGCTATCTCTGCATCTCTGTATCTCTGTATCTGCAGCCCCAAGGTCCCCAAGAAAACAAGCAAAAGAGGCAAAACAAAAAATATCAACAAATTTAACAACTCGACCTCACAGCCAAGCTATACGCACGAAATCGTGCAGCTGCGCGCCAATCAGCATCTAATCAGCATCTTACATATCTTACATATCCGACAGCACATCAGTTCTAGACCACTCAGAAGCATGGTTTCCTTTTCGTGTGAGGTAATATTGCCAATTCTATCATTTTAATCCCCCCCCTTCCCCCAAAGGGCCCCCCGGTGCCTGACATCACGGCTCTCAACCCTCCCTTCTAGTATTTTCTGGCGTTCCCTTTCGAGCAACACACGACGTTTCGCGTTGCGTTGCCCCCCTTTAGCCCTTCAGATCTTTCGCGCCATCCCTCCGATCACCATACATACACCATACATACACCATACATTACACCCATACATAGCCAATACATCACCTGGGCATTGACCATCCACCATCCTTCACACCCACTTACCGTTACCCCCCCTGTTTATATTTACCCCATAATATTCGAACCGCTGCTCTGTCTCGTCTCCTGATCTTGCCCACCCCTCTGCCCCTCCAACCAGATAAAACACACGCCCCCTGAAACCAATTGCGTTCTCCATATCCCTCATCGCATCTTTTAAATCCACTATCTCTTTGCATTGTACTTTTATCCATCTAACTCGACCTCTTCTCTCCACAGGCCTGTGGTGACGTTTTAACCAAAAAGAAACTCGACCCACACAGAAATCGATGTTACGGCGCTTCCTTTACCTGCATTGATTGTATGGTACACTTCTCCGGAACTGAATATCGCGCGCATAGTGTAGGTCGCAAGTCTATCTTCTAAATGAAATAAACAAATCTAACGTGTATTTACTAGAGTTGCATGTCAGAAGAACAAAAATACCAAGGCTCCCTATACAAACCGAAGAGACAGAAATCCAACGGCGTCGAATCCAACGATAAACCTGAAGCTATGGCCCATAACGCGTACGTCGAAGACGTGACAGAAGAGTACGAAGACTACCGGCAATATGAAGTTCACGATGGCGAAGACGGACACATAGGGACAATGCTGCCGCCGGAAGCGCCCACTCCCCCCCCTGCTGCCTCTGACGATCCTAATGTGAACGTCTTTGACTTCCTGGTTACACCAACTGTTTCTAATGTCAACCTACAATTTTACAACGACCCTGTACCACCCAGTGGCGGCCGGCAGCTCGTGCGCTTCGAGCAGACCACAGAAGATTACGTAGACTCGACAGGATATATGGTCGACGACGGTGCAATGGTCCATTGCGGAACTGGCTCCGTTCCAGCTAACACGTTTGAGACACCAGCACCTAAGCTTCAGCGAAGGAAGACGAAGGATAGCGACGGAAAGAAGACTAAGAAACGCAAGCAACTGCATATCGAGACGCCTGGTCCTTTGGCCTTAGAAGCGGTGCATGGCGACGAAGTAATGACTGATGCGCCACCCGTACTACACTCGGGCTTGACCGGTGGTCTGAACCGTATGATGCGCCCATCCCAATTCCCTCCATCGCCAGACTACTCCGGAGGCGACGTAGCCGAGAAATCACCAACTGCCCCAGTTAGGAAGACAAAACACAAGTCCCACAAGACTAAATCTAGTCGGACAGATACAATTAGTGGAGGACTCAGGGCTTTCATATCGGGAACTTCAAAGTCGAAGGTGTCTAAGAAGCGGAAGCATTCATCTGATAAAGATAAAAACGAGAAATCGAAAAACCACCGTCGGTCGAGTTCCGAAAAAGCCCCAAAGCTAATTGAATATAAAACGAAGTCAGGGGATGAGAAGGATGGAGAGTCGGGCCAGATGATTCTTTACCGACCAAGATCCGATCTGTTCCTGAGCCTGTGTAACAAGGGCCCAGAAAGCGAACGGGGCTGCAGCGTAAACAAGGCTCTGAAGAGATTCCATCGCGAACGATCGGAGTCGGGTACCAGCTTGGGCAAGACAGTGGAGGAGAAGGAGCTCTGGCGGTCATTACGTATGCGTCGTAATGAACAGGGTGAGATTGTCTTGTTCTCGGTTGAAGTCTGAGAATATGTATCGATCGAGAAGAGCAGCGTAATGGCGTTCTAATAGGGTTGTTTTCTGGGGAATTAATGTGATACCTACGTGCGGAATGGCGGTTTAGGGGAAAATGGGGAAGGGCGGACAATCTGGGATCCGTCGGTTTTCCGCATGGAAACCTGGCTGCTTCTGAGCTGGTCTTGAAGCCTCATTATAGAGGAGGTCGTGTAAGGAATAGCAGAGCGGGTCGGCTCGGATTGGTTATCGGCTTGTCATCACTACCTGTACGTTTCTTGGTTGTCCTTTTCGAATGTTTGAGTATGGGCACGCAGGTAATGTGGAGGATAAGAGGAAGGAGAGAGGCTATTAGAATTTCCGATCACATGTAGAGCATATCTATTGTCTCCAATATATGAACGTCGTTAAGTCTTTATTTTTTTTTTCATTATGATAAATATCGCCATGCTATGGTGTATTATTCCCTCCTGGCTGACAAAAACTCGCCCCCTATCCATATTACACATACATAAAACGTCATATTAAACAGCTCGTAGTGGTAGAATATGCTGCACTAAAGCCTCGCGGCGGCACAGCGGACACTCGGGTTTCTCGCGGACCCAGTCGCCGATGCAAGCCCAGCAGAAGACGTGACCGCATGGTGTGGCGGACGGATCTTTAAGCTCTTCGAGACATAACGTGCATTTGCGCTGCTGTGTACCCTTAATCCAGCGCATACCCTTCTCATCAGACAAGTCGTAGCGGGGGTTACCGGTGCCTCCCGGCGGTGCGGGCGTGTGCGTCGCAGCCAAGACATCGATACGAGTGGCGCCCTGGGAAGAGCTCGCGGCGGTCGCGAGGAGGAGCTCGTTATTAGAAGCGTAGGTATTCTCGTCGAGCGACACGGCGAGGATGCCATCGGGTCTGGCGCGCTCGGAACTGGCTGGGGAGGTGGATGACGGGGGGGATGCAGCAGCAAAGGCGGTCCGCACGTGCAGGTATCCTTGCACGGCCATCTGCACGGCCAGCAGCACGCCTAGAAGCTCGTACCCGGCGCGGTCGGACGACTCGCCCACCTTGCGCGTGAACACGTACCGCAGGCCGGCGATGCGCTTCGCCAGCTCGTAGTACGACCCGCTGAAGTAGAAGAGCGCGAGGCTGAGGGCGTGGACGTGGGACTCGGAGGTCAGCGAGGGGAGGTGAGTTAGGAGGTACGCTTGCAGCTTGTAGGACCAGGTCGGCGTGGTTTTCAGGCGGGCGTTGATCTCGTCGTCGGCGGCGGCGCTCGTCGTTGACGACGACGACGACGGGAGCCCTAGGTTGTGCTGCAGGCGCGCGCGTATCCGGGCGCGGAGCCTGGGCAGCAGCCGGGATAGCGCGTACGGCGCGAGGATGCTGCCGGCGATGTAGGCGGCGCGGCGGTTTATGGCGGGGAGCGCGCCTGTGGCGGATTCGACTTGGACTAGGCCGCAGTACTCCTCGCCTAGGGTGCGGTTGCCGAGGAGGGTTGTGAGGGAGAGGTAGAGGAGGTCGGCGAGGGTGCGGGACTCGGGGGCCCAGGCGTGGGCGGAGCGGGCGCCGAGGAGGTGTCGGTGCAGGTCGGCGATTTGATTCGTGAGAAGGCCTTGGAAGTAGGCGTCTTTTTGGTGGGCGCGGATTATGTCGGGGGCGAAGGCGTAGGGGTATGGGGAGGATGAGGAGGAGGTGGTGGTGGAGGATGGTGATGATGATGTCGGGGGTTCTGATGAGGATGGAGAGGAGGATGGAGTATTGGAGGGCGGTGGCGCCGTGTCGGTGGCCATTGTGGTGCAAGTTGTTATAAGATGTTTGGTCGTGATGGCATATCAATAGAGATTGAATTAAATTATATCGTCGGTATTAGGGGTAGTATAGCAAGCCGTCTTGTCCGTCTTGTACGTTTGTTTGTAACAGTTTGTTGAAGCTGTAAAGTTCTAAATTGTGAAGCAGGTGAAGCTGTCAATATGCGATGCACCTGCAAGTACATACCTAATCTGAACTGAACCTCGGCGATTGGATAACCGTTCTTACCTCTACCATAGGCTAGCCGGCCAGGGGTTTCGGCTGCTTCAACGCTAGCGCGGCAGGGATCCACGGTACTTCGTTACATACAGGTTAGCCTATGTACATAGTATGCACCGCGCTAAGGTGACGTCGGCAATACATATGCTAAGCTCAATTAAAAAAAGAAAAAAGGTAATTATCTGGCATGTTACGAATATCGATCCTTATCTATTAAACAATTGACACAAACACCGTCCACCAATTACACCTCACGAACAAAGATATTCACAACCTCGGTATCTCACCAATTCGAATTCTGCAACCCCCGATCTCACTCGTTAGCGTCCGTCTGGACTTTGGTCACGGAGCAGGGTCTCGATGCTAGGTTCTCGGAGTCGGCAGCGCCATGGACGGTGATCCAGCAGTCGAGCCGGAGCTTGACTCCTTCAGCTTGACGTTTCCCCTGCCGTACCGCGTCGCCTTTATAATTGTGCTAGGTGTGTATTTTATTCCCCTTCACTATTTGTTTATTCCTCCCCCGTCGTACTCTCCACCAATTCGACCCTAACATCCTCAAACAGCGGTCTGGGCTTGGGGCATCAACCTACACTACCTATACTTATCCGGCATCGACGTGCCCTCGCTGATCCGGTACCCGGGCCGGTCCTCGCCGCACCACCCGACGCACCACCTGTCCACCTACCGCCTCGCCACCGTGCTCTCCGCCGTCTTCGCTTTCGCCCTGCTCGTCTTCTGGGCCTTTACGCACCGCGATCCGGACCTGGTGCTAGCCTGGGACTGGCTCCCGTTGCTGTACCTCGCCGTGCTCATCGGCATCCTCGTCTTCGCGCCCTTCTTCAAGTCGCTATCGCATAGCGGGCGCACGCGCCTGCGCGCCACGCTCCGCCGCATTAGTGTTGGTGGGCTTGCCGAGGCCAAGGATGGCAAGTTTGGCGATATTCTGCTGGCTGATGTGCTGACTAGCTACGCCAAGGTCTTCGCAGACCTGTACGTTGCAATGTGTATGTTCTTCCGGTCCGAGGGTAGCGCGACTGCGCGTCCGGACCGCGGTTGCGGAGGCACTTTCATGGTGCCGCTTGTCATGGCGGTGCCTTCGCTTATCCGTCTGCGCCAGTGCCTCATTGAGTACGGCCGAGTGCGGCGCGGGCGTATCACCGAGTCCACAGGCTGGGGTGGCCAGCATCTAGCCAACGCGCTCAAATATTCCACCGCGTTCCCCGTGATCATCTTCAGCACCTTGCAGCGGAACTCTACGGGTGGACAGCCTCCGCCTATTGGTTACTACCGGGCGTGGATCGTAGCCTGTATCATTAACTCCCTGTACAGTTTCTACTGGGACGTAGCTAAGGATTGGGACTTAACACTATTCGACGCAAATGCGAGGAATGCACCAGACCTGGCGGCGTTCGGCCTACGGCGGCGTCTGAATGTCGGGCCACCGGCGTTGTACTACGGCGTCATCGCGATGGACCTGATGCTGAGATGTACGTGGAGTTTAAAGATAAGCCCTCACCTAGGCCGGATGGCTGACTGGGAGGGATCCATCTTCGTGATCGAGTTGCTCGAAGTCTTCCGTCGATGGGTGTGGATATTCTTCCGTGTCGAGACCGAATGGATTCGTAATATGAATGTCGCCGGTCCTGGTGCTGACGACATCCTACTCCCAGACTACCACAATAACAATATTCAAGGCCCCAGGTATCAAGATGACGACTAGGAGTGGAACATCGGACGAGGACGGTCACGATATGGGATCAGAAGATAGATCTATCGAAAATTTTAATAGAAGGAGTATCACGGAGGGGGTGTCATCACGTTATAAGGATCATGAGAATATAATAAGGGGTGTATATGTCTGTCCTATATATGTTCACGTCTTGGCGTCATACTTGCATTGCAGGCGTTGTTTGTTAGACTAGGTACGGTTAAGCAGGTAGGCTGTTGATTGCTAGCTAATATAGTACTAGGATATGCTAACCGGGTATATATCATCATTGGAGGCGTAGGAATATGTAGTGAGCTTTCTTGAGGCTATTGTTGACGGATGTTTCACATGTAAATAGTTGACAGACTATATACTTCTACTCGGGACTTCGTTCATCGGCATGGCATGTAGCGAGTTCTCTAAAAAGGGTTATGCTGACTTTCTCTATCAACCGTCGTCACCTAGTATCAATGCATTTTTTAGGTTATTGTCTTCAATTATTCGTTTCGAATTCATCAAATGCGCACATGCGACTACCTACAGTTCAGTAGGTCTATAAAACGACTGCCCCTTGGTATCCAGTTCTTCCCGTCCCTTTTTCCCATGCGATGGTTTGATATAAGTACACGTACGCCAAAAGCACCGCAAGCGCCAAGGCTATGCTTTTCCCAGATACATATCCAATGCGACTAGTGACCCAGTGGAAATTCGAGAGGAAGTAGTAACAATAGATATAGACAGCCAGAATGCCGATCGCAGCAACCGTCGACGGCCGCCACGGTATTCTATACTATAGAAACGACGCGAACCACGGCCGTTTTATGGTGGTAGGCTGCTTTAGCTTATTCAGGCAGTACGAGCCATAGTTCCTTGGTGATGGCCCGGGACACTCGCAACGGCACCCGATACCGTTGTCCTCCTCCGCCGCCCACGTTCCGCTCCCGAGTAGCTGTGACTCTGGGAGTTGTCCGCCTGGCGCGTTGGCCGGACATTGGTATAGGAGAGCATGTCGATATCCGAAATCTTCGAAATGGTGTACCTTTCGCGGGTCTGCAAGCATCGCTATGGCAAGAGAGTGCACCGCCGCGTCACCCCACTATGATACTGTTAGTTTGATCGTCTTCAATTCGACGCGGGAATCGTAGATTCTATTGTACTACTTACCCGCTCAAAGTAAAATCCTCCCTTCTTATCTAAATAGTCGAAGAGGTCCTGGTACGCCCTTGTTCGGAAGAAATCCATATCAGCAATCTCGAAGTTGCTCCAGTAGTGGCACAGACTCCACCCATCGCCATACGCATCGCGGTTCGGCAGCCAGCTCATGAACCGGCGGAATGGGTACGGCATCCATGAAGCTGATACCGTAGCCTTCCAGAGGCTACTCGTGGGAATACCCATCATCTCCTTCCAGTCGGCGATTGAGCGGTATAAACCCGGACATGACTTTCCCACTTCCCATAACGCAATCGTAAACCCGTAGACCTTCTTATGTCGTGCCATCTGTACAAAGGGATCGTACGTAATCGCGCAGGTAAAATCGACGTCAGGTTCGAGCCGCCAGTACCATTTGTACTTCTTTAGCACATCGAGCTGATAAAATTTGCTTTAAGGTTCGTCAGTTCGGATGGTGATTCTAAATGCGCCATACGCTACGTCCGTAACTCTCCTCTACAAGGGACGAAACTTACCCCGAATAGAAGCGACACATATGGTGATACCCTTCTTCCCCAGCGTGTGGGATACCCCTTTCTCCTTGCTCCTTAATATTTTGCTTCGCTGCATCTATATCTACACCTTCGGGGAACGTCCATTGCGTCTGCGGTATAACATCAAAGGTGGCCAGCCCTCGGGCCGTTTTATTTAGAACCTCTATGAAGTTGGGATCCCATTTCTCATCGTTTAGGAATACGTAGGGATAGTTGAACCACCTGTTGAATTGCTGTTCTATCGAGGTAACTGTCCTGTTGGCTTTCTCCAGTTCATTATTCCGTGCAAGCATTACCAAGGCCGCATTTTCTCGTTTCGCGCTGACGTCGGGCTCCTGGCACGAGGTGAAAAAGGGTGCATCAAGCTCGCTCGCAGGTCGTGGCACGCTATATTGCCATTGGTGTACGACAACTTCGAAAATAAAAGGCCCAACGACAGTAAGTATTAGCCAGAGTGGCAGTCGTCGTGCGGGACGGATAATCCGTCGTAACATGGTACGGGTTCTGTCCTCGTGCCCTTCTCAGATCATGGTCCAAGTGTGTCTTCCTGCAAATTCGAGGAAAACGTCGGGAAAATGATATCGATAGCTAGGATGGGATCGATTGGACTATGACAAATGATAAATCAAAATAATGCAGGGGGACAAGAGAAAAGGGAGAAGGGTCCTCAGCATGTAAAAAGAAGGGCAACAAAAAGGCAACAAAATCCACACACGCGCCTGATAGCTGTGATTTTCCAACCGATTAGGACTGATTACCTCCAGGCTGCAGGCTGCAGGCTCGGGGTTAAGCCTCTGCGCTCTGCGGCACGGAAAGCTGAGAGGTGCCAGGAAGATGGACTGGGCTGGCTTAGATGCTGGATGGATGGCAGATGGCAATTGGTAGTGAGGCTGAGCTGCAACAAAATTGGACGGGGATGCAACACAAAGCGTGGAGAATTAAGTAAAAATAGGAGAAATCTTTCATTTCAATGAGCCACGGTCCTTGTATTATGGTCTTATGGTTTTGACACCAAAATCCAATTGTCGGTGAGTGATAATAGATGGGATTTGCCCACCGTCAGCGTTAGTACTACATTCTCTTTTGTTGCGAATTTGAATGTTGTCGAGGTTTAGTTTTATTTGGTTTTGTTTGGATTGGATTGGATTGGATTCTCTTGCCTGGTGCAGGTCCCAGGTGACATCCTAATGTTGGATGGATGGAAGGCTTTGAATAGGAGTCTACACCTCATCCCAAAGTCATCCTTGACCATCAACCCAAAGTCTAACCCGATTTGGCAAAAGCTGGGGCCTTGGATCCAACATTTTGATTGGTTGCATTTGACGGGGTCCGCTTTGGGGTGAGCTTTGTACGACTTTGGGGTAAGTTTTTAGCGTTTTTAATCATTAGAATAAGGCTAAATGCCCTGTAATTACAGCGCATTATAACTACTAAGTTCCCTGTATTATAGCGCTAAGCACTTAGGTTTTTAGCGCGCTTTATCTAATTAATTCTTAATCGATTAGGAATTGATTAGATATGCGCTTACCTATTTTTTATTTTTTATTTATTTTAAAATAAACTTTTTATATTTAAATAAAATAAAATAAAAATCAATGGTTAATCGATTAATAATTAATTATTAATCAATTATATTAAATTTATTTATATTTTATTAAGTCTTATAATGCTATATAAAAGCGTATATTTACATAAATATAATGTTAGTGAAATGGTAGTTGAGTTTTGGGTGCGCTAGTACTATTATGGTGTAAAATGGTCCACATATGCCTGATTGGGTTAGACTTTGGGTTGATGGTCAAGGATAACTTTGGGATGAGCTGCGCCCTCCTTTGAATAGCAGGTACATGTATGTACTACATGTAGGTACTTTAGCTTGCGTCTAGATACCTAAGGTAGGTAGGTACCTACACGTGTATACCTCCTAGGATACCTAAATGGGGTTGCAACTTCCAAGGTTGGTATTCAAAGTCATCATTGCCGAAGGGACGAACTGTACCTAAAACTTTATGTACCTAAACCTGTAATACCCAACCTACAAATTTACCCCAAGTACCTATATAACTTGATGGCATCACCAATTCGCTATTCCAGGTAGCACAGCCGCGTCATAATCCATCACATAAAAAGTTCACTTGCACAGCATGAGGATACTTAAAGCATTTTGTAAATGCGCTGTCACAACAAATCTATCCAATATCATCGTGAATAGTAAAGATTCGGATATCTTCAATTGCCATGGGCCGTGATATTAAACATATCGAGAATAGAAATAATAGTTAGGTTAGGTAGTTAAGGTGAAATAGTTTAAACATTACTAGGTTAGGCTAGTTAACTCTAGTTATCCGAAAGTTTAAGCAGGCTTCGGATGATATGTACCTAGAAGCCGAGCTCAAGCCATGTGCGGAATACCCGGACTCCGATTGATATGCAGCCCCCACATTTGCCGAACTGCCCGCGATTTAACTCTTGCTTACCTCTAGGTTACTAAACTATAAGCCTATCCTTCAACACCACTTTTATAACTCCTTCAGAGGCCACACATACATGTACGCTATCCTTTGAGTATCTACGATATCGTCTTCTTATCGCGTAGCTTGTGTTTGTCAATATATTAATCAATGGACTTCGTCAACCATCGCGTGGCCCAAGAGGCTGCTAAGGACCCCTCTGAGATATAGTGTGTTCCTACAGCTACCCAGGGTTATCGCCGGAACCCAAGCTAACAAAGTTATCGCAGCACCGGTTTCGTCACGCCGCTCAATATCATACTCCTCCTCATCACCCTGTACACGACATATGTACTCTACAAGCCCTCTCCTCCGGTATCGTTTCCGCGCGAACCGCCCGCCATCGTCTTCCGGACCTTCACCCCACGCACCCTGCTACCCTTCAACGGACAAGACGGCAAGCCGGTGTACCTAGCAGTACGCGGCCGCGTCTTCGACGTCACGAGCGGTCGTAACTTCTACGGCCCCGGCGGCCCCTACGAGAATTTTGCCGGTCGCGATGCTTCGCGCGGCCTTGCGTTCCATAGCTTCGACGAGGATATGCTGACTAAGGATCTCGATGGGCCTCTAGATAAACTCGAGGGCCTTGGACCTGAGGAGTGGGAGAGCTTGCAGGGCTGGGAGGAGAGGTTCAACAGCAAGTACATGGTTGTTGGAAAACTGGTTGCTGCGGCTGATGCGTAAAATGGTCTCGACGAACCTGCGGAGGTTACATCAGATATGATGAATTATGGCAATGTTATTGAGCGCTCGGTCTTTTATTTACAGCTAGTATTGGCTGGTATTACTATCTATAGGTGGAAAATAAAGGATTCTATCTACGGAATATAAAGATGCTCAATCGAGTTCAAGCCCATGTTGATATTAGTTTGCTTGAATTACTTGCACGCCTAGAAAGTTTCATTGTTATGAAGTAAGTCTATCTTGTAAGGTGATATTGTCACCAGCCAGCATTTTCCGACTCGTATGTAATAAAATTCCTTCTTTTGTAAGTAGTTAGTCGTATTCCAAGTATAAGTTCCATAAATGTGGCTAGATAGACACCTCACTACAATGTTAATGCCTTAGGTGTGCTCGTGGGATTTTATTCCTAAGGCTACTACACTGGAAGCTGTCTATTTCTAGATTTATATAACCTTAGTTACCTACATAGGTACGTATGTTTAGCCTGCAATTGCTGTTTGCTTGTTATCTCGTTCCTCGTGGGTGGTAATCTCCATATCCAACGGGAATTTTTATCAACTCACTTTCCTCTCAACATGAACTAGGCACTACCTTCACCCAGAGGTATCCTCCACTTAGTACTCTCTACCCAAAGGTAAAGACAACTTGAATCATATTTGCCATGATGTCCTCCCTTATCCTTATCATTCTGACCTTCATTTCGCGGGTAGCTAGCTGCCTACCCTACGGCAGATACCAATGTTAGCATTTCAAACCCTACGTTTCTTGTCGATGGCGTCTGGCCTACAAGCCTTCCGAATGGCACTGTCGTATTCAACAATGTGACAGCAGGCGATGAACGTATAAGTTGGCTGAACAGCTGGCCCCTATTCCCTCCAATTTCGTACTACCCCTTTAACATGTCACTATTTCCCCCTTTCCTAAATTACAGCAAATTCTAACAAGGCCTACCAGTTCAACGAACATTGGAAATACGACAATTTTGATGAGTGCAAATGGGCCATGAACTATATATATAAAATGTCCTCGTCGTCAGTTCCGAGTGCACAGAGTATTGTGAGGCCGATACTTACAACTGGGGCAAAAAATACCATCGCATCCGCTACATATGTGAGAAGCTGCGATAGTCCCATCTTTTTCATGATCCTTCGGTACTAATACTCCTTAAACCGTTTTGGCAAGATTTTGGGAGACGGTCAAGACCCCCATATCTGGTGTGACAACTTCAAGGCGAGAGTGATGCGTAACTGTGCTTTCTGGGAACCCGACTTCTTCAACTACAATATTGGCAGAGCTCCAGCGTTACCTGGGATTGATAGCTGGGCTGCCACACCCGCTGGAGTCGTGACAATGCCTGGCATCAACCTCAGATTCGACTTCAGCCTAGACTGGAATCCCCGTGACGCACAACACGACCGTGTTAGATCAGCTATCCGTGAGGCAACTTGGGCTGGGGCCGTGTTCGCCAACGGTCTTAGATGATTTTCTGTGATGTATAAGTCTCTAAACGCTGGTGCTGTGAGTGGAGGATCTTTGCGCATAAGCAATATCTTTATACCAACCCTGGGATATTATCTTTAGGTTGAGTTTGACAAGTCCTACGTACCACCTAGTTCACAATATCTTTATAAGTATGAGTTTCGGGAAGAGGCAAAACGAACGAACCTATCAGAAGAGTAAGGTCATTATATCCGAATTAATCCCTATACTTAATGTAGCTATGAAAGCCATTCTTAATTGATAGTTTGGTACAATTTGCCTTTTGCGACATATCATGCTGAACAATGAATTAATAATAAATGCACCAGCACGATAGAATTTGGCGTATATTAAGTCACCGATCCCAATTGTATTACTATAGAATAAGATGTATCTATTGAGTACCTGGGACAAATATAACTCCTTTTTTACTTTATGAGTCGGCCTGCTCCTTTTGAAGTTTCAGGCATTACTAGGCAAATAAATATACGGGCAGGAAGTCCAACAAAAGCCATTCATAGGAATAGCACGTATCAACCGTATAGGGAGGTTGTTGTTTAGTACTTGAGAATGGGCAAATCTTTTATTATCTCTCAATGCTGTGGATCCCGTAGCTAGAGTGACCCAGGCACTCATACAATGAGGCAGTTGCAGCTTGCATCGTATGCATATATAAACAATAGCTAGACCCTATTCTAATCTTAATTGACCAACAATATCACTATTCTAGGAATCACATCCTACTATGGTTATGAAGATATTATAGTTTCCCGTAAGAAATGAAGGTACGAAGAGGTAAATAGATATACAAATTTCAAACTTGGTTAATTGAGGTATTCATGTAGTGTACGAGATGCAAATGGTTTCGATACGAGGTCATGGTTGGAACACGAGACGTTGTGATATATGGTTCCATTTTTCAATTTTGTGCCCAGGGATTAATCCCCACGGATGGAGCCAATAGATTGAAACCCCTTATATCGACTCCCATATGCGTGATATCTACTTCATAGCGTGCCAAACTCCTGAATTTCATGACTTCTAGAGGTATGTAATATAAGCAATCTCCATATTACTTAATTCAACATCTTCTAAATCTATGACCTTGTTGGTAATCTAATGTGATATGAACCTTGGGCTGATATGGGGAAGTCGTATTCCCAGCTATGGAGCTATGTATGTACACCAACATTCGCAAAATTCTACGTGTCCAATGAGGAGCCACCGGTCTGCAACTCTCTTAGACCATTTAACCGGCCAACTGTAGATATCAAAATGTCATCGATTATCATAGTAAGACGATTCCACGTGATCGGATATAATTAACTAACAGCATCTCTATGCCAAATTAGGTGCGTATTCGTGTTCTTTATTATGTAGTTACCCATCAAAAGGTTAGTCTAGACCGGGCTAGCGACTAACATTCGATGCCGACTAGTTTATGAGCCATGCAGTTGGTGTATTGTTCCATCCCAAATCCGAATCCTACATGTAGAACTAACGGCGCTATTTAAACTATCCACTTCTCCTCATTTTCAGATGCATTCGAGGTTACCAAGATATTATCTAAGGTCTTTCATCACTCTTCTAACATGGCTAATCACGATGAGCCCACGCCAGCGGCGACGACTTTAGGTAAACCAGCTACGTCGGCTGGGCCCGCTAGCCCTACAGAACAACCAGCGCCGAATGTAGTACCAGGATGGACAGATGAGCCAATTGAAGTTGCTCCACATGTAAGAAGATCCGACATATTCAAAGCCATCAATTTTAAGAAGGGTTGTAGCGCGTGTAATTAACTGACAATTATCTATAAGGAGGAGGGTGATGATTATGATGATGCAGATTCTGCTCTAGGAGAAGGTGATAAGTAAGAAGTGCCATTTCTTAATAAGGGTTACCCTGCCGAAGCTAGTATAGTCATGACGATATAAAAACACAAGTCTAATAAGAAGCGATAGTGCGAGTTCGACAGCATCCCTGACTGAGAGTGTTCTGGAATATCGCACACTTAATGGTCGTACGTATAACAGCGGCAGGCATGGAACAGATAAGTACTGGGGGCCCAACGATGAGCGGCAAAATGAAGCCATGACATGAAGTGAGCCGCAATGACTCGAATTGTTTTAAATCTTCTAATGACTTTTAGTCACCATTTCTTGACCCTTTGTCTCGGTGGCAATCTTTTCCTAGCACCTCTAAAGGATGATATAAAAGTGAGCGTACAGATCTACCTTATCAGGAGTTTGGCTAACATTCTACAGCGAATACTTGACATTGGTACTGGAACAGGTGATTTAACCCTCAAAATAAATCACTAGTTTATTACTGACCGACTATTCAGGGTTATGGCCAATGTAATCAAATTGTTCCATGTCATATTGCATTCGGAAAATTAACAAGGCTTTAGTGACATAGGAGACGAATTCCCGAACTGTGAGGTTGTTGGAACAGATTTATCACCGATCCAACCATCGTGGTGCCCACCCAACGTCAAATTTGAGATCGACGACCTGGAGCAAGAATGGACATACGCCCCTAACAGCTTCGACTACATACACATCCGGTACATGGTAGGCAGCGTGGCAGATTGGCCGAAGTTATTCAGGCAAGCATTCAAAACGCTCAAACCCGGTGGATGGATCGAGAGCTTCGAGGTCGAGGCCGACTACCGTAGCGACGATGGCACCCTAAAACCCGACTCGGCTATGATTATGTGGCGCGACTTGTTCACCGAAGGCGGCAAGAAGCTAGGCTTATCGTTTACTCTCATCTCAGACGACGTCCAGAGGAAAGGGATTGAAGACGCTGGTTTTGTAGACATGACGGTCAAGGATATTAAGGTGCGTTGTCTGACTTTTCCGAGTTTAGGCTGTCCAGCTTTTCTAATCATATCATAGGTACCTATGGGTCCTTGGCCGGCAGACCCGAAGTTGAAGGAGATTGGGCAATGGGCTCAATATACTCTTGAGCAGGACCTAGAAGGTGAGTGACTTTCTCTTATTTGACTATCTGGTTGGTAAATCTGTTAGAAACTAACATATTCTCATAGGTTATGTTGTGTTTATGTGGAACACGGTCTTAGGCCGCTCCTTGGAGGAAATGCAAGTATTTCTCGCAAGTTTCCGCAAAGAATTACGGTCTAGCAGGACGATCCACGCATACATACCACAGCGGGTTGTATATGCGCGAAAGCCAGAGGCTGCGTAGATAGACCCTTGAAAACAACGATTGACGAAGCGGTTTTATGACAATATGTTGTAGTAAATACTGAAACGACGGCGGGAGAATGTTACAGAAAAGCAGATGATACTTAAAAGTTTTTAATTGTTGGTAACTAGCTTTACTGATACTTTAGTATATATAAAATATAACTATATAAGACTTAACCTAGTTAACTTACAAAGAATCGATTATCTAGCCTGGGATATTATCTGTAGTCATAAATGGCACGTGGTATGCTGCTTTTCTCTCTCAGTTGCTGAAGAGCCTAATAGGGTAGGTTGTGCAACGTATCTAAAGCGTCTATTGGCTGATATATCTGTCGTATAGTTTGCCTGTAGATATCCCTGTTTCCGCTCGGTCTTCCGAAGTAAGACTCGAGCTACGGAGTTACTTGGCCCACCTAAAATAGCTATCACCTTATAACCATCTCAGTCTTTTCGTAGTTACAGCTTTTAGAGCTGATAAGTTAGGTAGGTATGTAGCTAAGGGACCTAATGTGCTCTTTTACCTTTCTATACAGTAAGAGTTTAATGCTTGAGTCTTTTTTCTATCTACCCACTTTCTCTCCGAGTATCTGCGGAATGTTATGCTTCTCGTAGATATCTAGAATGAATATTTCAACTGGTAACTAAAGTGTTCATCAGACTTATACCTCCCAATACTACAATTAACCCCGAATGCATAACTCTAGTTTCAGATACCCGTGTGCTATCGCTCGTTGACGGACCGGCAGCACCGTTTGCAAACTGTACGAAGAAATCGTTTGTTAAGCCTGCAGGTGTGCATATCGTCCCTGCAGCACAGTCCATCACGACGCTCCACTGTCCAGCGGCGCAGCGTTGCCACTGGTTCGTAAGACAGTTCCATTGGCCCTCGGACCCTTCACACGATGATCCCTCTGACATTTGTCTTTTTTCAATCGTGGCGTTGCCATATCTGCTTCCGGAGTTGCTTATTCCCGGTTGGTCTGTAAAATCCGAGACTGATAATAGTGGCTTTGTAGGCGACGCTAACGGCGATGCGAGGACTAACGGCGTTAACAAATGTAACGTGTTTATGATAATTATGGATCTGGAGTATCTTTCTTTGGAAGGCATCGTGATGTGTAGGAGGTAAGTAAAGGATTTGAAGGCGATGTTGTTGTTTGTAAGCTCTGTTCTATGATAATACTGCGCTTAGAACTATGAATATATGGGTTAGGCGTTAGTCAATAACATATATTACGAATTATGGAGTTATATAAAAGCTATAGCTACTATTCCTATGAAACTATTGTGATTGCTTTATACGCCTTGCCGTTGTGCTTGTTCACTGCTGTGTTACGTGGCTTCCAATCGGCACTGCTGCCCGAACCAAACGTGGGCATATTCAATTGGCAAAGATGCTTTAAAGTAATCTAATTGTGATGGTTTCACCTCATCAAGGTCTTTATAATTTAACAGTATGTAAAAAAAAAAGTCGAATACGAGTCTTCGCGTGATCCTAGCTTTGGTGTGCGGATAATGCATTTAACTTAGGTACCTACCGCCTACTACGATTGGAGGAATAATAATGAAAGGAATTGATAGCATCAAGTAGAGGTAGCTAGGCATTTATTCTTCGCATGATGAGGATATATATCCTTGGCTTCGAGACTTGGACGTAAGGGATAATGGTTATGCTCTTCTAGTGGCTACATAGACCCCTTGTTGGATAATGCCGCATATGTTAAGTAATGACATTTATGAAATTACAAGATACCTTTTGGTCAAGTGGTCAATCTGACAAAATGTAAATGGCAAATTTGTCTCTTGTTGGTTGTTGCCTTGGCGTTTTAATAAGAGACATAATTTCATGTACATGGCCCATACTACCTGCCTCCCATTATTTGCTACTAGTATATTTTTCTCTTGTTAATTATTCGGATGTAAATTTACATCGCTCTTCTCCCTCAGTAAAGTGTTCCTATGTTTGGAGGTTAGGAAAACAGGTAGTTAGTTAACTACCTACCTTCTATAGCAAAAATGTCGGATACCCTATCTTCAATAGGAGGAACAGATTCCCCTAGGCCCAACAACAACATCCCTCAAGACTTTAGACGTGGGTTCCGCTTCTGGATTGTCATCATAGGACTCGGCATTACGTCCCTTCTAGCTGCGTTAGAGCATACTGTGGTTACAACTTCAGCACCCGTGTTTCTGACAGAGCTTGAATTACGAGAGAATTTCGTTTGGACAACGAACGCCTTTTTTATTTGCAGGTTTGTTATTTTCGCTCAGTTGCAGACGAGGGATTCGCCTTTCAATGCTAACTTAGTGGCTGCCACACAGTGCCGCGTTCTAACCTCTGCTCGGGCAACTATGCAACATCTTTGGTCGACGATGGATTTACATTACTATTGTAGCCATCTTCACTCTCGGCAGCGGTATATGTGGTGGGGCAGATACTGGTGCTATGTTGATTGCAGGCCGCGCGGTGCAAGGTGTAGGGTCTGGAGGTATCATTATGATGAACAGTGAGTACCTAATTCAAGCATTTTTCTCGGGGCCCCTGAGGAAGCGCTCACACACTCCTTACTACTAGATATCATAATATCTGACCTAGTCCCATTACGTGAAAGAGGTAAATATACAGCTGTTGTTCTGGCTATATTTGGGATTGGCACATCTTTAGGCCCTTTCATCGGCGGCGCCATCGTTGTCTCGACGACCTGGCGCTGGGTCTTCTGGATCAACCTCCCAATTGGCGGGACATCACTTATAGTAATGTTTCTGTTTCTACATGTGAACTATGGCGAATCCATATCGTTTTCCCGGAAAATGAGGCGCATCGACTTTATAGGTAGGTGATAACAACCTTCTTATTTACTATACTGAATGAATAAACGCTGATTGCCTATTTCAGGCAACGGTATACTCATGGCTAGCACTGTAGCAATTCTCTATGCACTGACGTATGCGGGAACCGTCTTTGCATGGTCGTCGTGGCATACTCTAGTACCATTTATTTTAGGATTCTTTGGCCTCTTCCTATTCGCAGGTTTTGAGATGAGCGGCTTCTCAGCAGAGCCAGTCATGCCGGTGCGACTATTTGCGCATCGCACGTCTATCATTGTCATCATTAATACCTTTCTAAACTCCACGGTGTACTACTGGTTCTTATATTTCCTCCCCGTCTATTTCCAGGCTGTCGCTTTATATTCGCCGTACCGCACGGGCTATTCCCTATTACCCCAATCTCTTTTCGGGATCCCGGGCGCTGCGATTGCGGCAATTGCCCTTAGTCGTTGGGGCAAATTTACGCCGCTACATTTTGCTGGGTTCGCAATTACTACTCTTGGTATAGGCTTGTTATCGACAATGGGAGAGAATACCTCCGTAGCGGTATGGGCTGTCTTTCAGTGTATCAGTGCTCTTGGCATTGGCATTGTCATTGATACCCTTTTGCCTGCCTTTCAAGCACCCGTGGCCGAGGTATACCAAGCGGCTGCTACCGCTGCGTGGAGTTTTGTCCGCGCATTCGGAAGCATTTGGGGCGTTGCCATACCAGCCGCCATCTTCAACAACCGCATCGATGAGTTATTGAACATGGTATCTGATCCTGAGGCACGCCGGCTACTCTCCGGCGGTGGTGCGTATCAGCAAGCGGCGGCCAATTTTGTCACACGGTTTCCCCCATCTGTTCAAACGGAGATTCGTGCCGTGTATCGAGAAGGCTTGAAACGAGTGTTTCTGATCGGAGTAGCTTTTGCTGGCCTTGCAACGTTGCTAGTCTTATTAGAGCGAGAAGTACCCCTGAGAAAGGAGCTGGATACACAGTATGGACTCAAAGAAACTATGGGAAACCCCCCAAATGGCGATATAGAAGATATGAAGACCTTGGAAAGTAGTTCAGCAGAGAAAAGGGCTAGTACTGGAGGTTTCAGAGAAGTAGTCTAGCAGTTCGGATAGACCGTACCGCATTGTGACTAGTTAGTAGGAATCAAACTTGTTTTGATATTGTATTATAAATTTACCCTTTGTATATTATCCATACAATGTCGATTTCGGCTTCCATATTTTATTATTGCATCTACTGATATATTGTACCTAAGAGGTAATCTAGCTTTCAATAATAACAACTAAACTTTCTCCTGACACTGCACCTGACCTTAATAAATCTAGCCCATCTAGAATTCCTCTAAAGCTCCCTGGTAGTACTTGCATCGGATGTGCTCTCAACTTCCCTTCATCGAGAAGGCCTTGCAGCATGTTGGACCATTGTACCGCCTGATCACGAGTTTTCTTACTTGCTTGCCTTTCATACCCGTTAGACAAATGGATATCTTCTCCGAGAATTTCATACGCAATCGGAAATTCGGCTCGAACAGCTCTCCGAGTCTGTAGTTATGCTCCTGCCATATACCAGCACAGGAAAAGGCTCTTGGGCGTGGTTTTCGGGGTGCGGTTGGAGATGAAAGGCACTTCCCCAAAGTGCAATACAGCTGGTAACGAGCCCTAGTCCCATGGCCGCCGCCTGTTTGTCAGGGTATAAGTGGGTAGGGGTATCTACAGGGGTCCATCTACTATATAAGGGGCGCACAGCGCCCTCGAAAGAGGATAGAAGGCCAGGCGTTACTAGATCAATACAATATATTATTTGGTCTACCTACCCTAGACACTCACTCTGTGTATGACATCAATCAACGGGTATCTCTGACACTGTTCAACCTTCCAACCGGCTGGTATGCGAAGAGTTAGAGTGGGAGGTATGCGAACATATTGCGCAAAGGCACCATTTTCACAACCAGATGGATTAGATCCATACACCATACCACAAACCAGGTCCCCTACGCGGAGCTTTGTATCAGTTTCAGGTCCGATAGCGACCACTGTACAAGCAAATTTGTTCCCGATGATGGACCCCGGATAGGGAAAGTTGGTATACTTGCCATTGTTCACAATATGAAAGGTAATGATTTAAATTACGGAATATGTGTATTAAATAAGTTCCTGGCAGGTAAGTTTAACAATATCATAACTGTGAAGAAAAGCGCAGCTACCTACCTCCTAACCTAGGTAAGTTATATAATGTCGTGCCTATGAGTATTCGGACTTAAAATGGGTCGGATTCGGAGTAGATTTCGGGGTGGGGCGCTTATACGGACCGCTACGGTTAACTAGGTACTGTTGGAAGGTGCGACGTCTAAACGCATATATAAGATTTCCACCACTTAAAGTGGGGTATTATAATTCTTTTCTAATACAACATCCTTTTACTACATTATTCCACAGTACCTAACATACCTCATGTATAAGAGAGACTGTACCAAAACTTAAAAGGTACCTAGGTACCTAAGGTAGTGATGCAGAAAACAGATTTTTTCTGGGTCAACTGACAACCTCTAAGCTGGTTAACCTGTCAATAATCTAAGCTTTGGTGTTCTCGCAATCAGGAGATATCTGGTCTAGATGTCACGTATACGACGCTGTGAATCTACCGAAGAGTGCCTCCTCCACCTCCGCATCTCAATAGTATACGACATAGGAGCGCACTGGCTTTCAGACTATAAGGTGCATTATTATTAGGTATATTATATCATGTTGAAATGCCTCATATCCTTAGATCCCACTGGATTTTTTCGATCCTTGCTGTTCCAATGCTTAGGTACATATTTACTATTGGATGGAAACTGTTGTGATACCCCAGAGTAGGGGTCAAGGAGAATGTTTTGGCTTGCTGCCCTTAGACCTTTTGGGTCTCTAAGTTTCGGCGTCAATGCTTGTAGATTTGTGCCTGAGCGTCTTATTCTGGTGCATTACTCATAGGAGGCACGCACCTTAAAGCTCGTGTCTGTCTTCAGTTTGAATTTCTGAATCTAGTAACTTTATTACTGTCCTAATATATTCAATTCTATCGAATCCATCGTTGCCAAGTGTGTTCTTTGCAATATGGAGCATATTTCAAATGTGAACAGCAAGAAAAGCCAAAGACTCGAGTACATCGAACAAGTTACAGACGATGTTTCACTCGAAAGGCCCGAAGCGAAGACAGACGACCTTGGCCAAAATACCAATAGTGCTGCAGCGGAAAAGAGGCTGGTCAAGAAGTTAGACCTGTATATTCTTGTAAGATGGTGTTTCTACAGTCTCCTCAGTCGAGCTACTGATTGTTACTCTTGTGATAGCCTATTCCGTGGTTCATGTTCTTTATAAGCTGCCTAGATCGAAACGCGATAGTTAACGGCAAGCTCGACGGGTTGGACAAGCAGTTACACATGAAAGGATATCAGTATAACACTTGTGTAGCGATATTTTCCGTGGGTTATATAGTGGCACAGGTCCCGTGTAATATGATTATAAACCGGGTCCGTCCGTCATATTTCATGGCCGGTATGTCATACTATAAAGCATGCATGGCACGCACTAATGTGGCTTGTGTAGGGTTTATGACAGCATGGTCCATCACGACTCTATGTACGTTCTTAGTGCACGACTATACGACAATGTTAATCGCACGCTTAGTGCTTGGTTTCGTAGAGGCACCGGTAAGAATCCCTGACATTGTTGAGTTCTTGCTGACTTATTGGATATAAAGTTCTATCCCGGGATGCTATATATGCTAAGCATGTTCTACACGAGGAGAGAGATTGCCACACGGATATCGATCTTTCACACAGGTAGCACGGCAGCAAGTGCTTTTTCTGGGCTCATTGCTGCCCCTATCTTTACGAAATTAGGGGGCGTCTATGACCTTGCTGGATGGCAATGGTAAGAAGTTATAACCAGCCTATAAAACTTAATATAGGCTAACTTTTATAGGTTATACATCATTCAGGGGTCACTCTCGACAGTAGTTGCCATATTTGGGTTCTTTCTCTTGCCAGACAGTCCACTTAAGCATCGGTGGCTGACTCCGGAAGAGCGACAGTTAGCCCATGACCGTATTGTTAACGATACTACATGGAAGCGTGAAGGTACTATGAGCGTTATGAAGGGTTTCAAAGAAGCTGTTCTTGATTATAGAACCTGGTTGTTCTGTCTGGCGTTAAACCTTCATCTATCTAGTCATGGTTTTCGGAACTTTCTACCAACTGTCGTCAAAAACCTCGGCCTGGACACCACGACGGCCCTCGTTCTTACCTGCCCTCCATATATCCTCGGCTCTCTGGTATCAGTCGCCATTTCCTGGTCTAGCGGTCGCTTTGACGAGCGAACATGGCACATCACGCTCTCAAAAGCAGTCGGTATTATCGGATATGCCATTAGTATGGCGACACTTAATACCGCCGCTCGCTACGTGGGGATAAGTACGTAACATTAAAAACATCCCTTTTACTAATTCTTTGGTAAGACCAAGAAGAAGTTATGGCTAATTTATTCGGTTAAAGTGATCTTTGTGGGAGGTACCTATGGTGTAAATGATATCATATTGGGGTGGACAAGCTCGACCTTAAACCAGTCAGATGAGAAAAAAGCTGCTGCGATTGCTATGTGCAATATGTTTAGTAGTATTGCCACGGTTTACAGTCCTGTCAGTACTATACCCCCACCCCTTTTTGGCCCACCAAGAAGAGCATACCTTAGGGTAATTCTCTTGTGGCTTGGTTTAATGAACACTGTATCTGCAAATGCAATCCTGACTATTTTCATAGTACCTGTGGCCGGATTCAGATGCGCCGCAGTTTATCAAGGCTATGTCAGCAGCTATTGGTTTCTCAGTAGGAGTTGTTATCTGCACTTGGCTATTGCGAACTATGCTCGCGAGGACGAATAAGAGGGTAGGACAGGATGGCTCATCCGTTTCAAACTTCTATGTATATTGAGTAAAGCCTTTCGCTGGATCCCCTCTAGGGGCATTAGATATTTGTTCTATGATTTAGAGTCCTTGTTATTATTGCTACGCTACTGCCGCTGGCCTGGATGATTTCAAATTACATTCAATATCCACCGCCAAACGAAGTTGACATAGCTTAAGCCTTAATATTAACTGAAAACCAAAGGTCAGAAATAGCAAGAAAGGCCTCGTTTAACCCCTCCAAAGCTACTTTCTGTAGTCAAACCTTTTGCTACCGTTTTATTCTATTACCTGTAACTTATCTGTAACTAAACAGAAACATCTTGACTGGAATAGTTACCTCATTTTTTAATCAATTGAATATTCTTTGATATTTAGCTAGCTCTCACCCTTGTACCTATTATTTAAAGTTGTTTACTCCCCTTTTATACAACCGTAGGCTAAGGACACCAGCTCTGTTTATTTACCTAATATTTAATAATACCATCGAGACATTCATAATTGAGGTAACTAACAGTCGCATTGACATTATCCCTTACCACATAAATGCCTCTTTAACCGTTTCAGAAAATTTGTTCAGTACTTTAGGCTCGATTAGTGACCTACCCAAGTGGATTCTTCATAACTAGAGCTACGATCATCAATCAGGCCATATTATGACAAATTAGGGAATGGCTCTCATGTGAGCGAGTATTTTATTGGACAGTACCCCACAGGTACCCCAGGTTGCCCCTCCGAGGAGAACGTTGTTTATACCCCTCACCCGTTATATTAATAAAGGCTGCTAGCATGTCTTAACCCTATTTTTATAGTTAGAGCTTCGAAACGTACACGGAATTTCTCGAAGGTATAATGGGAAAAATAAACAAAATCGAGTATTTTCGGCTGCCGCCACGTTGGTTATTCGTCAAAATCGTGGATGACACAGGTTGTTATGGATGGGGTGAAGCTTCCTTAGAAGGACATACACAGGCCGTGGAAGGTTGTCTTGATGCCTGGGCGGAAAAGTATATAGGATACGAAGCCGAGTGAGTTATTAACACCATCCTTTGAGATTTTCAAATTATCGCGATTACTGACCAAACACTAAGTGATATCGAGCACATATGGCAGCTGTCATATCGTGGAGGTTTTTACCGAGGGGGGCCCGTTCTCATGAGTGCCTTGAGCGGGATAGATATTGCGCTATGGGACATGAAAGGTACGAAACACCCCGAGAGTATGTTGAAAATCTAGAGTGCTAAAAGATCTCCAGCTAGGAGACTAAACGTTCCAATCTATCAGCTGCTAGGTGGAAAAGTCCGAGATAAACTGCGCGTATACGCGTGGATAGGGGGTGATCGCCCAAGTGATGTGGAGACACAAGCGTAAGTATCATTCCACTCAAACTATACCTCGATTCTAAATTCAATCAGAAATGTCCGTAAAGCCCAAGGGTTTAATGCGGTCAAGATGAACGGTACCGAAGATCTCGGATGGCTAGACTCTCCTCGTAAGCTCGATGAATGTGTGGAACGTGTTAAAGTAGTGAAGGCGTTGGGTCTCGATGTCGGGGTAGATTTCCACGGACGAGTGCATAAGCCGATGGCAAAGCAACTAGTTGCCAAACTAGAGCCTTACGACCCTCTATTTATCGAGGAGCCCTTGCTAAGTGAGAATATTGGTGGTATCAAGGATATTGCAGCTCGTACGCATTGCCCAATCGCGCTTGGCGAACGTCTTCACAGCAGATGGGATGTGAGACCGTTCTTGGAATCTGGATGTGTTGATATATTGCAACCAGATATTTGCCACGTTGGAGGTATATCCGAAATGCGCAGAATTGCTTCTGCTTGTGAGACATACGACGTTGCGCTGGCGCCGCACTGCCCATTAGGGCCAATCGCGTTGGCGGCAAACGTCCAGGTTGACGCTACAACCTCGAACTTCGCGATACAGGAGATGAGTCTCGGTATACACTACAATGTTGGTGGGCAGGATCTGACAAGTTACACACTGAATCCTGAGGTTTGGAAGGTCACAAATGGGTATATTGACTTGATGAGCGGGCCAGGTCTTGGCATTGACATTGATGAGGTACAGGTACGGGCCTTATCAAAGGACTCCAAGGCATGGGTAAGTCCAGTATTCTCTGGTCCAGGGAATGAATTGAGGGAGTGGTAATAGAAAATGTACTATAAAGGAAGGTCGTTGATAAGTTAGACTTAGAACAACGCCGTATCCGTATAATAAACCACGTCCAACCACCAAAGAACCTACCCCCGTCTAAACGGACGTAGACTATCAGCTACCTACCTAGGCACCTACTTTTACGACATAATTATTGAACGTGTATGTGCCTACCTTATACTTATTAACTTATTGGCTCCTTGGACGGGATACAATTTTGTGTCGTCTTGCCCGTTCCTAAACATCTATTGCGGATCCATAACCCCCTATACATACCCAAATCACTCCCGGTCAAATATAACGCTAGTATGCTCTTTCTAGATTTAAAACACGAAGGGTGAATGAATCAAGTATTCCAATGGCTTCTCCGTGGGAAATGTCAGAACTATGAAGCAGAAGATCTTTGACACTGACCCGGAGGTATCTGCCGGCTTGTTCAAATATAACTCTTTTCAATTGCCAGCCGTAATTCGGCCGACAGCAGTCTTTACGACCCCTTACATGATATCATTCTCCCAAAGAGCCTCACATAATTCAACATGATCTAGAAATAAGGTTAATAATATAAACGGGTATTGCGACGATAATTTCTCAATTACCCAACACCACTAAGCACGTAGAGCAAGTTCCATATACATTAGGTTACTATTTAATATCTAGTCTACATCGGATTCAACAAGATATAACAAGTGTATAAATTCTATGCATCTAGGATGATAAAAATACAATATATTCTTCCTACATTTTCTCTAAGATATCAAAAACTTTTTCAAACAATCCCTAAACAATCGCCAACGTCTAAAACCTTAAGCGGCTTAGATTATTAGTAAAATAAAACTCATTAAGCAAATACGCTTAACGAAGAACCTAGAAAAGCGTTTAAATACGAACCATATAATAGGTACCTAACCTATACTTATCGACGATTTCATTATGGGTTCCAGGATCTATTACCGGGCCTGTAATTGCCAGTCCTATCTTCGTCGGGATCCGGGCCGTCGGGCCCATCATTGTCAGAATCGTTATCTGAATCAGGATCTGGAGTTGACTCTACGTCTGAGTCGCCACCAGGCGGCGGAGGTGGGAGCGGAGCGGCCGGCGGACTGGTAGGAAGGACCTCAAAAGCCGGGTTCCTATATTGAAAACTTGTATGATTAGGGGCTATATGGTTCCAGTTTGTGTATGCGCGTAAACCACCGTTGTGTGTATTGCCGGCGTCCTGTCCACTATTCAGATATTTTCTAGTCAGTGATTTCAAGCTTGAATAATTCGGGTAATGTATAATTTTAGAGCTTACTTACCCCGGTGGATGTGTATAACTGTCCAAAACATATTAGCGTTAGTTATATCCTCTTATAATAGGTACCTGAGTACTTAACCCAGGAAAATTACGAAAGTGAAAGACACTCTTATGGATCTTCTTAAGTGCATGTTAATCAACAAATAAATCTGGTTTAACTTACCTGAAAGGCATTATTCTCTCGGGCTTCGTCCACGATACGTCTAGGGCGTCGAAATATCCTACAGGCTTTCGGCCGATACCTCGATATCGCCTAACTTTTCTCCGAGCTAGCGGCAACATCGTGTCGACAATCCACTCAGCAGTAGGGAGGTAATCAGAAAGAGGTACGGTATTTCCGTCTTCGTCTTGTATTGTCTCTGATATGGGTACGAGGTCTTCAGAATTGGGAAATTCAAAGTGTTCGAGTAGTTCGATAAGTTCTTCCGAGTAAGGGGTGTCAGGAGGGGCGATGCGATTATTCACTGTATTTACGGGGATTTGATTCGGTCTGTCAATTTCATTCTCGTCCTCGGCCAGAGGTATATGTGCTTGAACCATTAATCGAAGGGTTTCTCCCATGAAGTATCTAATATGCCAGTCAGTTTTACTCCAACCTCTTGAGGCTATAGTTAATATTTCCTCAAATTAACATTAACAGGAGATTATAACCTACTACTATAAGTTAGCCACTGCAGATGAAGGAGTTTGAGGAATTCCTCGAGGAATACTCCTAAGAGGAGCATTTCTAGGGTACATACCATGTCATCCCATGGACGAACACCTATTTCCGCGATGATAGCATTTGATAATATACCTTCGGGATCGTTCTCCATATTTGCTTCGCCGAAATCACCTACAATGACTAAAATCATAAAAGTTAGTAACTTCATTCTAGAATAAATACTGCTCGAATTATTAGGAGTTCAGAGTATTATCTTAAAATAAATGTGAACACTTACCTTCGGGGAATGCGTTAGTTTCCAAACCAATATTTGGTCGCCGGCCTGGACGACGGGGATGATAGTGAATGAAAATGTTGTTCTGCACAAGGTCGCGGTGGGAGATATCTATTCATAGATGAATTAGTTTATAGAACCTTGAAGGATAGGAGATATTCACTTAAATACTTACATTCCCAGTCCTCTGGTTCGTCATGGCTACCTGGCGGCATACCAAACATTAAGAATCGGATGGCTGTGGCAAGTCTCTCAGCTACCAACTATAACATTGAAAGTTAGCGTTTTCTATTAGTATTCCTTTTTTAATGTGAATATAATTATTATTAAATGCTTCACGAGCTTTATAAAGAGGTACTTACCCAAACAAAATGCTCTGGTACTGGCCGGTTCCATTCAGTGTATTTTTCTATTAATTGCTGCAAAGTTCCGCCGTTGCAATATCTGTAGCGAATGGTTAAATTATGAAATCCAGAGGAAGGTTATTCCTAAGACTTACCTAAAGTACAGAGAATAAATTGCGTTCTCGCCGTCTCGTATCCGCTGCCAAGCGACCAGTTCGTTGAATAGTATTCTCTTGACTCCGTCAACCACGATAGGTCTCGGCAAACGGCGGTATCCTGAAATTGGTGCCGTGGAAACCCGAAGCTCTAAAGGTAGGTCTTCGTCGTCGGTCCCAGGCCATTCACCAACATTATAAACCTTGTTGATGAGGATTTCCCCTGTGCCCCTAGATTGAACACTGAATACTTTATTAAATTTGATGGAACCAATGAATACTACACCATCCCTAAGAATCAGAGGGTCTTCGGACCATTGGTCCTCTTCTGAAACATCCAGGGTTGGAATAAGCACCCCAGGGTGATAGTATTTAAAACTCGCCGGAGTCGACATGCTGAATAATATAATATTATTAGGTATATTCGAGAGAATACATGCCATATAATTAATATTTTTCTCTATGGCACCGAAGAGAAGTAGCTATATATATATTAATTCTCAAAGATTAATAATATAATGAGCCTCCCTGGAAAGAGTCATCTATTGTCACTCGCGCGTTACACACCTGAACGTGAAAGAATTCTTTATTTATCTAGACTATAGCTTTGTCTATAATAACTTAGTCTATTGTATCTCTTTATAAAACCGAGGCGGTATTAACTAAACAACGATTATGAATTTAACATTATAAAGGCATTCTATATATCGTTTCGAATCGTAATCTTGAGAATAATGACGAACCTATCGCTTGATAGCTTAGAGGCCTTAACCAATAAGCTCTCAGATCAAATCCAAGAATTGCGTACTGCTGACAACAATGATATTCTTATGAGACGAGAGGCGGCGGGAATCGCGAGAAGATTGATGGATGAACTAATAGGCCCTGAGTAGTTGGCTGCTGAACAGACCGTCACGGTATATATTTTCATGATAGTATTATAACAGGCACCCAATGTACCTAATGACGGCTTGAGTAGCTTGGTGACTGGGCTGCCATCCGTATGTTTATGAGGTGGAAACTTTTCAACAAGATTCCCTCCGAAGGTAGCATCTCGTATGGGGAGCTAGCAGACTCTATTAGAGCTCAAGAGGTTCTTGTTTGTACGTTGGCTCACAATAGCTATCTCGTATTTGTATCTCTGACTTCTCAGCCCAGATGGGTCAAATGCTTGTCTCGACTGGTAAGCTTGTGTCGCCGGCATTTAACCGCGTTACCCACTCATGTTTATCACATCCTATAAGAGCGGTGATCCTAGTGGTTGCTGGTTCGCCATGATTCATGATGACTACCAACCCATATTTTCAAAATTTCCAGCTTTCTTCGAAAAGTATGGTCCACGAGAACCCCTGAGTAACACTCAACCTATGAGCTTTGCACTCGGGGGTGATGCCCAATTATGCATGGCCATTAACGGACGCCTACAATTTTGAATGGGTTGCAGAGTATGCAGCCGTTAATTCAGAGAGACCTCTGATCATCGATGTTGGAGGTAGTTATGGATATGCATTATGTGCAAATCTGATCAAATTTCCTAGCATTCCACCAAACAGGTGCGCGGTTGAGGATCGTGTAGATATGATCCCCAATATACAAAAAGAACACGAAAATGGCCCAATCATGAGAGACGCCCAAAATATTGCAACAGATTTCCATAAAAAACAGCCAGTTCAGGGCAAGCAATACCCCTTAATATTCGCGGCTCACCTGCTGGCTGATTAATGACGCTGGATATAGGAGCTCTTATATATTTCATTCGGCGATGTATCCATGATTGCGGTGATGATGAATCTGTAAATATACGCAATATACTAGCTAACTCGCTTCCTGAAGAAGAACCACGAACGAGGGTCTTGATAAACGAGCAAATTATGACCGACCCCCTCATCGATTTGTCGTGAGCATGGACACGGTGATGCTGACTATAGCTTCGCTACAGTGATCCGAGCGGCAGTTCGAGATTATTGCAAACCGGACTGGTTTAACTATGGTAAAAGTACATAAAGCAGAAGGTGCTACAAGTAAGTACCTTAGGTATTTATTGAACATTTCATAGTGATCGTTCTCAGTGTTCGCATAATCTCATCCATATACCTATAGCTAATTATCTCTTTGGTGGGTATTGTGGAATGTAAGAAAGCCTCGTCGTCTCCATCCAAAGCCTTGGAATGAGTCGTGAGTTGTATTGTTGGGTGACCACTAAACGACATGTGAATTCCAATGATAAACTCATCGTACCATCAAATATTTTCGTCTTAGTTAGGTAAATTCGGGCGGAACAAAGGCTACATAGTTAGGTACCCAATCAAGAAAAGTGACCTCTTTTCGTATACTTTCCTGCCTTTTCTCATTAATTACTCTCATGTTCTGTTATCGTAGACTTGATAGAAACAGTTCCAAGTAGTTATATGATAATTAGTAGTTAGATATAACTAACTAGAGAAAGTGAACATATAACTACACTTCTTTTAAGACAAGAATGAAAATGAAGCCCTTTATTTGTTTTTGTTATATTATTATAGACTTATGGGGTAACTAACAAGCATTGTATATATAACTGTTCAACGTCATAGTTTACAGGCAACTAATAGTACCTAGGTACCTATACAACCTTAAAGATCTAGGTTAGGTACCTAGGTACCTAATACATACAAAGATTAGTAGGTGGGGGAAAGCACTGACCACGTTAGCTCCAATTACTCGCACAACTACCTACATAGTCGGGGCCTTTCGGGTCTAGTTAAAATAAGGCTCGTGCGTCTTTTTTCTCTGCCACTTCGTTTTCTAGCGCCTCACCCAGTTCTTGCACTCCCTCCGAAAAAGTCTCCATTTGCAAAACCTCAATATTAACACCCGTCCTCCTTAATCTCCTCTCCCTCTCAATTGCAATCTGATTGCAATTGGTTTTTCCTTTTATTGCGGAGGACTAGATATCCCTCTTTAATATGTTCCGTAACGCCCTCAGACAGTCCACACGCGCCGTGAGCGCAATCTCTGCCTCGGGTAGAGTCGTTGCGGTAGGTTTAAATCCCGGTCCTGTCGAGTCCCCATCCCAATTCCATCTGAAAGGATATGCGATCGATCCCAATGCATTCTCGGAGCATATATGAAGCTTTATAAGAGCTTTTTATGGTATTCATGAAGGATATTGGGGGGGTTATAGAGCTTGTAAAAGCTTCTCGTATATAACTGCGGCATACTCGCTCACGCACGTTGACATTTTCGGACTGTCGGCTAACTTTGACCGGGGCTTTTTTTTTGCAGACACGAAATGCCGCACCCGCCGCCTTCAACATTCAGGCCCGATCCTACGCCGATGCGAAAGCTTCCCCCACAGAGGTCTCTTCCATTCTTGAACAGAGAATTCGTGGTGTATCAGAGGAATCTAGCTTAGCAGAGACCGGTCGTGTCCTCTCCGTCGGGTACGTGTGGAGCCTTTGAAGCGAGATTTTTCAACCCGCCGCAAATCATTCCTACCCCATATCACCAAACTACGGCCCCGAGCGGTTCCTACCTTCTTGTCACCATTGCCGAATATTTCCATATATGCATTTGACCAATTGAATTATATTTACTAACTAAGGTTCGTGCAGTGATGGTATCGCGCGTGTGCACGGTATGGCCAACGTCCAGGCCGAAGAGCTCGTCGAGTAGGTTTCCCCACTACTTATAAGATGGGAGGCATACAATTGACCATCGAATAGGTTCGCTTCCGGTGTGAAGGGAATGTGCATGAACTTGGAGGCTGGACAAGTTGGTGTTGTGCTTTTCGGTTCCGATCGTCTCGTCAAGGAGGGAGAAACCGTTAAGCGTACCGGAGAAATTGTGAGTGTTTAATGATGCAAACCGATCGATCGAACAAGACGGTTTAACTATCCCTAGGTCGATGTCCCCGTCGGTCCGGAACTACTTGGACGTGTTGTCGACGCTCTGGGTAACCCTATCGATGGCAAGGGCCCCCTCAACACCAAGGAGAAGCGCCGTGCTCAGCTCAAGGCCCCTGGTATCTTACCCCGACAGTCCGTCAACCAGCCCGTCCAGACTGGCCTCAAGTCCGTCGATGCCATGGTGCCTATCGGCCGTGGTCAGCGTGAGTTGATCATTGGTGATCGTCAAACCGGAAAGACTGCTGTTGCTCTCGACGCTATGCTCAACCAGAAGCGATGGAACAACTCTAACGATGAGACCAAGAAGCTCTACTGTATCTACGTTGCCGTTGGTCAGAAGCGATCTACTGTTGCCCAGCTCGTCAAGACCCTCGAGGAGAACGACGCCATGAAATACTCTATCATCGTCGCTGCTACTGCTTCCGAGGCCGCTCCTCTACAGTACATTGCCCCTTTCACTGGTGCCTCGATCGGTGAGTGGTTCCGTGACAACGGCAAGCACTCTCTCGTTATCTACGACGATCTTTCCAAGCAGGCCGTCGCTTACCGTCAAATGTCTCTTCTCCTTCGTCGTCCCCCCGGACGTGAGGCTTACCCCGGTGACGTTTTCTACCTCCACTCCCGTCTGCTGGAGCGTGCTGCCAAGATGAACGACAAGCTCGGTGGTGGTTCCATGACTGCGCTGCCCATCATTGAGACCCAGGGTGGTGATGTCTCTGCCTACATTCCTACCAACGTCATTTCCATTACCGATGGCCAGATCTTCTTGGAGGCTGAACTTTTCTACAAGGGTATCCGACCTGCCATCAACGTCGGTCTGTCCGTGTCTCGTGTCGGTTCCGCTGCCCAGCTTAAGGCCATGAAGCAAGTCGCTGGTTCGCTCAAGCTTTTCTTGGCCCAGTACCGTGAAGTCGCTGCTTTCGCCCAGTTCGGTTCCGATCTGGATGCCGCTACCAAACAGACCCTCAACCGTGGTGAACGTGTAAGTACCTGGAACTTGTATTTACTATGGAATTTAACTAATGTATCTATGTGCAGTTGACGGAGCTTCTCAAGCAGAAGCAATACTCCCCTATGGCCGTCAACGAGATGGTTCCCCTTATCTACGCCGGTGTCAACGGTTACCTCGACCAAGTACCCGTAAACAAGGTTCTACAGTGGGAGGCCGATTTCTTGGCTCACCTGAAGACGAACGAGTCTGACCTGCTCGCTACTATCGACAAGGAGGGTGCGCTCAGCAAGGGCCTCGAGCAAAGATTAAAGGACGTCGTCTCCACCTTCACCAAGAGCTTTATCGCTTAAATGAATCATGATATCTCAAGCGGGAGGGGGACTATCTATACCTTAGGGGCCTTTGATGGCGGATCATGTTTCGTTTAGAGAGGTACATTATTCAAGGGTGCCGATTAGTGAGGATACGGGTTAGAGGTGGAATCACTCCAACTCCAAACCCTTGTAAATTAGAGACAAAAACTCAAGAGCACTCGATTCCTTTGTTCTGAAACTTGTCCTAAGCTGTCTTTCTCCCCTAAAAATATCGTAGAGGTAAAGAGTGCCTTAGGTACATAGAGATTCCAAGGTTACAATAAGCTAGATTCCCAGAGTGACCCTTGGTGACATCATAAGTTCCGTATCGAATGTCGTAGTTAGATTATAGCATATCGGACATGCGATAATTCTCCAACTACCGCTTGGATAAAGCTATAACATTCTCATGCAACCTTTTTTTTTCTCTTTACTTCATTCATTTTTAATACTTTGCATTGCTTCTTTAAGCAACCTGAACTTCAGCAGTAATTGCCCTTGTATCTAGTATTTTGCTTACCTATACTATTCTTATAACCCCGCGGCTTAATCGGAACGAACAGCGGCATCGTCAAACGTTCCCCCCCACCACAAAGAGGAAAGACATGAGCTCCGAGACCACCGAGAAGATGTCGGCGGCCACGCGCGAGGTATTAGGTAAGGTGCGCCAGCTGGTGCCGCCGATGCTGGAGAAGTTTCATAAAGGTATGTTTATTTATTTGTTTGCGAATAGGTTTCTATGGCGGAGCTGGAGAATCGGGATAGATGTGGATTTGTTTCTCGGTGCCAACTTAGATGCCCACCTAGCTACCACGAAGCTAAGATGAGCCGAGGAACTCAATGCTGATGGTTGGGATATCCTGCTCTAGGTCAATTGGGTCGCGTGGCTGTTATTGGCGGTAGTGAGGATTATACTGGCGCGCCGTATTTTTCAGCTATGGCGAGTGCTCGCTTGGGCTGCGATATGGTACGTAGCACGGGTTTCTTGGTATATAGCTTAAGAGTAAGAGATCACGACAAGCTAACTCGGGACTTGTTCTTCCCCAGTCCCACGTCATTTGCACACCCGGTGCCGCCGCCGTGATTAAGACGTATAGCCCGAACCTGATGGTGCACCCGCTCATGCGCCAATCTCCTCCCCCGGGCTCCGACTCAAGCTCCCCCGCCGACACGGACCCCGCGCAAGTCTCCAGCAAGATCATCGATATGCTGCCGCGGCTGCACGCGCTGGTCGTGGGTCCGGGGCTGGGGCGGGATCCGTTGATGCAGGAGACTTGTGCCAAAGTCCTCGCCGCAGCGCGCGAGCGCAAGATGCCCGTAGTACTAGACGCAGACGCACTGGCTATCGTGCTCAAGACTCCCGAGCTGGTAATAGGCTGGCGGGAGGTCGTGCTTACGCCGAACGTAGTCGAATTCGGGCGGCTGTGGAAGGGCATCAAGATGGGCTCGTCGGCTCAGAGCGAAGAGGCGGGCAGCGGGGCAGATTCGCCCAAACAAGTCGAGGCGCTATCGCGCGCGCTCGGCGGCGTGACGATCGTGCAGAAGGGCGGCAAGGATTTCATTAGCAACGGCGAGACGACACTAACAGTCGATGTGCAAGGCGGGTATAAGAGAAGCGGCGGCCAGGGAGACACGCTTACGGGAAGTATTGCGACGTTCTTGGCCTGGCGAAATGCGTACCTAGAAAAGATCTGGGACCACGGCGGCAACCTTAGCGAGGCAGAGACACTCGGATTAGCTGTCTTCGGAGGCGCGGCTATCACAAGGGTAAGTTGCCTTGAGAAGCCAAGGAAGCCGTGCTCTCCTTGCTAACTTGTGCCTATAGGAATGTTCCCGCCTTGCCTTTGGGAAGAAGGGTAGGAGTTTACAGGCTAGTGATCTGACGGACGAGGTCCACACAGCATTCTTGAACGTGATCGGGGAACCGACTGAGAAGCAAAGGTATATATCTATATCATAGACTACCCTGTTCTATCTCATTCCCTCTCGATGCTAATTAGTTGCAGTTAGAACCAGCCATGGTCTACGAACAACAGCACAGCCACGACTATGAGCCAAAAAGATTTTCTCACATGAAGATAACATGCAATTAGCATCACTGTTGTATTAAGACGGCTCATCCAAATCTGTCAAGCTTGCATGGCCTGGAATCTAGCCCGATATATATCGTATAAGGTCATCTCACATAGTTCGACCAAATGTTTACTTGTACATAGGCTAATTTCAGTAGAGAACCGACGGTATATGTGACCATGATATACAGATTCTTGTCATATGCAAGCTAGCAGTTAGTTCTATGTCAGATAGGCATCAAAATGCAGTGTGATCACGCCTTGTAACTCTGACAAATGTCAGACCCCCGTGCTACAATATTGCGATACTCATTCGTGCGAGAACATGATAATATCCAGAAACTTAACGCAACTTAGAGGCAATGTCATAATGCCGCCACCACATATCTGATTAGAAACATCCCGGCGAGAGAGTCTGCCTTTCTGCTTAAGCTCCCGCGAAATACACATTGAATTGCAGTGAGACTAGTCCTCGATATTTGTGGCACTCAATTTCAAAATTTGGAGTCTAGACGAGTTCTACAATCTGTCGTGTTTGTGTACTCCGTGACGGCTTCAAATTTCGGAGATTCGTTAACATCCACATGCTTCTGCTGTGGATTGCGAAAGCATGCTATTCGGAAGAATGTTTAGTGCACGCACAGACTCAGCTCTGATTAAGACGAAGTGATTGAGAGGGGATACAGAGTTGATGATGCGAGAAGGCTTAGAAGATATGGAAGGACAGAAAAATATGGGATACTAGTCGGATCTTAGAATGTATAGGTATGTATCTGACCGCCAAAGAAGCTTTTCGTCATAACAGTCAATCTTGAACCCGAAAATTGAACGCCTAAGATCAAAATTGATGTGATACCTCTAATTGACTTTAAGACCGTAGTACTTCAGCACAACTGTCACAGGATGATGCATCTGTGTAGATTTGGAGACAAACCTGACATGGGGGTAATAAGGGTTATATGGAGCTTGGGCTCTTCGTCCACTAAATTAATAAGTCAACCGATCGGGCCTTTCGCTTCCATTCGAGGCTCATTGGTTCGTGAACGCAGGTTACCGTGCACCGAGACATAAAACCCGGAGACGTACGACGTGTGAGAACCGCGAGAGCTCCTTGTCCTTCATCCATGAGCTAGCCAATCTTAGCGTCTTGCCAGAACAAGTAGTTCTAGAGAGGCTATGTAGTTTACGGCGAAGCCTCCGCCTCTATTGATAATATAGAGTCATACTCGGATGAGGCGTTCAGCAAGGCTGCTGCTGACAGAAGTATGGTCTTCCAATGGAACCTTCTGAATAGAAGTACCCCAGATTCTTAGTTTGGTCGGGTAGATTGAGAATCTAGGGTTCCTTTGGCTAATGAACCATATGCCCCTGAAAGCTGGTAGATTGCGTCTGGTATGACATGTCGACTCTGGCTAACAAGACAGCCTATCTAAATAAGCAATGCCAGGCTTAATGCAGCATGCAAATCGCCCGGATCTGACTCCACGGACCGGATACCGGCTATAGTAATGATGGTTCCTGATGATGTAGTAGACCATGAGCTATTGTGAGTCAACCCCGACTTGCATATGCAAAGACTTTGTTGCAATCTGAATTTTGACAGGAACTGGGAGTGATTGGCTAACGTTAAGCCATTTTTATGTGACAAAGTAGACGATAGTTCACGCATGTCGGCTGACCTTGATGTGACCCGATCGGTTGGGACACTCTCCAAGCATTATCAGATCTTAGTCTTCGAAGCATGGCGTCCTGCCAAGGATTACCTCGCCGGCCGCATTCGGTCTTCCAATAAGATGGGACGAGAAGAAGAAAAAGGTCCAGGGGCATCTGTTAGTTCCCGATGCAGGGCTCGGAGCTTAAATGATCTCCTTGTAGTTTGCGTATCTTGCGTAGTCCAGGCGGAAGCTTGCGATGTTATGAGGTACAGCCTATCCGCCTACGTACGCGCGGGATCCGACATAATAAAGTTCCTCAAGTCCCTGGTTTCTCAGTGTATATGCCTAGAAGCATTAGAAATCTTATCTGGGCTAAGTGAGCCAGAGCTTTCGACGCCCGCAGAGAAGCTGAAAAGAAAAAGAAAAGAAAACATTCGATATTCGAACGTTGTGACTGAGAATGAGACGAGATCATCGTAGGTAGGGTACTTTTTTATTTTATTTTATTTTTTTAGGCGGCTGATCTTGACTGAGACAACAACGGACGTTTGGGTCCGAGAGGCAGCCAATGGACTCTTCAATAAAGTGTTTTCATTAAACTAGAATTCATCTATAACTTCCACGAATGTTCGAATGCGTTCGATATTCTAAGACAAGAAGAATGATGAAGATGTATGTAATTACGAGAGCAGTTAGGTAAGGCTTGCAGTGGTGCTATTACTGCCGCAGTTACGCTAATCTATCCAATTAAGTTTAGCGTGTTTCATTGCCAAGATTGACTTTCCGCTAGACCCAAATAGGTACAGGTAAATTCGTATTACGTATGTATCTGTCCTGTCTCTCCAGCTTCAACTTCAAATCTTATTAGGATTAGGCACATCGAACTATGTTTTTATTGAGTGCATAACTACAAGTACCTACATAATCACCGGACCTCTTGCTTTTATACCGCTAATAGCACCTGCGTATTCTATAAACTCCCTTACACTAGGAGTTAGGAAGTCACTAGGTACCAACCTTTCCCTTTGGCACTTCTAAGTCCTTCAAAGGAAAGGGATTCTACTTCTATTGTGGAACCATGGGAGCACCCCTAGCTCTTCCTGCCGCTCATTACATAGTACACTAGGCTTGTCGACTTCGATGCAACTCTCTCGGTAGTGGTCCGAATTTCATGACCAGAATTTGTCTTTCTTTTTAAGAAGGGATAAGGGGGGCTGGCTTATCCCCGGCTCGAGTGGCTTGAGTTGTCTTACGCAACCCACCATTGCTGGCTAATAGCTCCATCAAAACCGTTGCGAGAGATCCAGGTTCCAGACTACATACAACCAGACCTGAAGTGCTGTGTATCCAATAACCTGTCCATCCGTCCAATTCTCAAGGTACTATGTAAGTGATGGTAATCATTACTAATAGCTAAGTACCTACCATTGAATTGAGTGAAACCGGTAAACCCGTGTACAAGGCTGTTGTACTCGGAAGACTCGAGATGGCTCGGGCCCTCCCTCGGTATTCATGTATTCGTGTACCCCACGACTTCCTAGATTCTTTGGGAAAGGGGGACAAGTCTCACATACTACGTAGTATACGACTATCAGACTTGGTCGTAACTGCCTTCTCCGAGAATGAACTTCAGAGGAACTTATTCTTATTAGGTATTTTAGTTTTGTTTCATGCTTTGTTTAGAACAGGTGAGAATCCCTGACCCCCAGCCAACTAGTCTACATTCCCAAACCGGTCATCTACCAGCCATCACAGCCAATGGCGTCGTGGCTACCTTGTATCAATCGAACGACTGGTTGGTTTCTTCCACATCGCAGCCCCCATCACTGCGCGAAACTTCAGATGAAATGAGATTCTAAAGTTCATACCTATCTGTATCCTGCATCGTCCGCCACCACAAAATCAATTGCATGGCCCAGCTACCCGCCAAGCTGAAGACCATACACGCGTACGCGATCTATCCACAGCTACGACTACAACTACAACTACGACTACAACCACAACCTTGGAACTACTCCATCAAATTTATTCATCTCGATCCCGGTCAATTCGCATACTCAGCCAGGTAGTCTAGTGGTCAGATATTCTCATGTCCAACCACAGATACACCTCCTAGCATTTAATAACCATCAGTTAGGTCATTCCTTTTCATCGTACCACTTCATTTGTATTATGCCGTCACTATTTGAGCTCACCTCGTCAAGAACTATGTCTGCACATATGCCGAAATTGAACTTTACCAGCCTTGAACCGCCCCAGACACCACTATGATCTAGGCCCGTTTTCCATTATTATCCCTTGTACTCATTACCCCAGCCGTGGTTAAGGCATGTCAGTTTGCCAAGTTATCTCATGGGTAGATTTTTGTTTCAAAAAGAAGCCCTCAACACTACTATGTATAAACACCTTGGCAACACAACATCTGCTTATCCCATCTTGTTTTCTATACTTCAACCCTCAAATTTATTCGGTATTCCTTGAGCCAACCTGTTGTACCATCTAACACTAGCCCTCGGCTCATCTGTCGTGTAATGCCGGTGCGGCGGACCTCGAGATGAGATGTACTCTATTATCTCCTACTCGTGACACCATCAAGGCCACCTGGTCTACGCCCCAATTCGTCACGAATTGCCCTCTTACATTATTCACTTGCTAGACACCTCTAATTGTGTTCTTCGGGACTAGACACATCTACGTACCCATACAGTCAGGTTCGTCAACCACACACTGACTCACGGCTTTTCATCGTCCTCGTCCGAATAAGGTCACACTTGTGAATAAGTAACCATTTTATTCTACTGTGTATTCCTTCGCCTGGAATATCAAGCATTAGGTACAATTAATTTCTAATCCTACATCTTTATGATGCTATATGCGATTTTTTATACCAAATATTTACCGTACACAAACTAACATGATGGCAAAACCAGAACCACTAACAGCTTCCAAAGTGGTGGACAGGATGGTCAACGGGCTAGAGAAGCTAGAGAGGCTTTTTAGTACTTCAAGGAAGAGGGATAAGGAGAGGGAAACAAGAACTAAAGATCCCTCAATTGTCTCAACTCCAACGCAATCGCTCAGTGGTCCTCATTTTCCATCACCATCTTTCATGCACCCAACATCAATACATATGAAACCTCGGGAAGAACCAAATCCATGGTGTAAAGTAGTTAAAGAGCGCTCTCAAAGTTTGCCCGATCCGCATGGTGGTTTAAAAGGACGATCTTCGATCAGCATCGTTCCTAATCACCGGCATCATCCTAGCGACCCAATTCGATTAATCTCACTGCTGGTCGAAGATGAGGGCCCAGACGGTATGGGGATGTTTTCCCGTTTCAGATTTCCGGATAACACTATCAAGAACGAAAATGCGGAGACCTTTGCTATAGACGGCACTGTCGAAGGACCGACACGAGAGCATACTATCCAAGAGTTCCAAGCGGAGAACATACTAGATTGGTGTCCCCGGCGTTTATCTTCGCTATTCAATAATCTCGGTTTAGATACTTCCATTGACTCTATTGACAATCGCCTAGCTAGAGTCTCCAACCATGACATAGAATCATTAGCCTCGAGACTATCTCCCACATCATCATCTCCTCCTTCTCCTAGGACGAAGAGAGACTTGATTAATCTACCGCCCAGAAAGTCATCCCGAAGACTAAACGAAGCTTTAGCCCAAGATTTAACGATTCCGACAAGAGATCATGTGCTGTATCCGATTTCCGCACATCCTCCCGATTCTCCACCCGCATCAGATGTGGAGGAAGAGTATGAGCAAACTACGATCCATGGATCAACGTCGATTAATGGCTTATCTTCACCCATTGAGTTTGCGCCGCGACCATCATCCGACTCTAACACTCGGCGCAGTACGGAAATTTCAACTCGTTTACGGGCCGTTCGAGAATCATGGGGAGCCAAGATCCAGGATCCACCGCTGATCTACAATGCCCAGAGTGAAATAACATTTATTTCCCAACCGCAACTGGTGCGAAAATCCACAAGTTTAGCTTCATTATCAACTATTACTAGATATTTAACGAAGAGTTGCGATATCAGAGAGCCGTCACTTGATGACTTCTATGCTCTCGATGACGAAGACGTTGCAGAGAGTCTGCCCGCTATTCCCATGCCAGAAGCCGATATACCGCCAACACCACCTCCGAAGTTCTCACTAAAGACTCCTGTCGGCAGAAGCCGTTCTACTCAACACGTGCCGATCGCGCCTACTGCCGCCATCAATCTTGTACCTGGAGAACTCACCCCGCCCTGTACACCTACTGACTCTCAATTTCTCTCATTGACTTATTCACCTACTACTTCATCGGGGACTTCAGGGGCAATGTGGGCTGCTAAAATCGCAAAAACATACAAGTTTGACTTGGTATACGTCGTCAATCTCTGGCCGAAAGACAAAGATGACGGCTCGAATCCTCATCAATCTATCCTTTCCCATGGTCAACATAACGCACAGGACGTAGATGATGCTACCACTCAGTGTTCTGTCATTGCACATCCAAAGTTGGAAATGACTGGCCAGATACTTGCTGCTTATGGCCTAAGTGAATTTGGGTCACCTTTTCGAATTCACGGTGAGTTTCATAGGAAAATGCTTGGGTGCAGGGGCTGGAATGAGTACCGTGATGAGCTCGCATCCCCTGAGATGATATCTCGTGGGTGGGCATGCTCTTTCTATACCAATTGTTCCTCGACGGCCCGGGATGCTATTGGTGAGAAGCATTTAGCACGAGGTGGGACAGCAAATCGCGGTATAATCTTCGCAGCGTACACAAGAAAGACGACTAAGTCGGTGATACCTGTTAAGCCATCGCCAAGGCAAACCGCAGTACTCGGCAAGCTACTCTACGATTCGCAGAAACTTGTTGACGTGTTAGTCCACGGCGAGTGACTTCGACATGCATAATGCATAACTACCTAATCCATGTTATATATTAACGAAGATGGCATCAGCGAAGCGGCGCAGTTAACTCTAGGAGAACCATAATGTCGAATGCATGCTATGAGGTATTAACGATCATAGCTGTCCGAGGGTGTGGGCAAATATTCTACACCATTACAGAGCATTTTGTTAGGCTATGTGCTAGGGGTGGAAAGAACATAATGTCGCATGATCTATGTACATGCATCGTAACATATGCAAAATGGCCAGCCAACACGGCGCGGCAAAGAGGTGTCAAAATAAATGCCTGACAAAGGTATTCACTCTATAAAAGATGCCCTCGAGATACATTAAACGGAAAAAATACCAACAGTCATATTAATATGGAATAGACTCTAAACTTCATTCTAGTAGTTATAAGTTGTAAAGACATGATCGAATATTTCGCCAAGTTATGTACCTAGGTACCTAGGTAAGACAAGAAAGTGAGATTTGGTATGTTGGTACTTACAAATATATATGGCCGGCTGAATTTCGGCTAATCTTTGCGCCTGGTTCGAATCCTCCAATCCTCCACTTTACAGCTTTTTGCCGGGATGTAAGGCCTGCGAAACTAACACGAAACCGGGGGAAATACCGACGCATGATACGAAACAGCGCTTGAATAGCTTCATTTCGCGATCTCGATGTAGTTATAGACACTACGGCTATGAGGTTTTCATTCCTACCGACATCGCGAAGATCTCGTCACTGATCAAATGCGTCTGCGCTGTTGAGAAAGCGAGGCTTAGCTGCCAAAGCGGAAAACAACCTAGTTTCTACACCGGCGAGAGCCAGAGGGGTCGGCTGCAAGATATGGCTCCAACCAAATTTTTGTTAATTATTTGAGATAGCTAACACACAATTTCCTGTAGGATCAGTTCCTTTGTTGGCACTCCTACCTTCGATGTACTTCATGTCCATGGACCTACTTTCGTGCCCAATGTAGTGAGGTAGTGATACTTCGGCTTTGCAGCCTTGTATTCGGTCAAGGGTTTCCTGACAGCAACAACTGCTGTGCTACCAACAATGGTGGGAGATCGCTCCCTTACCTTCAAGTTCGAAAGTAATATTAAGAATAAAGGCGAATCTCGATGACTCGTCTTAACATCGCCTCAGCCTAAGACTGGTCATCACAAGTCCCCCTTTTGAGCTCTATCTTTATACTAATAAACCATCTCCCCTATCGTAACTACGCTTTACGTCTCGTCAACCCTCGCGCTTCTCCTGCTTCTCAATCCTATTTCTCAGCAACAATGGCATCACCTAACACCACTCCCAGAATCGTCGAGTTAGCTGCTCAGATAAGCACTTCCGTCGCCGAATTGCAAGAGCGTTTATCAGCCCAGGGGGTGCCATCCCCATCCTTTGCCGAGGACAATCCCGAATTCCTCCCCGCTAATGTGGCCCATCTTCAGGATGCTGTTCTTGACGCAACTGCTGAACTCAATGAATTGCTCATGGATCCTCTGACGCTGATCTTCAAATTTGGTGCTGTAAGACCTCCTCAAATTTAGCCAGGCTTTTTCATGAATTAATGCTTCCAGATCTCCAACCTGGTCAGCATTGACACAATCTGCCGATTCCATATTGCGGATATGATACCTGCTGGTGGCCAGGTCTCCTTTGGAGAAATTGCTGAAAAAACAGGTCTGGATAAACTGCTTGTTAGACGCCTACTTAGGCATGCGATGGCTATGCGCATCCTGAGAGAACCAGAGCCTGGCATGGTGGCACATACGAAGGTCTCCCAATTCTTGACCATTCCGTATATCAATGCCTGGGTTAACTTTGAAAACAAGGATACTTGGCCAGCCTGTACTAGGGTAAGCATGCAAGATTCCTTTGGATCGGAAAACCGCATAGGAATGAGCTAAAATAGATGCTTTGCTGTAGATTGTAGACGCGATACAGAAATGGCCATCGTCCGAAGAACCCAACCAGACGGTGAGTGTGTCCCATGTCCTATGTCCTAGAGCTGATTATATTTCTTGTCTGCTCGGGCGTTTCGAAACTTGATGATTAAACTACAGCCCGTGCTAATATTCACAGGGCTTCTGTCTTGCCAACAACACCGACAAGTCGGTCTACGAGGTCCTCGGCACGGACCCTACGCGGGCGATGCGCTTTGCATCTTTGATGTAAGCCATAGACCGTGTCCCGGGTTACGCCATCGAAGCCGTTTCCAACGTCTACGATTGGGCTTCCCTAGGAAACGCGTTCATCGTCAATGTTGGTGGATCAAGAGGTCAAGCGGCCATAGAGCTGGCGAATCACTTTGGGAATGTTAAGCTACTTGTCCAAGACGCGGCGATGATGATCGCAGGCGCAGAAACAGATGTTCCCGAACAGCTGAAAGGACACGTCGAGTTTATGAAACATGAGCTTTTCGATCCGCAGACGGTACAGGCAGATATCTATTTCTTCCGCATGGTCTTCCGCAACTGGGGCGACAAATACGCTCTCCAAATCTTGAAAGCACAGATTCCGGCCCTCCGACCCGGGGCAAAGATCCTCATTCAGGATGTATGCATGCCAGAGCCAGACACTATTCCATTGTGGAGAGAGCGAATTCAAAGGTATGCCGCTAGGTGTCGATGTGAGGTTACGATGAAAAAAAACATGCCTGCTAACAGAAATTCAATAGGTCGGTGGATTTGAGTCTGAAATGCTACTTCAATGGTCGCGAAAGATATCTGGACGAATGGAAAGCTCTACTCGCAGCGGCAGATAAACGATTCGTCCTTCACCGGGTGTTTGAGCCCAAGGGATCTTTGTTGGGGATCTTGGAGATTCGCTGGGACGTTTCTGGTACTGCAGAGGCCTGAAGGAGAATATACCGGTGCTATCCAAGCCGCGGGATGTATTTAGTCGTCAGCACTACGAAGTATGAGGGCCCCCTTATTATCACAGCAACGAATGAAAGCAATTTATCGAGCTTTCAAGCTTCAAGTTTTAGCTATATATCTCTTTAACTGTATGAAACGTTTCTTGTAGGTCCCGTATGGCTAAAGGAGACCTAGCTACCTACCTTATGCAGATACGCATTCCTCGATGACTTGCATTACCAACAGTCGCTAATTCACTCACTCGGGATAGCATGATGTGATCTATATTTACTCGCGCCGAACAGCATAGATGATCTCCGCAGCTTGCTCTGCCAAAGCGGATGTTGCTTCTTTGGTTCCCGATATATCTATGATTATACTCAGGGGTCTATAGTAGGTATGAAGTAAGTCGTAACGAGGGCCAGAAGTAATACGCGGCAAAAGAGCTACGCACCTCTAGTATCCTATTCCCTTTATCTAACTCACATATTTCTGGAAAATGCTCCCCGTATTTACGAAGCAAGGGATGCATGACATCTCCACCAGTCGCCACATACCACCATATGTTGGTATTATACAAGAAGGCTGTATACCAACACCTAACAAGATCCTCGCATTTTATTTCCAGTCATATTCTATTTTAGGACGACCTTAAAGGTTGCTTTCGTTAGGGCTTGTATATTGGACGAGGGGATATTCTGGTGCTCACCACAGAGGGTATGGCTATCACCCTTGTACCAACTGTCACCGTAACTCTTACACATCACTCTATCTATGTAGCAACAGGAACCAATTATTAAGCTTGTACTTCTGATTTAACGTCGTGAGCTACCATGCCACATCCAGTATTATTTTACGAAACCATTATCACGAGCCAAGTTCAGTGTGGAATAATATGAGGACTTGATAAGCACTAAGAGTAGGTAGTTCATAGAATGCTTAATTATTAAAATTAAGAGTCCTTAGTATATTAACTTAGATCAGTAATGCTATAAGCTCTATGATCATTTTATAACCGAACCAATGTCGACTTTTGTTCAAGTCTAATGCTCAACACTTCCGTCTATTAACAACCCGATTGATGATGCTTCTGCCATTTTGCCAAATATCTTCTTCGGCAGCGAGGTTTTACAGATACAAATTTTCTATATTAAAGCCATCATATTTCCTGTATATCTCATGGGATGTTTCGGCAGCGCTTGTTCTTCTCTTGCTCCTTTCTCAACTTCCTCTTGCGATACCAAAGCTCGAGCTCCTCGGCCCTGGCAAGCTGTCGGAAATAAGAGAGAAGGGGATGCTGGGTCTGATCCAGACGCGTATATTTGGCGTGTACGAGTTTCTTGACGAGCATTTCTTGCCAGTGATAACGATCTCTTTCGCGTCCCCAGTACGGATAATGACCGCTGTTTGAGCTGTGTGAACCGAATGATTTGATACAGCCAAATTGCCCAAGCTCAGCTTGGTCGGGGGATTCGCTATTAGAAAATGGTTGCGATATAGACTGAGAGTATTCTGTATAATATTGAGTGCGAGTTGATGATTCTCCGGTCATTTTTAGAGTTATAGAATTCATAGATGTGCTTGAACTGGCTTTAGTTGTACCAATGATGTGTCGAAATTATGGTGAAGTGAAGGTGATTCGTGGTATAATAGCGATTATATATTAATGCACTATACTAGATATTAAGCACGAGCTTGGAAAATATTTCGTCCCTGTGCCTCTACTATATATCTGCAGGACCGGTACGCACGTATTGCATTTTTTTGTGTTGATGACCTTCTTCATCGCTTGGGCCTCGTGCTATTCGAGGCTTTCCCGATGATACATACTTCCACTAATTGTAGTTTATAGGGTAGAGTTTAAATTGGCGGCGATAAGGTTCAATAATATAGCAGTGACTATTTAAACTATAGAATTTATAGCCTGTAACTTATATAGAATGACTATTTGCTTAGGCATAAAGTGGGATACGATGTTTTATTCTCTAGGTTCGGCGCTCCTTTAAACTCGATGCATCTAAAATTATAGTTCTTAATATTGAATAATTGGATTAGCTCGGAGTATTGCATTTTAAAAGAAAAAGAAAATAAAACTGTCATAGCTGGGTTTGCTGTGCCGTTACAAATAGGAAGATGTGCGTCTAGTTATAAGGAAATCTTTTTATTAATATGTGTACTGTAGATCAGACTTTTACAACCTTGATTAACTGTCAGATTAGTCAGCCATGTCAGGTGACCTGAAAATCCCTAGTCTCATGTAAAATAGCGGTGTAACACGCGTTCCCACGATTTTACCTCAATCAATCAGATCATCATGAATATCATCAATTAGACCTCATATATGGCCTATTCAGTACGTATTAGTTGTGTGACATTAACATACTTACCTAAGTAGTGTTATTTGCACATAAGTATACGGCAGAATTACACAGTAGATCGTACCGTTTAGTACGTGATAACTTGTGATTTAATTATGCAATCTAAATGGGCTATTTCAACATTTAGGTCTTATTCAGGCGTGTAATGATACGCTAATCGGCAGAATAGCGTTAAAAAAGTTGGCGCACCCCTACCAACATATACCTATATTTTGAAAATGGTATCAAATAAAAGTAAACTTTTGAACAAGAATTATATCATTTTTACTATTTACTTGGACTCGGTTGGTTGCATACCTAGGTAGGTATAAGGAATAATATTAATATAAAGTACTAAATGTTAAAGAAAAGCCACCGTCACCTGCAAACCCGTGAACGGGCCTTTATTTCAAGTAAAATATATTTCTAAATAAGGCATAAACTAGGCTTTGGAACCGTACACTTCATTATTTATTCAATGCTGGGCCTATCAAAATGTCGCTGTTAGAAGTTTGTGTGTTGTCAGTATGTTTGGCAGGATGCGCCCCCCTTTTTTTTGATGCTATTCCGGTCGGCTACCAGTATTATGCCGCCCTAGGCGCTCCAGTGCGGCTGAAATATTGATAATATTGCCTGCATCTTTCCAATTGTGGGATCTTCGCAGCGGCTGAGAGCATCCTTGTAGGATAATGATCAGCGAAATCTTTAATCCTTAGCAAACCAAATAACTACTATATAAATCAGAGGAATCTTCGAGGTTATCAAGCCTGTAGCTGATACAATTTTCTAGCAATACCGCCATTACACGCCTTGTAACCTCATTACATCTACCACGTCTGCTCAAGATGCAGAGGTTGGATTTTGAAGGTACTTTCAATTTTATAGAGATACATGAACTTAGCTAACCTACTAATAGACCATGACACTTACTGGGAAAATGACCCAGTCATGCGAGAGAAGACCAAAGCCTACAAGGAATGGGCTCTGGCTGTTGTCAATAACACCCAAAACCCGCTTTTCAGAGAGCACATCAGACATCCTTGGCAAGAGTTTGGCTTTGACATTGATTCCAGGGTCTGCATCTTCGAATTTGAGGGGGATCATCGTGGCAAAGACAATCCTCAATTTGACGATGCAAGGGACATGCTCATGCACTGGGAGAATACACCAAAGGACGGTACATCTGAAACCAAGAATCGGCGGATAATTCTCGTCCAGGATATGCATCCTCGGATAATCGAGCTCTTGGGCGTTAAATTAGACATTCCACCTCACTTTTTTCTGGCTCATTGTGATGGATTCGTGGATCTTAGTGTTATCGACGACGCGTATGCCAAGCAGAACAGTTCAACCTACTGGAAGGTCACGGTGCCACGATGGCGTAGTATACCTGAAAACGTACCTAATGGGGACTATTACGTCGAGGCTGGAAATTTCTCCCGTCTAGAACTTCAAAAGAACACGAGATTAACGTATGCTAGTCTCGAAAGTCTTGTATCATACTGGGGAAAGAGCTACGAGCCTGATTCGTGGACTGGTATGTGAAGAGCTTCTTTATCTTTACCCTATACTATGTCGTGTGCTAATCATCGAGACCCGTAGCCGTCGTATTGATCGATCCATATAAGACTTACCTTCGTCCAAAATCGACTGACTCTTCGAACACACCTGCCCGCTACGAGTTGACTGATATATCTTTCAATAGAGATTTCTTGTATGAAGTAATGAACACGGGCATTAGATCAGATACTCGTCAGTCGTCCCAGCGATCCACCTTCGACGCCGCAGTTGCGGCTTATGGCTCAGACCAGTTAGACAAGCTACCACATACGAAGGATCCCTTTACAGGTACGATGTTCGTCCGGAATATCATCCGTTCTGCCTGGGAAGACTTCGTTATTCGTCGCGCGAGGGAAGTGCACGATCTAATTATAGAAGACCAAATGGAACACGACACATCCAACAGTGGCAAATATCAGGCGAGGATATCGTCTTGGGATACCAGTACAATTGACTCATATCAAGCTCTCATGATAATCCGACAAGTTATCCACGACGAAAAGAATGCCGTTAATTCTATCATGTGGAAATTCCGGTGCAGAGATACCCTTTCTCCGCCACCGCAACGCAATCTATCACAGGATGGCAATGTGCAGCAGGAACGCGTACAAGACAGCTCGGAGGAAGAAGGGAAATCATGGACGATGATTTACGAGGAATTAGCGAGGGTAGAGTCGACTATAGCCGACCACATGGAAATGTGGTCGCAGCGTGCAACGTTGGTACAGACAGCGGCAGCTAACAGACTAGCCCGGACTTCAGGACAGTTGACCAAGATTGTGACAATCATCGTCCCGTGCTCCTTCGTCGCATCTATCTTCTCCATGGGCGGGCGGTTTGCAGCGGGTGAGGATTATTTCTTTGTTTATTGGGCCATCTCCCTACCCGTGACCTGCGCGCTCCTTTCCTGGGTGCTTTACGGGGATATTCAGGACGTATACCAGAAGGCCAGGGCAACGGATCAAGTTCATCGCATAGAACAGGTTTGGCTTAGACGTAGTAAGGTCAAAGATGTCGAACAGAAAGTGTAATGTCAGACCAGTGGTATATTACTGTATAAGAGCTAACCTAGATAACTTCAATTTTATGGAATATCTAAAATAATGTGCAAGAAATATCAACCGCGTCTCTACGAAATCCATCTACTTGTTTATAGTATTGGCCTTGGCGCTATTCAGTATTTACTTTTCCAGTTGGGTCGATATATGGGGGTGTGGAGGGCATCATGTAGATACCTACCTACCTGGTACCTAATTATCATCTGTGAGAACTGTATTGTGCAACAATACAATATTATGCAGAGTTATTTCGATAATATGTACAATCTAAAGTACGGGATATCCCAGAGCATTAAAATATTTTAGCTACCTATTCATTTGCCTCGACCCGCATCACTTCTCATCTTCTTCGTGCCTTGGCTCATGATGGTGGCCTATTTTGTCGGCAACTCTCTGCATCTGAGCAGATGCCGCTGCTCTCATTTCCCCTGCCACTGTCCTCTGCGTATCGTTCAAGTCCCTCACGATTTGTGCTCCAGCCTGTTCTATCCGATCCCTCTGATTCGATATCTCACGCTGGCTTTCATCGACTGCTCGAACTGCCTGTGCGCGCCGCTCCTCGACCTCGCGATCTAGATACGCCGCGTGGCTCTCGACTTCCCTAGCAGCAGCCTCTTGCATTTGCCTTCCCTGATCGCGAACGTGATTCGTAACATTCTTCGCCTTGCTCTCCATATTCGCTGCCAGTTTGTGCGCCAAACCGTCCACCTTCGAGATATCCACGATATTATCGCTACTGTCTCTGAAATTTCGCACATTTCTCGTTACCGACGTGTAACTATCCGGTGTGTTCATCTCGATTTCTTGCTTGGTGTTATTATACATTCGGTCTATGGCTGCGACAACTTCGTAAACGTCAAGTGTACAGCCCGTACGGGAGAAGTCACGCTCGCGCTGTTCGATAAATTCACGTATTTTCTTCCATTCGTTCCCATAGTACTTGAGGCGTGCCGGCAGGCCGCTGCCCTTCAAGAACGTCAAGAGTCCAGCGATGATGGTGTTGATGGCGCCGAAGGCCGTAACCGCCCCGTGGCTAACTCCTGCTGCGCCCATAGCCGTGATCGATGCTGCTACCACGATCTGAAAGAAGTAGCACGCGTTTATAAGGATTGAAAATACTTTGTAACGGTCTTTAGACTTCTGTTCTGAGTGTACGACCCGCGCGTATATGCCGATATTAGCGGCCGGGCGGGTTCCCACGGGGCTCGATTCGCTGTAGCCGAGATACGGCGAAGTACTAATACCCACCATAAGACGGAAGAGGGTAAGGCGGTTGCCCTCAGGTACGAGGTAGCTTTGATGGGTGTGGGGGAGAATATTTGTGCTGGTCCCCAACGTCGAGCCCATAGGAGTTGAGCCGACACCTGCCGCGGAGGCGGCATTCTGTGCTCCCTGTTCCTCATCTATATGACCTTCTTGCTGCCTCTTCTTAAAGAGTAGTCGCAGTAGTGCGCTGAAGAATGATGCCATATCGTGAACTGCTCCGTTTTTCCCGGCCCAACTAAGCGCAGACGGTCATACGATATCAAAACATAAAACCACAACGCAAAAGAAAATCCAAAGCCGCTAACCCACAAGACCCCTTAAGCCATGATACTGAAACAGTTTCTATATATTTTATAAGTAATGCGGCTCATTCAGCTCGTCACTAGAAGCATGAGTGCCCAAAACGTATAAAAGTTCCTAAAACAGCATCGATCTACGCTGTGCTACAGCCAAGTATTACGGAGTTGACCAATGATTGTCCTGGCGGAGACTTAAACGGGCCTCTGCGCCGTTATGTGCCAAGTAATGAGGGTTGATAGGCGGGCAAATGCCGTTGGACGGGACGGCCCTCCGTCGCTGACCACTTACATGATCGTGATGCATTGATTTGACGCCTCGTTGATCGTGTCGTAGTCGGGAATCATGAGCGCAGCAAAAATACGATGGAGTCGCCGAGCTGATGTGTAATTTCCGCCGGCTCGCTCGGTAACGTCTCAGGGAAAGGAAAAAATAAGCAAGACGAAGTTCAAAGATGGGGGGGAAAAGAAATATGATGTCTAGAGTTGCATTGGATTGTTAAGCTATCGAAATCACCCCTGAGACCTACATAGGGTCATTGAAATTGCCATTCCCAATGTTGTTGCGATTCCTACGTGGGGTAAGAGGCAGCTGGAGCTGATCTTATTATGTAAATGTATAATGAATCGCAATTATAGGACGGCGAATTCAGCCGCATATATTTTTGCTATGATTCAAGAAGTAAGCGAACCTACGCAAGCCGACTTGTGTAAGCGGCTCAGCCTCTAGGTATATCGCCGGCTCATAGTCAAATTCTTTATCTTCGTATGATGAGCGAATCATAAGCGTAGAATGGTAGGTCCACATTCCATTCTTGGAATATAATTCATACATTAGGTACCTAGATAGGTAACCTAGTGATCAACGACGGACCGACCTGTCGGGACAAGCTTCGGGATTAATCGATCTTGTATGCGTACCTGACAAGTTATGCGGTTTTGATAGACCACATTTATCTATAAGTATGATCATATAGACGACGTTATACTGTTAAGTGAAGCCTATAGTTAACAGGTACCTATATTACTTGACTTATTATTAAGAGTAAATAATTGTAGCTCAATACCTACTACAAGTACCTTAATTGCCTAATCAGGTAATCATTTATCGGGATTCGTAGAGCTTACAGGCCGAGTACATACTGCATACCTGTATGTACATATGTACAAGGTATCTCAATCCCTGTCATTTCTGCTGTCCCTATCACGACTAGGTTAGGTACCTACTATCTTGATAATCTTCTCCAACGATTACTCTCAAGATCATACATACATAGGTACCTACCTACATATATCTCACACTTTAGATTTCCCTAACGATAGGTAGTTACGTATTCTTAAACTACCTACCTAGGATCTTAGTTCCAATACATTGCATTTCTCTATTTTGCTTCGTTACACCCAGCTATGGCCATACGCTCGGATACTATCGAGGATGACCTCTTAAACTCTAGCTACCGGCTTGACCCGTCCCAACAAGCGCATACTCTAATCCACCGCATCTACAACTCTATCAAGCCTCGCCGTGCGCCTCAGCCCAGATCCTACCCTCCCCTCTCAAGCATCCCACGAACATCTCCCGAACGTCTTGCCCTTGCCTCTCCCGACTCTCCCGACTCTCCCGACGATGCCTCATCCGCGCCGACCGTCCTATACCTCGCCTACGGCTCCAATCTCTCCGCCGAGACTTTCCTCGGCAAGCGCCACATCAAACCGCTAAGCATGATCAACGTATCTGTGCCGACTTTCGACCTGGCTTTCGACCTGCCGGGGCTAGCCTACTGGGAGCCATGCTTTGCGAACGTGTCGCCGCGCAAGATCCCCATGCCGCCTATCCCGGGCGATCCGCCGAGACCCCCATTCCCTCCCCCATCCAGCGCAAGATCAATATCCGACCGACAAGACGAGATAGTCCAAGAAGAGAAATGGCTTCCGGGAACACTGCTCCCCTCGCTCCCTCCGGACCACAGCCCGTCCTGGTCTAAAGGGCTCTACGGCGTGGTCTACGAGGTCACGCGCGAGGACTACACCCGGATCATACATACCGAAGGCACTGCCTACGAAGAAATCCTAACGCCGTGTCTAGCGCTGCCGCCGCCCTTCCACGTCCCCGAAAAGCCCCCTATTCCCGAGCTGCCGAGACCGTTCTTCGCGCGTACCCTATATGCCCCACAACTGCCCTCCTTCGAGCCCCCCGACGGCGGCGACGACAGCGGCGACGATAAGAAGCGCTGGTGGCAGAAATTGCTATTGCCCGTTCGACGAACCCCGGGCTATGCGCAGCCGAGCCCGCGGTATCTGCGTCTGATCCGCGACGGCGCCCGCGAGCATTATCTACCGGAGGACTATCAGACGTACCTCGCACGTCTGGAGGCGTATACCATCACGACGTGGATGCAATATATTGGAAGTTGGCTATTCGTACTCACAGTGGTGCCGCCATTCGCGCTGTTGACGCTGCTTGGTTACCTGCTAGCTGGTAAAGGCAGCGGTATACCAAAGTGGTTGGAGGCAGCAATAACGATCCAGCGGAATCTAATGTGGAAAGTCTACGATTATGTATTTAAGCCCCTGTTTGGGGACGGGGAGCGGACGGTACAAGAGGAAGATGACTCGGGTAGGACGAGCAGAATACGTACACGAGCGTGGGGGGGCGAGAAGAATGCTCTGCTGGCGGATTGGTAGCATAAGCGGTGTTGCACTACGAGCATGGCAATCAATTTATGTGACGAATCTAATAATGTCATGGGATATCATACCATGCTGAAATGTCCTTATAGCCTATTTCTACCGCACCCCCTTGTGAATAATGCAGCCTGACCAATTGACCATTGCCCTGTCCAAACGTTTCCCGTTACGCTTTTCCCATCAGTTCATCGTATTATTCTATTAGCAACTACCTAGATTGCTTACAATCTTACTTGAACCATGCCGTGATGATATCTAAGTCCTCGCAACAAGGTCGGGAATGTCGTCGACAGTATGTCGCCCCTCGAGGATATTGTGGACAGCCGTGAATAACGGGTAGTCCTGCTCGAGACCCCGCTGCTTCAGGAATGAGTTTACCTCGGCGGCCGTACTAGTACCTTGCAACTTCTGGCCGTTGAGCTCCGTCTGCTCGACTTCCTGGACAGAGATGCCCTTTTCGACAGCCTTCTTGGCACATCGGAAGTTTCGGCCACCGCTGCAACTCGTGATCAAGTCCGCTACGCCGGCACTCTCTTCGGTGAATGTGCCGGTTGAGATGGTTTCGCCGAAGAACTCGTGGCCGAATTTAACCATCTCGAGTAGTCCCACGCGCATGATGGCCGCCTTCGCGTTGTCACCCCAGCCCCTGCCGTCAACGAACCCTGCGGCTAAAGCGACAATATTCTTCAAAGCACCGCCGAGAGAAACACCTGCAACATCCGAAACCATGCGTACGTGGAAATAGGGGCGGTGGAAAAGCGTCTTGAAAGTGTCGTGGTCCAGAGGGTGGTACTCGGGCGGGACTGGAGTCAGCTTAGTTTTGCTGATCCTACCCCTGACATCCCGGTGCTGCGTATCGGCCAAGGGGGTGATGCTTAGCTCGTCGGCAGACGCTAGTGGTGAGTTGCGGTTTGGAGTCGCGGAGCGAGGCGTTGCATTTCGAGACGGGTTGCGCGAGTTGTCTATGGGTGGCGGATCATACGCAATCGTAGTCTCGGACCATTTCTCAGCTGCGATTTCAGATGCGATGTTCGCGCCTGACAGGGCGCCGCAGTAAATACCAAGACCCTCGCCAATCCATTCCGAGAACAGCGATATACCCTCATCCGTAACATTAACACCCTTAATGCAGGATATTCCTCGAGCGAACGGTAAGATTTTCCCCTTGAGCTGTCCACAGATTCTGTGGATGAACTGGTGAGGCAGATTAAAAATTAGAATAGACGAATTGCTGACGGCATCCTCGAGGGAGGGGTTCGCAACGAGGTTCGTGGGGAGCTTGATGTTTGGGAGATATTTGATGTTCTCGTGGTGCGTGTTGATAACGGATGTAAGCTTTTGGGTCTTGCCCTCGTATTCTACGTCCTCTTCATACACCCACATCTGAACCTCCTCCTCGAACAAATCAGGGTGTTCTTTCGTGTTCTCAGAAACGATCTTGGAAATTGTCGAACCCCTTTCCACGTCGCAATTAGTATCCTCGGGTACGAGAGAACAGACTACAGATAGACTCACCAGTTTCCAGAGCCAATCACGGTCACCTTGTGCTTTCTGGTGCCGTGGGCGCTTAAGAATCCCGGTGTCATGGTGGAGAAATGTGAGAAGCGTCTAGTATAATTATACGATAGGAAGGATTTCCGTGAGACTCGAGCGCAGGTAGGGAATCCGAAGGAAGAGGCAAACGGATATCTTAATAGATGGAGTATTTTCATACAGACGAGAATCGAAAACTTTGTAAGTTCAGAGGCGCATCCGAACCTTTAAATGTCAGCTCGGTAGCGTCGTAACGGGCATATGATGTCTTACAGACTCATGTGACAACGAAGACTCGAAAATATTATCTGGTATCAAAACCGGGCAGACCGGACAGACCGAGGTGCTTGGGAAGAGCAAAAACCTGTGGCACCTGCCAGTAAATAGTGAGTGACGCACGAGACTGGCAGAATACTAAAAGTTATGTATCCCTGCTACTCGGTATACTATATCAAATAAAAGGGGGACTAAGTACCCTAATAGATACTCTTACTGGTGTCTGATTGGTCCAAACCCCTAAAACTGCTCGGTATATGGCATATACAACCCCCACAATGCGGGATCTTGCATGGATATTTGGCTTTGGGATTATATCCATCTATTGGGGAGCTAATGCATAATTCACCGCCTGCCTCAGTTAGCTAACCTAGATCTCTCCAGCAAACCGGTTCAAGGATTTAGGTCGGAGCTAAACCAAGTAAGACCCTGTGAGGGGCAACCTCGAGAAACTGGATGAAGTACATGTACCTAATGCTATTTGTACGTAGGTACATCAGGAAGGGCCTATCCTAAATATAAGTCCCCCATGACGTACTTGCGGCAACCAACGATAATATGTTGAAGGATACTGATATTCAAACCTCGAATTAGGTAGACTTAGTGAAGCATAAGATGGGTAGCACTCCGAGCTGAAAACAAGCCGAGGTAGGACCACCGAAACAAGCCGAGGCGCTTCATCATGATAATTAAATCAGACTGGATGCCCCATTTTAGCTATGGTTATTATATGAGATCGTGCACATGCACGGCTGTATGAGAAATTTACTTGACTCTAATACCTATCTTACTCTTATATTATAAGTTTCATCGGTCATTTGCGCGCAATCCCTGCATGTCTCAAGAAGAGAGGACGGAAGGTCAGCAGAAGCACTATGACACGATAACATAACAAAAGGTCCAGTGTAAGTTAATGTATATACCCATCACCATGACCCTCGTTCTTTTACATCTGTTCATTAAAGGCTCGTAATGCTTTATATCCGAGTAGGCCTATAGTATGATAACGATACAGCCCGGAGATCAAACAAGCAGGTTCCTAAATAAATGACTTAGTTATCCGTAACGTACAGTAGACTAACGAAATCTACAGTATATAGCCCCTATTTCTTTTTCCCAAGTCCCCATGGATTATCTTGACGGGAACTAAATACGTAAAATATAAATGGTTCTGGGCTTCGATCATTATTAATTTACGTTTAACAATGGGAGACAGTTGAAGTAGGAAGTGGTAAGCACGAGCATTGAGAGCGTTCGAAAGTCGCCTGATTCTTTGAACTCATCCGTTACGAATAAGACACGACGCATTAGCTTGGATAGTCATTTCGGGGTTTCTTCATATTAATGCTAAGTTGAACCCATCTTTTCCGGCCCTTGCCTTAGACCTGCCCTTTAATTCTCGATCTGGGGACATCCCATCTTAATATATACTTTTCTTTCTTTGAACAGGTAGTTAACTAACAGATATATATTAGGTACATGATTCAAAATCTTGTCACTTCATTTAAGCAGCGAACATGCCGCTCTCAATATCTTTCTGGGCCTGGAGGGTTAAGTTGACAATCTCAATGACCATGTGGCGGCGCTCCTGCTCCAAATGGTCATCCTCAGCACCATCCTGGTACCACACAGTCGAGTACACCTCGAATCCATCAATCGGCTGGCCGTAGTCTGCACCCTTCACGGGGCGGAGGGAGATGTGCAGAGCACCGAACCTGGTTCCGTCGCGCAGGACCTTGTCGCCGGCTTGCTGGACGGGGAAGTCAGGCAATTCCCGTAAGAATGGGTCTTTAGCTCTGTCTGGCGCGTTGAAGTTGGGAATGGTGAAGTTGGTGGTCACGCCTCCCCAGCCCTCTAGAATCTCGGATGCAAGACCGGTGGGAGTGGTCACGGTTTCCTTTGCGTAGTGCTCAGGGTTGGCGGCCAAGTTGGCAGCATCTGCGTTCGGCGACGCGTACCAAGCCGCGAACTGCGCAAACGAAACGTTAGGTAGGAAAACGACGCCCCGCGCGTCGGCAGGTACCCATCCGTCGCCCGACCTGCTGATCACGTCATGCCAGAACTTGTCGGCGTCGTCTTGATCAGGCGCTAGGAGCACCTTAAGTTCATCGGTACCGATATCTTGTTTGAGCTTCAGAATGGCGGCAACACTGTCCTCGGGGAGAACAGGGAGAGGCCCATCTAGACGCGCCTCAACTAAAGATAGGGCCTTTTCTGCTGCGGCATGCTCGTACTCGGTCTTCGTCTGGGCCAATTTGGGGCCGGATAGGAAGTATTTGTAGCCTGAGATAGTCTCATTCAAGGCCGACGCCTGGAGGGCGAAGGCAGAGAAAAGAAGGATATTATTGCGCATAGTGCCTTGAATGATTTGATACGACTTTTGCTTTTTGGACTTGAAGAGACGAGCTGTAGGATATATTAGGAGAGTGAAGTCGTAGCTGCTTAGGTTGATCGTAGCTAGGTACTTCAAGATTATTGCTTCCCTCTCCCGTATTTATATTTCAGCTGGACATCGGTCATTGCGGTTCCCATTGCGACAGCTTTCCAGAACCTCATATTGTAACATCGCACCTCCTTGCACTTACCTAACCACGTGTAGTAGGAAAGGAGCATAATCCACGAGGGCCTCTGAATTACGGCGCAGTAATTGTTGTTAGAACTCTCCACCAAAGCAAACAAATCGTACATTGACGAATCCCCAGCCACTGCTTCGGATCCCGTGGGATTTTCTAATAACCGAATCCGGCCCGGCCGCTGACCGATGCGGAAGTCTTTTTAATAGGTTGGTTTACAGACTTCATTTCTATCTGAACTGACGTAGCCAACGCCTCAGCCAAGCCTTTCTTTGTTCATTCTACATGGACTGACCATGTCAATAATAACACAATTTAATCCCGAATAACTCATCGGTAAGTCCCGGTACCACGATGACTTTAGGTAGGTAATGAAGAGTGAACAGTGATGAGCTTGATTGGCCAAGGTACTCTTAAGGGAGTGAGTGTTGGGTCCGATTATGCCCCGCACTTTGCACCTATGAGAATAGCATGTTATTAGATTGTTTGTGTCAACCTTCACATCAACGTTGGACAGTCTCCTCGCAAATAGTTTTCTATTTCGAGTATTTGATTTTGTATCACTAGTATAAGGAACACAACACTCAAGTTCGAATCAGTCCTAGTTGCAATGTAAGGTCTTTTAGGTTAGAGCCAACAGCTCTAAAGTTTCGCCTTAGAATTGGAATGCTCATCCGTATATTCTATCGTCTATCAAGAACAAAGGTTCAGATTCATCGGAACTTTCAGTATTAGACGTCCTTGCGCCATCTCCGACATCGTCGATGAACAGGTGTTAATGAGATGATAGTTCAGGCTAGTATACGAACCTCTAAGTTGATTGTTTTGGATGGGGTAGACTAAATAGGATATATGTAACCGTCGCACCAGGTTCGTTTATATCCTAGTTGCAGGGGAAAATTCACATGGATCTGGCTCTTGACCATAACATTGTAAAAACGTAGGATTGAATAGAACTGGCGTAACACCTTGGCATCAAGCATGCTATAACTCTTTGGGAAGGCAGAGAAGGCTGTTTGCATATAGTTTTTATAGAAGGCAACGTTATTGATAATAGCGACAATACATATAATAACAAGTATTTAAGAAATGTAACTAAATTCTTTAAAGTTAGGTACCTAGGTTAGGACCTAACTAGTTACTTCTTAATATACCTCTTATCGTTTATTGGCTTTTTACATTCAAATTACATTCCTCTTTATCAATAGGTAGGTACCTAGGTAGTTTAAGAAATCATCAAAACCAAATGAATTATTTTACTTTTTGGTATAAGATGTATTCAAAGATACTGTACATTTTATGCACCTATTCCCGATTCAGGTAAGCAGGCGGCTCAACGCATGTAAGAGTGGAAGCACTAGCGGATTAGTGGGCTAGCGGGATGTCTCCTTATTCGTTAATTGGCAGATTATATAATACATACGAGATGCGCGACTTATCTTTCATATTCTTATCTGCGACTGACTTCCGCTGATGAAATCTATTCGTTCTAAGTTGCTGATCTTTTGCGTCGTGCACCGTCGTGTAATTGCTTTTTTGGGCGACGAGCGTACGCCATCGACAAAGTAATCTTATAATCTCACTCTGTTTCAAGATCTCATCTATGAATCCGAAAACCTCTTGATCAAGTGTGTTATCTTGTAACCGAATTGCCGTAAGGGTTCGCCCCCGCCGAGCCCTCCATGGGCCAATGGTCGCGACGCCATTATCGTCTCTTACTATTACCACTTGGAAATTACCGCCAAAGAATAAGAGAGGAATTCCTCTCCTCGTATACTTATTTTATTTGCAAAATAAAACCCTAAAGAAGTGATTGGCATCAACATCGGCATCGGCATCAACATCAGCATCAGCGTCGAGATCCGTCGAGATCCGTCAACACTTATTGGCTACCTCTATTGGCCGCTTTCTCAATCGACCCAAACTGCCGGATAGGACGTCGCCATTTTAGCACTCCCCCGGAAATATTATCGTTGTCACATCCATGTCTATCAAGTTTTAGCTTGCATGTGTCCCAAAAACTGCGCACTTTCCATTACGTTTCTCTTTTACCGCCAACTTCGCTCTGATACCCCGATACACTGATACACCGATACAATTGCTAAGCTAACTTGGTCCGCTGCTGTATCCGCTGCTGTAAGACTTTATTATGGAAGGGCCCAACCTGTCGGGTTTACGACCAAAGGCCGCCTTGACTTCTGGCCATTCTCTTACTGACTCCTCTCATCCCCCAACCAAGAAGAAGTCAAGGAGGGGCGGGGATCCGTCCAGTCAAAAGCGACGATGCGTCAGCACGTACGTGATACCCCAAATATCCCAAATATCTTCTCAGCTGCTCTTTCATTATGATACAAATTGACCTTGATATATATAGCGCATGCATAGCCTGTCGTCGTCGGAAGTCGAAATGCGATGGCGCACTCCCGAGTTGCGCCGCGTGCGCAAGCGTGTATGGTACTGAGTGTGTCTATGATCCCAACTCGGATCATCGCCGAAAAGGAGTTTATAGAGAAAAAATCGACAGTATGAAGGCGCGGAACTCTACTCTCCAAATCCTAATCGAAGCTATCCTTAATGCAGACGAAGAAGAAGTCCCTGAAATAGTCAAGAGAATACGAACCTGCGATAGCTTGGATACCGTGGCCGAGTCAATCCTCAAGCAAGAAGAGTTCGGCAGTGTGACAATAGAAGATGAAGATCAGATAGAGAATGACTATACTACCGATATGCCTGTTGAGGGTGAGAGAGACCTTGCCAGGAAGATGGGTGAGTTACGGCTAGAGAACGGCTCGACGCGCTTCATCGGTGGTACGTCTCACCTGATACACTGGGATATACATGGAGCGCCGAATCCTGAATACGAGTCCCGGAATACTACCGGCGCAGCCGATATAGATCCTATCACGAGTTGGTCTGATGTAACAAAGGATCGAGAGGTTGTCAAACATCTTCTCGATATGTACTTCAACTGGCATTATCCGTACTTCACCACGTTGTCACGGGCTCTGTTCTATCGCGACTTTCTAAAGGGGAGATCAAATATTTCACCGAATAAGGTTGCATATTGTTCGCCTTTATTGGTCAATGCGATGCTCGCGCTAGGGTGCCACTTTACTGATGCTGCTTGCGCCTTCGGTACGAATGGAGATAGCTGGACCAAAGGAGATCACTTCTTCGCCGAGGCTAAGAGACTGATTGTTGATAACGACGAGTATGAAAAGCCCCGGTTAACGACAGTTCAGGCTTTGGCTCTAATGTCTGTTCGAGAAGCGGGTTGTGGTCGAGAGGCTAAAGGTTGGGTATATAGCGGTATGAGTTTTAGGATGGCACAAGATTTAGGGCTCAACCTAGATATCGGTGGCATCAAGGGCGATAACGAGAATTTGGACGACCACGAGATAGATGCGCGGAGAGTCACTTTCTGGGGCTGCTTCGTGTTCGATAAATGCTGGTCAAATTACTTGGGTCGACTTCCTCAACTACCAAAGAATTCCTACAGCGTTCCCAAATATGACGTTTTCCCGGACGAAGATGCCGAACCCTGGTGTCCATATACTGACTCTGGTTTTGAAGAATCAGCGAGGCAGCCGTCGCGAACCCGTACGGTCGGTCTACAATTATCCAAATTGTGTGAAATTAGTGGCGACCTTCTCTTATTCTTCTATCATCCAAATCACATAGGGCGATCGAGCGGCAAGTCAGTCGAGCTCAAAAAGTTGAGTGAACTACATCGGCGCCTTGAGGATTGGCGAAAGGAGTTGCCCAAGGAACTTGAACCTAAGGAGGGCCAATTACCCAACGTCATTTTAATGCAGTAAGTTCTCTATCATCAGAGTCGAGATAGCGTGGTTGATCAAATTTAGCATGTTCTTCCACCTTCAATATATCCACCTCTTCCGCCCTTTTCTCAAATACTGTCCAGCTACGTCCCCCTTACCACCTCATGTATCTCCCCGGAGAATATGTACCGCAAATGCAGGTGCTATCTCCAAATTGATGAGATTGTATAAAAAGCTCTACAACTTGCGCCAAATCTGTAATATCGCAGTGTATATGCTACATTCTGCTTGTACTATTCATATACTCAACCTCCCTGAGAAGACTGCAAGGAGGGATATCATTCACGGTGTAAAGCATCTCGAGGAGATTGCAGAAGATTGGCTCTGTGGGCGACGAACTCTTAGCATAATTAGCGTTCTCGCTCGTAAGTGGAATATTGAGCTTCCTGAAGAGGCTTCTCATGTTTTACAGCGTACGGATGAAAGATGGGGTACTTTCAAGACATCCGATGTACCTTCACCCCGTTCGCACATGGCTATATCTCCATCGCCTCCAGCTATTGCGATGTCATCGCCAGGGAAAGTTGAACACAGTCCCACGAGTCACAATACTCCCCCGACTTCAGTCCCATCACCAACAGGCGGCCCAGGATCAACCGTCCCACCCGAGAGAATGCAGAATTTAACCTTATCACCACCCAGCTTCCCACCTGACGCACAAATCCTGCAACCAGTGTTGGATAGTGTGGTTATTATGGGCAACTCTGTGCCCTTAGATACAAACGAATTAGCTAGTCCAGATTGGCGCCAGCCTCCGACTACACAGAACGTTCTCAATTATCCGCAGGCTTTCTCTCGAATTCCAGACAATGCTGGCTCTAACCAAGCATCCCAAAATGCGAGACGAAACCAGGTTTCGAATTCCATTTACGCCGTTGATGGACAAGACTGGTATCTTAAGGATGGTGTAAACTGGCAGTCTGGCTTCGATACCTGGAATATGGGGAACGGGCCATCCGGCTCGAATATATCGGATCCATCCATGTTCATATTCACTTCAAATCCGCCCGGCAATAATTCTGGGCGTTCTCTTGCTTCCATGGATTTCAACTTCGAGGGCCTCAATAACTTATCTTCTTCCATGGACGGATGGGATCTTCCCAATTTGGAGTAAAAAGATGGCTAACACTCAAGTGTGTATTTCTAGTACCGTGCGTTTGCTAGAGCCAGCGTGCTAGGTTATGTGAAATCTTGAAATTATATAAGGACCTTGGGCAAGCGAGGGGCATGATTTAAGAAAATTACGACAGTATGCTTTGTATAATGATATTACGTCTGTTCCTAGCCTTGCTGTCGTTCAATGATGACGAGAATTATATAAAATGCAAAATGAGTTCACACCTTGGAACCAGCTAGGTTAGACATATTAATGTGGTTGTTTTAGTTATAGGAATACTGGGTAAGTACCTACCTATCTACCTATGCTTAAAGACAACATAATTTTTCAAGATACTAACAGTTTTTACTTACACGTCTCCTCCTTTGTCAGATCCTATTAATCGACACTATAGTTATTCCAATTTCGTCCATTTTTCTCTGTATCTCTTTTAATATCGGCATGGTCACGACCTGAATGAACTTTCATATTGAACGTTGACTGTACAAATCATAATATATGGTTGAGAAATAGAAAGCTCTACGATTCAGTTGGTACTAACAACTACTTTCTACAGCGGGTTCCTAAGTTTTCTTGCATAATAAATTCCAAAGCGACGCTTCAGGGCTATCAACTGAACAAGACAGACTACTACCTCGAATGCATTATGGAATATACGTCTATTCGAGTTTTGAGGTAACAATTATTATATTTCTTCAAGTTAAATGGCTTTACTACTACTAACGGCGTCAGAACTAGCAAACAGTGAATAATTGAAGTTGCAAATCGAAGGGGTTCGTGATGTCTATAATGCCAAGATACATATGAGGACCGTTCGGGAACGCTAAAACTAGAGGCGAAACCCAAGAGATGTCCAAGAGGCCCCAAGAGCGACAGGTCGAGATCCACCCCCGGACTCTCCACCGACGATCAGAAAATGGAACATAGTGGGCTTCAACGTGCGGATGAGCAAAGCTTCTTTGGACGTGGCCCAACAAGTAAACTCTGCACTAGTCCTTAACAGTGGAACTGCATATCGCCATGGCCTTCGTTGCTTATATGTTTCTTAAGCATCTAGATTGGGAGATCTGCTAGATTTTCTGCTCTTACCTAGAAGATGCTAGTATTAAGACAATATCGACAATGCAGGGAGCCGAATGGAAGAAAGATCGACCGTTCATATGTTACTGCGACCTGGTATATGTGCATATTTTGAGTGGCAGTGGCAAAATATTTGATTGCTGTCATCGGTCTGGAACCGCGTTTCATCTATTTTACGAACCCCTTTAAGCAATCTCGACTCGTTTGAGAAGTTACGACTAGGTAAAGGGGCAAATTGTAGAAGAGAGTATGTAGATCGTGGCATGTTTATCATCCGAGAGATAGTAGCACTAATGACTTAGCTACTTAGGGGAAGCTCTTGTGGTAAAGCAGTTGAGTTTAATATAGGATAGTGAAGTATTGTGATGCCCCAATCGCTAGGACTTAACGGACAGTCTCCGTCAACTTGATACATAGGATATGGACATGTGATCACTTGTAGCCCATATCTAGTAATGAGTATGATGACAACGAACTACGTGAAGCTTGATCCAAGGCGTCATGTTAGATGTGATCAAGGAGGCCCTAGGTAATTCTCGCATGATCTCTAACGCCAGACTTCTGGGACGGGAAGAAAGGTTACTCCATGAACCGCTGTCCGTTTTTACCTGCGATTTCGGCTGTGCCATATTCGTCAGTATATCTTGAGATTCGAGTCATCATAACGTGCATCGATGCTAGCAAGTTGGAATAGCATAGCTGATTCTTTGTTTGGTTCAGAATCTGGGGTGGCTCCGTGATCTCCAAATAAGGGCGGCCAAGACTCTTTCTCATGCCGGGGTACGACAACGAAGCGCAAATCTTTGCTAGAAAGGGCATGACTTCGGGACGTCTAGCGAGATGTCCGTAGCTATCTCGTCAGCCGGGGTGAGGGCGAGTCCGGGAGAGAAGAGAAGGGTCTCTCCGGATCAGCGACGACGGATCTCTGGATGCTGATGCTTCGATCTGCAAGGCACGCGGATGTCTGGATCTAGCGCGTACGGCTTATGGTATATTGGACCGCAAATATCTGTACTTGCATGTCCTACCCCAGATCGCAGTTTGCCGAATGGTAACCCAATGGACCCTCGGAGGGACAGTCTGAATTGGGAGCAGACCCGCCATCTCTGGGGTAACATTCCGTCTTAAGATCGACCACTGAGAGAGGCTGGCATAACTCTCAAAAATTCCCGTCGCCCCCAATACCGAACGGAACATCGGGAGCCTTAAGCCTTGTGGGCGTCTGCAAGCATGCCATGTCTTACCTGCACGATCTGGGGACCTGGGCATGACATGTCGGCCAGCTCCCACTGATGCAGGCACCAATGCCGACTGGTACGTATAGTAGGGTTTGGTAGCGTGTATTATGACGGCTTCTCGAGCTTCGAGTGGTTTAAAAAGGCCCATCTGTACGAGCCTTGCCGTTTCATTGCATCTACGAGATGCGGTAGTACCGGATTGGCGATACATGTGGCATCGAGACGTATAAGATGTTTATCTTTAATCTAGACCACCAAAAAAGGTCGCCAATCACTTCCTGAAGTAGATTTTGGATGGCGTAGTTCCGTTATTGTAGATCTTGAGTTTTAGTTTTCCGGTCCTTTGGAGAAAGTTAAGTGCATAGAGCAAAGCATGATGCTGCGAGTCTACCACTTCTCCCCCAGACATCCCTCTGATAGGGCCCATTCTTGCTGAGGTGCAGCTGCCATTCAGAGGTAATGCATGTATGCTCACTGTAACCCAACTCTGTAGCAGGGGAGATATGGTATACCCTAACCAAAAAGAATACCACCACGTGGTAACAATTTACTTTCCTCCTTTCTTCCGACCTTGTCGCCACGGGAAAGAAGCCGCAATGACCATAAGAAAGGCAATATCACGTGAACCTAGAGCAGCGGTCTCGTTACACGATACCCTTGGGGATATCGATGTTATTCGCTCTTACTATGCATCGTTAGCAGTGTGTCAGCTAGCTTGCAAACCTGGTTTTCCTCCTGCGGTAGAAACATAGGGAGCTCAAGACCAATATATGTTACGTATAAACCTAACCTAGTATTCTTCATATGGGTATTGTTACTTCTCCGGTATCCCGCAGCTGATATAGTCCTAGATCAACGGGCTATTCAGAAGCCATCGTATACCTAACGTAAAGCTCATGGTAGAATAGCCTAGATCGCGAACCTGCAGACGCGGCGCTTGTCAAGCGCGTTGGGCTAAATAGCCGTACGTTACGCCTCATATGTAGCGTCAAGTACCCAGTTCCAGAGTAAAATAGGCGCCGAGACGTATTGATAAATGGCTGCCAAAGTGACGCATTGGAAATTAGTACCATAATGTTGCGAGACAATACCATCTCTCCTCAATAAAGAAGAGAAATGCTCATTTGGTTTCTGAGCAACTTTTCTGTACGAGAGTGGTCCCTGTTCGATCGTGGTGGAAAGTCGGACCTTGTTCCGCTTTGACTTCCAACATCTCAAATTGCAGTGTCCGTTGGATCGCACCCTGGGCATCTTGGCACGGGAATACCTACACGCATTTCCAAGCTGGGGAGGTAAGGTGGCCGAGTTTTCAACTACCGATCAGTGGAGTCTGCCTAACATTTTAAACTTCCGAAAACTTCATCATCTTAATAAGTTAATTCCATGTCGGGTTATGTAGTGAGAAGAGTCCTTCCTAGTTTGAACCGCGTGCTGTTTCACAGCCGTGGGTTAGTCGTAGTGGTGACCGCAAGTGGACTTCCTACATAGTATTGTATAGTAGCGTATCGCTCCCCGGACAATATATCTAAAGGAGCCAGTCGCGCAATTTCTCCAAGCTCCGAGCTTCGACGCTACTTACGCATTCCTTCGATCTTAGAGAGACTAGTGCAGCCATAGATCGCGAGATTTATGAAATCGTAAATTCGCTTGTCGTCATGTATGCTGTATAATCGAGCTAGCTATGCCCGAGTCCAGTTTCGATTTATATGGTTAGAGGTGAAGCATGATGTCGAACTGTAGAACTAGAGACGTGGGCTGAAGTCATACGCTGCTTTAGGCACCCGAATATGCATAGCATATTTCTCCAGGTCTCTCCAGATACCATATCAAGGTAAGCATGACGCCTTCTGCAGCAATGAGATGTAAGTTTCTCTCCAGAATAACTTCCCCAGACTTTCGGCGTCAATGGCGACCGTGCAAGTCGGACATACCGTGCGTCGTATTCCGTGTCTTAATAGCATTCCCTTATTGAGTACATGTAGCTTTCTGGGGAAGTCATGTTAGCGCTTAGCCCTACCATAAAGTGTCTTGTCAGCTGTATAAACATTAGAATTTCTTAGAAGTATTCGGATGGTTCGTGGAATTAAAGTGACAAAAAATCTACTGGGACTTGGTGAAAATCCACCAACAGGGGTCTTTTGCGATAATTTGGTGCAGTTCCATTGTGCTAATGGGAAGTTCGGTCCGGTTACCCTTGGTAACTAGGGGGCCCGAGTTCCGGCTCGACTATCCAGCTTACAACCCAGTAGACATCCGGTATGGTGGGTTCCCGCGATGCAACTTAGGACACATGAGGATCGAAGATTGCGGCTATTAAAAGTTGGAATGGATCCTTCTTAAGCCGCCGCTAGCATAGATATGTAGTTCCAAGTTGAGGCTTCATCCCAACCTCTGGTAGTAGAAGCGGAGTACTATAGCAACATATACTAGAGATGTCTGTTGTATCTCTTACTATGTCACATTGTGAGCCATTGTGTAAGCTGCGACTGCACGGGTAGCCGAAGCTAGGAGTTATGACGTGCCAAGCACAACCACCACTCAGAAAAGAATGGTAGGGCAATTAAATAAGCTTAGGTGTGATACTTGTTTACCCAGCTAACTTTGGATGGCTTGCAGTATGAAATCAAGTATGAATATCGCCATCAAACAGATTGAAGTGCCGTGTTGACTAAAGTTCCTTGTAATATAGAGTAAATATCCAATCGTGAGATCCCCGGGGATCTCTGTGCCGATAAGCGTACTCGATAAGACTTTCCTTTTGCTTTTACTCTTGATAACCCTACTAATATAAGAAAGAGTTTCTTTGATAGAGATCGCTATTACTGGATCCTAGAAAGATATAGGTTTCCATTTGATGCTTATCAGAGCGACATGGCGACTGGTTTAAATATAAGAGTCGCTTCTGTAGCTATAAACCAAGGCAGCCTTAAGATATTAAAGTAGTCATCATTTAGGTTAACACATTAGGAAAAAGGACGATGATACGAAACTAACTTAGCTAATATTGAAAATCCGAAGGGGTGTTTCATCGTTACCCAAACATACGGAGAGATATAAGGCCCCGTATTCGTAACGGTTCGTCCCTATTTCGGCCATTAACGAACATGTTAAGAGTAGCACATGGGATAGGGCCGCATTACCTGGGGGTTAGCACGCCTGTCAATACAAGTGCTCAGTAATAAATATGCAGTCTATATCGCAGG